AGCAAATGGGCAACACTTTACAGCGTACTTCTATCTCTACAAGTATTCGTGAGCGTATGGACTTCTCTTGTGCTATATTCTCACCTGACGGCCAGCTTGTCGCCAATGCGCCACATATCCCCATCCACCTGGGGAGCATGCAGCTGGCCATTCAGGCCCAGCATAAGCACTGGGCAGGAAGGCTGACGGAAGGAGATGTTCTCATGACTAACCACCCAGAATGGGGTGGCACTCACCTGCCCGATATTACTGTGGTGACACCCGTGTTTGTTGATGACCAGATCGCTTTCTACACTGCCAGCCGAGGCCATCACACAGATATTGGTAAGTCACTAGACTGTTTATTTGTGACTTGATCTCTGTAATTCTAACATCAGATTTAGGTGGAAAAGGTATTACTTCCATGATGCCTGACTCCTTGGAGCTTTGGGAGGAGGGAGTTAATGTCCCTGCCATGAAGATCGTCAGTGGCGGTGAATTCCTCGAGAAGGAAGTCAGAGACGCATTCGAAGTCGCCGGCAGCTTCCCCGGCTGCAGTCCTACGCGAAGAATCCAAGACAACATCTCTGATCTAAAGGCCCAGACGTCTGCCAATCAGCGCGGAATCACGCTGCTCAAGAGGCTCTGTGACGAGTTCACCCTCCCGGTTGTGCACAAGTACATGGGCGGCATACAGGCCAACGCCGAGGTTGCCGTCCGTGAATATCTGAAGAAGATTGCAAAGAAGCACCCCGAGCGTCTCGAGGCTACGGATCGGTTTGACAACGGTACCGAGGTCAAGGTCAAGATCACAGTTGACCCTGAGACTGGATCCGCGGTGTATGACTTTGCCGGAACTGGGCCACAGGGATGGGGTAATATCAACTGCCCAATCTCGATCACCCATTCCGCTGTCATCTACACTTTGCGTTGTCTAATCGATCTCGAGATCCCATTAAACGAGGGCTGTCTCGCCCCTGTTGACATACGAGTTCCCAAAGGCTCCGTGCTCAACCCCGAGTCCTCCGTCGCCATCTGTGGAAGTACCCTGGCAAGCCAGCGCGTCATTGACCTTATCCTGCGTGCTTTCAAGGTTGTCGCCGCTTTCCAGGGCTGTGCTAGCAGTTTCGGCTGGGGCATGGGCGGTAGAGATCCCAAGACTGGCGAGATCATCCCTGGCTGGAACTATGGGGAGTCTCTCGGTGGAGGCACTGGCGCTGGACCTGGTTGGAATGGTGAGCATGCTGTTCATGCTCATTCCACCAACACCCGCATCACGGATGCCGAGGTCATTGAGAAGCGTACCCAGGTCATTGTCCGAAGACACGAGATCAACCGCGGAACTGGCGGCCGTGGGAAGTGGAATGGAGGTGATGGCTGTCTCCGAGAAATCGAGGCCAGAATTCCTCTCAAGTCTAGCATCCTCAGTGAAAGACGCGTATTTTCCCCCTATGGAATGGAGGGTGGCGACCCCGGCAGTGTCGGGCGTAACTTTGTATTTCGATGGAACGATAAGGGAGGATTGGACCAGATCAGACTGGGCTCACAAGCTGTGGTTCATCTTAGGCCAGGAGAGAGAATGCAGATCAACACTCCAGGTGGTGGAGGCTGGGGCAAGTTTGAGTAAGTTGCCAAAGAAACCAGTCTGAGCTCGGTTTCATTTCGAACATTGAGGTTTTTCTTTCTCTTTCTCTTAAGAAATATTTTCACTTTAGTAGTTCAAATACAAGATTCGCACGTTTCAATTAATCCCGTCATCTCATCTCGTCTTTTCCAATACAGTGTATTCGAACCTTCACTGGAGGAATTATTGCCTGGGTGGAAGACAACTAATTTGCTTTTTTTGGTAATTTCACATCAAAACCTTCGGTAATTTCACATCAGTGATCGACGTTAGAAGGGTGTGCGACCAAGTTTCCCGATTCTTCACATCTTCCTCTAGATTCTGAGAACCTAAGCGGCCGTCCCAATAGAATACACGTTTCCGCTACGGGATTGTAGATATTGTCGCAATTCATTGTCTCACTTAACTTTGATTGTTTCCCGATAGTCCTCCACCTCATGCTGCCCTCCTCACTTTTGAGGCGTTATTGAGCTCCTAATCCCTACTATTGGCCCTTATTGTTCAACTAGTAATCCGGCAAACCATAAATCTGATCATTCTCTATCTCTGAGCGAGTGGATCCTTGCATGACAAGGAGGGAAGGGTAGCTGCAAATGGAAATATACGCTAAACAGACTAAGCAATTCGAAGACTCGTGACGTTCTGCGGCTGTTGAGCTGGGATATGGGTGGAGGCGTCTTATCTTGTGACTCCACAAGTCCGAGCAAACTTGAGTGGACAGGGACATGTTGGCGTTCAAAGAGATTGGGGGATTGGACCAAATGAAGGAATTTTCTTCATCAGGAAATTTAGACCATCCCCGAGTTGGCTAGAGTACGACCTTGCCCCCTTCCCCCAGAATCGTCCATCTTGCCCAGGACGTAGGTTCCCGGTCTACCAACCCTCCTCTTGGGAACCAGTGACGAGGATGGTAGATTACCTGGTGATACCTTGCAGCCGGTATCCTTATCTCGACCGCTTCACGGACTGGAACGACATAAAAAGATGGCCCTGAACAAACACTCGCAGATCAGTTAGCCAACGAACCTGTCATCCAGCCACCCAACCAGTTTTTTTTTACTTTTCGCTGACCATGTCCGAGTCTCAAGACCACAAGCCGTCACCCGCGGCCAACGTCAAGATCGATGGAGATTCTATCGATATGGAGGACGAGGCACACGGCACCATCGTTGGAGAAAAAATCTCAACCAAGCAGAAGATCTTGCGAGTCATCTGGGACACTTTCGACAAGTCTCCCGAAGAGCGGCGATTTGTGACCAAGGTCGACTTATGGATCATGACATATGTCTGCCTGGCCTACTTTGTCAAATATCTTGACCAGACCAATGTATGTCCACGCAGCAGCCCAAGATGTGAGACCTGACTAACATTTGCGCCATAGGTTGTCAATGCCTATGTGACTGGGATGAAGGAAGACTTGAACATGAAAGGAAACGAATACAATATGCTCCTTACAATGTTTACAATCGGATACACTCTCGGAAACCTCCCCTCCCAGCTCATGATGACCAAAATCCGACCTTCGATCTGGCTCCCAACCCTCGAACTCATCTGGGGGTCGCTCGTAATGTGCATGGCCACGGCGAAAAACATCGAGACCTTATATGCGCTCCGATTCTTGATTGGATTCCTCGAAGCATCCGCTTATCCCGGCTTCCTCTCCCTATTGGGAAACTGGTACACCCCCCAGGAACTTGGGAAACGTTCCTGCATATTCATCTGCAGTGCGTATATAGCTCAAATGTTTTCCGGCTACCTGCAGGCAGGGTTATATGCCGGTATGGACGGCAAGCATGGCCTGAGGGCCTGGCAGTGGCTCTTCATCTTCGACGGAATCATCGGCATTCCCGTCTGTATCCTCGGCTACTTTGCCATTCCCGACAGCCCAACAAACTCCAAGGCTCTGTGGCTGAAGCCCGAAGAGAAGGCTATCGGGATCTCTCGCATGGAGAGAGTTGGGCGCAGACCCCCAGCCAAGTTGACATGGAAGGTTATCAAGGACGTCTTTACATCTTGGCCTGTGTATTTGTTCTCCGTCCCGTTTGCCGCGCAGCTTCTGGCGATTCGAATCTACAACTACTTCAACATCTATCTCAAGGACACCGGGAGGTACACCGTTGAGCAGGTCAATGTCATTCCCACAGCCGGCTACGCTTTTCAAGTCGTCACAACTCTCATCATGGCTTGGGTAAGCGACGGCATTGGCAGACGAGCACCGTCCATTTTCTTCGGCATCGCCATTGCCATCACGGGGACCATCATTCTGTGCTTCTATCCTGAGAACAACCATTCCCTCATGCTCGCCGGTTGGATCTTGACATTTGGCCAGTCGGGCGCATCCGCCTTGATTCTTACATGGATCAATGAAATCCTGACCTTTTCAACGGAGCAGCGGTTGGTGGTGTTTGGTGTGGTTGAGACATTTGGGTTCGCGATGAATGCGTGGGTTATTCTGTACACTTACCCAAGCGGAGAGGCTCCTCGATTCAAAATTGGGTATCAGATGGCCACCATGTTCTTCGCGATCGAGGCCATTTTTATTGGCCTTATTTTGTTCTGTGAGAAGAAATGGAAGCCCAAGGGACACCCGGATCGGGTCCTGGCCTCGCAGTAGGTGGCAACACGCCCAAGTTTCACTAGTTAGGAGCCAGAGGATCATATCCCGTGTAGCTACTTCATATGACGCTAGGGCCATGGGGTAATGGAGGACCAGGAGAGAGAGAGGGTCAGGTACATGAATCAGAAGGGGCCAGATGTAGGGGCTAGTGGCGACTTTTCTAATCAATACCATATGGGTTGCCATTCACAATGACTAACAGTGAATGGAATACTAGTCAAAATAGTTGATAACTGCATAGCTAATGAACAGTCTACATTAATACTAAATCCATCGACTGGCGTATCGAATCCGTAGCCGTTATCGTGAGTCGCCCCCGGAGTAAAGCGACAAGGGAGCACCCCAGAATCGAGGTGGAGCAGCCAATGACGGCGTCAGATAACAGTGAAAACTTTATTAGGTTCGGTTCGGTTCAGCATGACACTGGTCTGTATTTCCGGCTCCTTATCAACCTCCCCATTCCCCCGCTTGTTGTGGTGTGGTGGGACCCTGATTCATGGCTGGGGGACCTCCTCCTTGCTTCGTGTGGGCAGGCAATCCTGCTCTCTCAATCTTCGAAGCTGGGTAGAAACAACCGGACCAGGCTTCCATTTATCGATACGTTTGCAGGGCGCCATCCACACAGCGCGCAGGCATCGATCGACTTGGGCCGCTGCCGACATGGAGACGCACATGAGCCGGTTTCGCATACGCCCTTCAAGGAATAAGGGCGTTGCCGTCAGGGCTGAAAGACCGCCATCCCGAACCTCGCCGGCGACTCAATTGCTCGTCAGTACCGATATGGATGAGCGCAACGTGTCAGATGCAGCCTCGGCCCCCGGCACATGCGCCGGAAACCCGGCTTGGGCAGAGCATTTACCAACATCTGAAATGGCTGAATTAAGGGAGCGTCTTGCCTTGATGGAGCGTCTGGTTGGTGACATGGGCATGTTGTCGGCTTCCCGCGTCAATCAAGAGAATGTTGTCGCTGAGACATCACCAATGCATGACCCAGACATATCGACACAAGTGCGACTCGAGCCACCACCAGAAGCGTTGCGAACGCCTCCTTCATTACGGCTTCCAGTGCAGGCAGTATCCCCAGCTCATGCATCACGGCGTCGTGTCTCGCACTCAGCTTACCACACGACCGAGGAGCGCGAGTTGAAACGGCGGCGTCTCCTACAAGACGAGCAACCAATCGACCGCTCAAGAGAAATAGACGAACCGAACCAGGTTCAAGGCCCAGAATCAGCCCACCTCGAACCCACTTGTGACGCTCTCATAGATGCATACTTTCGTGATGTTCATCGCGCGTACCCTTTTCTTGATAGGAATGCCCTGCTTAGCGCCATGAGGAAGAGAAACGAGAAGGATATCCTATCAAGCAAAGGCCAGGACCCAGAAGCCACAATGGCATATCTTGTCATGGCCATCGGTTCTATAACATTGCAAAGGGCAACTCAGGATCCTGAAACCCCTTCTGATTCCGGGACAGTCTTGTTTGACGTTGATTATGAAGGACTGGTCTCAAAGTGCATGATGAGCGAAAGCATAGCAAATCTCCAGATCTTGCTGTTGCTTGCGATTTATTCCCTATCCGATCCTGCCGGAATGAACACGTGGGCAATAGTCGATGTTCTAGGCCGCCAGGCCCTGCGCCTGGGTCTCACAAAAGGGGACACTGCTGGCAAGGGCTGTTCTGCGGCCGAGGTGGAACGAAACCATCGCCTGTTCTGGAGTATTTACGTTCTCGACAGGATGGTTGCACTCACGACCGGCACACCAGCGGCCATGATCGATACCAATATGGACATACCTCTACCCCGGATCACCGTTGAGGAGTTTGATTCGCCCCAGCGCCAGGAGCAGGCACACGTGCTCCAGGTCTCCCGACACATTATACAACTCCGCACGATCGAGTACAAGGTTCTCCAAGAAATACACCTCAGAGACCAAAAGTCTACCAGCGCCTTGACGCGCGAGGACCGCTACACCCTTGTCGTGGGTCTCCGGGCAGAGATCGAGAACTGGTACAGCAATGGCTGCCTCCTGCAATCCAACGAGCTCGACGACATGACGATTCATATCCGAATATGCTGGCTTGCGGCGCGATATTACAACCTGCTGCTGCTTCTCTACTATCCATGTCATTTCAACCCGGGAACAATGCTCCTCTCCAATGGCGAGTTGCTTTCATTGGCGAGAAAGCATGTCCAGGCCAACTTTGTACGGTTCCAACAGCGACAACTGCCTTTGAACCGCCTCACACTCTGTAGAATATTCCCCGTGTGCATGGTGTTTCTTCATTGTTTCCTCTCTCGCCAAAGCGTGGCAGAGTGCGCCCGCGCTCGCGAAGAAATATCAATGTGCGCCGATATTCTCGCCGCCTTCCCAGAACCCTGGACGCTTGCCCATCGCGCGGCGCCCATCATTCGCCAGCTGGCTGCCCTCGTGTCCAGTACTTCCACTGAGGTTGGAGATGAGGCAGGCCTCACAGAGGCGGACCAGGCTTGGTGCCTGGCAATCAAGCTCAGTCTTTCAGAACTCTCCGAAAAGGTGTTGGGAAGAGGGAGTATCTACAGGAATATCCATTGCTGGCAGGGTTCGGAGTCTGGGATGCCTGAAAGTGAAATGTTGTTGTCCGAGAAGCCTTCGTTGCCTTGGGCACACTTTACACCAGAAGAAGGCGACGGGATTGAGGTCCAAAATGGGGCTTTTGTTATCGAGGCTGCCCAAAAGACTTCAAGTGACTCTGGGATATTTGCAGGGCCATCTGTTTTGGATTACTTGTGAAAGACGTCCCTGGTATCCTCAGCGAGCATTGACGCGCGTATCGGTGCCGGATGTTCACTCTCCAGCCATACTACAGGCGTCATCAGAATTATCCTAAGGATGACTAGTTGAGAGGATAGAAGCTTATTTAATCTGGAAATCAATGAATCTATGGGGTTACGCATTGGGGGATGGCCGATATTTCGAATGATCGACCATGATGCATTGCCGCTGAACCTACCACAGTTTCGGGACGGTCGGATGCTGCAGGAAACTCGCAATTACACGCCACCCATGCATGAAAACAGACGGTCATTGGTGCTTCGAGATGATTAATTCACATGTCGTGTCATCGGGGTTGCGGGTTGTTTCATCTCTCCGTAGTCCCCGTTCTCCACCAACCGGTATTTTGCCTAAACCGAGCAGGGTCCTACTCTCCTCATCTTCACCTAGATGCTCTTCTTCTCGACCGGCATTCGATAACCTCTTCTTTGGGTTGCAGTCACTATCTCTCCTAGTCGCACACCCGGCGCTTGTGGATCGCTGCTCGGCCACGGCATCATCTTCGCGGTCCAAGTCGCGTCAAGCCAGATACGACCAAGTACCCCAAATGAGTACCAGCACTTCCGTCTCGGGTAGATCCCCAAGGATCTTATCCTGTGTCCTGTGCCAGAAGCGCAAGATAAAATGCGACAAACGGACACCCTGCACGAACTGCGAAAAGGTCAGCGCCCGTCACACTCCGAAGTCTGTGGTCGTTCACATCTAATAGACGCAGGGCGGCAATACCTGTGTTCCCTCGACTCCAGCTCCACCGCGGAAGCGAAGGCGCATGAACGAGGTGCTCCTAGAGAGGCTAGCAAAATGCGAAGCCTTGTTGAAGCAGTATGAATCCGCGCCACCTCCAAACGGAAGCGGTACCTCGACCTCCCAGTCCACTCCGTATGATCACGCCACCGGTGACACAGAGGCGTCTCAAAGTGCCTCTGATTGTTCTGAAGAGGAAAATGTCGACGTGAAAGTCTCTCCGGCATCAAAACCGATTGGTTCATTCGTAGTCGAAGGGGGTAACGCAAAGTATGTCGACTCATTCCCATGGGCTACTATCCAAGGACAGGTAAGCAAATGTTTCCTGAGCTTCCAGTCGGGGGACCCCACAGACTACGGTCCTCCTGTAGCTTTTTCTAATCTGACAAATCTTTGCATCAGTTGAAGTCAATTCGTCAGATATTGGAAGATGAGGAAGGCAGCCCGAGTGAGGCAGACTCTTGCATGCCGCCTCAGCTAGAAAAGAATCTTCTCGACGACATCACTCTCATCAACCTCGAAACCGTCACTCCTTCTCCGGCTCAAATCTTTTGGCTGTGGAACATCTTCTTAGAGAGAGTCAACCCGCTGACCAAGCTCATTCACGTGCCAAGCATGCAGCAGTTCGTGGTCGAAGCTTCAGGGCGCCATTCCAGTATCCCCATGAACTCGCAAGCTTTGCTCTTCTCTATCTACCTAATATCTACAGTTACTTTGACAGAGTCGGAGTCTCTGGAAATGCTTCATATGTCTCGGGATGAAGCCCTTCACAAGTTCACTTTAGGTACGAAAGGAGCATTGTACCGGGCAAAGTTCTTGGAGACATTCGATACGACGATTCTAAAAGCCTTGGTCCTCTTTCTAGTAAGAATGACCTGTATCAAGGTACCATGAAAAATGAAAAGCACTTCCTAACCCATATTATAGGAGTCACGCCACGGTCGCACCAGCCGCCACACAACCTGGATTCTCAGTGGTGTCATGGTCAGAATGGCTCTCAAACTAGGCCTCCACCGAGATGGCAGCTCCCTAGACATCACACCCTTCGAGGCCGAGATGAGAAGACGCCTATGGTGGCGTATTATGATATCAGAGACGAAATATTCCCTTGCGTCAGGTTACGGCGAGCCTTTGAAAATCAAAGAGTGCGACACCCAGCTCCCGCACAACGTGAACGATGCCGATCTTTACCCATCTTTCATGGAGCCGGTTCAGTCCCGCCAAGCCCCAACAGAGATGGCGTTGTGCTTGTTACTCTATCACTTCTGTCAATTTGCTATTGAGACTCGCATCACCGACCTGCACACGCTGTCACATGGGTTCGGGGCAGAAAAGTCGCAGGCGAGAGATCACGCCCTAACAACCTACAAGGATATGGTTCAAAACCTCAACGCCCAGCTGCTGGTGAGCAACTACATCGACCCTTCAGTCAGCGGGGTGCATCTGGTGGCGGATAAGATTCGATCCTGTATTGTCGGAGACTTGATGGCAATCATGGTCCCCATGCACGACCTGCCCGAATGGGGCACAGAGATATTCAGTCCTGAAGACAATCTGTTCAGAATTTGCCTCACCCACTTCGAGCATCATTTCGATATGTACGAGCAAATCAAGGACACGAACTTCCTGTGGTTTTCCAAAGTCCAGTTTGAGAACGACGCAATGCTATACATCGCCAGTCAGCTCCAGAACCGTGCTCAGGGGTCGTTGGTCGATCGCTCTTGGAAGCTCCTTGAATGTGCGTACCGCTGGCACACAGAGTTATGGGACATGTCCGTGAAGGACAACGTCACTCTGGGCCTGGCTATTCTAAGGGCCTGGCGCCAGCGAGAGAGGAATATAGGAACATCAGGATTATCTGGCGATGTACCTTCGATCATTCATAAGCTCCACGCAGTTGTGCCCCAAACCAACCCATCCCCGATACCGCCAGTATCGACATTACCTCAACCACAGCACACGCTGCCCTCATCTCAAGCGGCGTATCTCGACACAGCCTGGATCGTTGACCAGCTCTCAAGCTATCAACTCGAGGGATCAGCGTTTGACCTAGACCAGCTACACTGGCATCAAAACTGATCCTCCAAGCTCGGATTTCTGACGAATTGGTATAAGATGCGTAGCCTAGTTGTTGCAGAGGGACAAATGGTTGATCAGCATACAGTGTGGGATAGGTCAGCCATGGACACCTAACTTGCTATTTAGCACAATCTAGGTAATATCATAGACAGATACTATTTCACTGGTTCGCTTCTTAGTTCTGGCTTGTTCTAGAAGATGCCCCGTTTTGATATAATCGTCAATGAGAATAAATGAACGACGAGCTCACAACGGAGAACCAAGCTATAACGAAATTAACCTAGAAGCGCCGAAGAAGTCAACACAAAACTCCCTAGACTCATCCAAATTTGCGGTTTCGTGTTCCCAAGTCATCTAATTATCACTATCATCCATTGATTGCCGGTCAAAGAACAGGAGGAGACGCATGTAAGCATCAAGGTGCAAAATCTCATATGGAAAGTGTCGCCGGATGAGACACCAAACTCGACGGGGTGCCTTCACGTTCTAAATTTCCGCAGTCTCTTTCTTATCAAATGTCGCTGCCCTGGTTTGGTTTGGACTAGGTGAATTTAATTGTGAATAGTGTAGAGCTATAATCAGACATGATCATTTGGGGGGGATACAAGAGAGTTTGCGATTAACATCAATCATCATTTCTTCCGTCTTCCAATACCAACTCTATACTCTTGAAGTATGTTCGAAAAATAAATAACACTCCAATGTTCATGATACAGTTATCTATACCAGGCATCCTTGCCCAAGTGCAGTTGTTTCCGCTGAAAGTTCTTGCTCGGCCCTGGCAGTAACGAATGCTAGCGTTTTCTTTTGTAAACACAGCTGGCTATGTTTGTAAGTTTTCTAATCCTCCCTCACTTCCCTAAATGAACTGAGACCCGAATTGATTTTTTTTGTTATCTAAGTAAACTCACATCATGATACTTCTTTACTTCTTTAGTCGTTGAGTGTAACCTCGTGAAACGTCAATCCATGTTAGATATGCGCACAATTTAGAGATACTATATGAATCAACCGTGCGAAAAAGATGAAACGCGGCCCTTGGTGCTCTCTTTACATATCTAGTTTTGTCCATACAGTGCTGACCTAGAGCTATACGAAACCACAATCTTGTTGCTGGTTACATTGCCAATGGAACTGAACAGTTGACCCTGAAATACGAGATCGCAATCTCGCCACCATCACGAATTCATGATAAGCTATTTCGTGACTTCCTGTTTTAACTCGCATAACCTCCTGTTTAGGAACGGAAAGCACGGGGAAATGGACAAAATGGGAAGATGCCGTCAAGGTTAAATCTACCTTCCTAATAGATTCATGCCAAGGATACGACCAAACCTCTTTATAACACCCGTCGTTCCCAAGAAAATTGCAGGCGGTCAGTCTCTAACTTGGCTAAGACCACCAATATGCGAGCCACTCACCTCTTTAGTGTTTTGTCTTCTGTAGCCGGGAGCCTGGCGGCGACATACACGTCGTGCTCCGAGTCCCAGATAGCTACACTTGAGGTGGCTATCAGCCGAGCTACTACCAAGGCCTACGCAGCCGTTGATTACTTAGAGGCCAATCCAAATGGTAGCGACTTGCAAACAACATGGTATGGGGAGTTTAGTACTGAAAGGTATAACAAAATCCTCACTGCCTTCAAGGTATATCTGCTCTTCCTGATTAGATTCTTGTATTTGTGTGAGGCCTGTGGCTAAAGAACACCCACCCTAGAAATTTGCACCTGATTTAGCTACCACCTTTCGGTATGACTGTTCCTGCCAAAGCAATGCCGTAGTTGCAACTATTGGAGGCACATATGGCGATGTCAGAATCTGCAGTGTCTTTTTCGACGGCTGGCCAGAGACTGGTCATCGTTCACAGTGGGAGTAAGTGAGATTTAGGTTCATTCCAGTCGTGCTGAGTTCTCATCATGTTTTAGTACCATCATCCATGAAGCGACACACTTCCGAGACGTTCTTGGGACTCGAGACCACGGGTACGGCGTTGAATATTGCCAACGATTTGCGCTAGAGGACCCTAATAAGGCCGTCGAGAATGCCGAGTAAGTCATAAGTTCTTCCGTGATAATAACATTATAGTACATCCCATACTGATAGCCACACAGCAATCACGCTCGCTTTGCTGTTGAAGTACCTCCGTTCGGGCCATGAAGCGGGCCTTTTAGTTAGAGCAACAACGCCAACTTTGAGCTGCATTATTGATGGCTCGCATGCTGATGAGCGTGAGGTATTCCGGCTATCAACAAGATTGTGAATGGGAAACTTCCAGTGATTAGGGGGTGCAGTTCTAATCTACATGAAAAGTCTAATGTCTTAACAACTATGTGAGCTGTTTCTGTTACAGGCCAAGCCTTGATCAGATAGATACTAGAGGTTCATAACAAGATAAATGGATTAAATTTGAATATTCACAACTTGAATCGCAGCTTATCTTTATCTATATATGTCCCAGAGAGGTGCCTGAATAACTGAGATGTGTTATATAGTGAGTAAAGCGCTCGCTACATGCTGACATATTCTAGTGTTCTTTTTTTAGAGTATTTAGCTAGTATATCATCCCAACCCCGTTCCTAAGGATGCCAGTTGTTTGGGGAGAGATTAAGCTGGCGACGAGTTAGCTGATGAAGAATCAAATATATAGAGTCTACTCACGAAGCCAGGGTTGATGTCCTTCAGAGACCCAAGTCCCACATTGGCGCCATCAACAGCGAGTTCCTTCTTGAAAAGCTCGATGACTCGCTCAACACCCTCTTGGCCGAACGCATTCGAGTACATGAAGGGGCGGCCGAGACCAACTGCCTTGACTCCAAGGGCGAGAAGCTTGAGGGCATCAGTGCCATATCGAACCCCACCGTCAGCGAACACTTCAGTCTGGTTGAAGATCTCAGGAGCCTCCTTGTAGATGGCAATTGCAACTTCCAGAGCAGATGGAGCGCCATCGAGCTGGCGACCGCCGTGGTTGGAGAGGACAATGGCAGGAACCTTGTTCTCAACCGCCTTCTTTGCATCCCTGACACTCATAATACCCTTTACAATGATGGGGAGATCTGTCATGTTCTGGAGCTTGTGATAGTAGTCCCACTGGTAGCGCGTGTCATTAGTATACAGGTCATATCGGCCTAATCATGCGGTGCGACTTACTGTGATGTGGCGGTAGGTGCCAGATCTAGAGATGACTGATTAGCATGTTATTTAAACATATGTGAGATGTTTGGATTTTACTTACGCCAAGCTTACGTCAAGGCGGGCTGCGCGGTGGCGAGAGCCGAAGATGGGAGCATCAACGGTGAAAACCAGAGCGTCGGCTCCAGCAGCCTTGCTGCGGTCAAAGAGGCTCTGGGTCTCCGTATCGTTGGTAGTAAGGTATAGCTGGGAAATATCAGTACAGTGACAATTATAATTGCTCTTATATTCACATACCTGCTGGAACACGACCTGGCCCTCGGCCTTGAGAGCATGAATTTCCTCAATGGACAGACTGGCGTAACCTGAGGGCTATAAATTGTTAGAAATATCCCGGGACTTGTTGTCTACGAACTTACAATATACAGAATCTTGCCAGCAGCAGCTCCCTTGACAAAGTTAGCCTCCGCATTGGGATGCCCGTAAAGGCCGTAGGCGCAGGGGCTGATGTAAAAGGGGGCCGAGAAGTTGTGGCCGAGGATTGTGGTACTATTAAATTTTGAACACAGGTGTCAGAATTTTCCAATCCATCTCTTAAACAATAATAAAACCTACGGTAAAGATTCCTCAATCTTAGTAACGTCATTCATCACCTCGGGGATGAAGGTGTAACGGCCAAACACCTCCAGGTTATTCCGGTAGGAGGACTCGCCCGCTGCTCCGTTGCGGTAGTAGGTGTAGTTCTGGAGAGGCAGATAGTTCCTCGCTGCCCAGTCAAAGTCAGGCAGGCCAACCATAGCCTTGAGATCGGGCAGGGAGCCTTTGGGAGTGTCTCCGATGACCTCTTCTAATCCAGTATCTGGCTCATTGATCCACGGGCGGGCTGCCAGGGCGCCTGCAGCAAGGGTCGTGCAGATCAGAGTAGAACGCATGATGAATGAATGTTGTGATAGTCTGTTAAGGAATGACTTGGCTAGCAACAGGGACGACCGGTTAATCTAACAGCTCGCGAGTAATAAACCATTGCGGTATACAACATTTAAATAAAAACATGCCAAAGCCATCTGTCGGCATACTACTCCAAGGTTAACTAACATAAGCATTATCAATCTCCTCTGATCCGGTTGAGAGGCATGGCTCCCATGACAGTTACAGGGTGCCAGCTTTATGAAAATGCCGCTACAGCCATGCACAAGTGACAGACATCTCGACCCCTGATCCTCCGATGTAACTCGAGGAGTCTCACGTATCTTGGTCAAAATAAACTAGTGACTAAGAGTGTCAGGGGCAAGCTACGCCCTAAATCTAACAAGGATGCTGTCTAGCGGTCTCAGAAAATGGAAGGAGTTAAAGAAACTCGCGCACAGGACCATACAGACCCATGAGATATAGTTATGGAATAGCCGGAGGTAGCCGAAAAAAGACAGCAACAAAAAGGGTGGCGTGATGATAGATTATAAAGACTGAATGCGTCCAAAATTACCGAAATAACAGGGAGAAGAATAGATTCGGAATTGGTGGATGCTCTTGGATATTGTGGCCATTTGGAAACACTGAGCAGGCAAACAGGAATTCGGTTACTAAGCTCGCAGCAACAGGGAAGATTGGAGGATCATGCACCATTCGACTTCTTGTTTGAAGGGCCAAACCAAGGACCCAGTTATACCAATAAATCGGTTTGAAAACATTTCTCCAGAAAATTATCTTGCTTCACGATTGTTTTACTCTACCGTACTGTATAAGACAGAGTAACTCTATGCGACTACGTAGTTCAGGATGGGTGGTGTAACTAGGTAGGTAATGAGGTTCACAGGTGATCAAGCCACAAACGGTTTCTTGATTAGAATCCCGTCGGATTATATGAAGAAATGTACGGAGTACACATAGAAGAAACACACGCGTCATGCCATTACCAGCCGTGAAATATCGGACAGGATGCTGACTGGAGTGAGACGTGATGGCAGGGATAGGTCTAGAATAACATCTCCACTCTGAGCTCTTTTCCACCCAGAAGGAATAAAAATCACAATAAATGACGAATCACCAGCATCCCCAGGCAAGGTGTCCTGGACCCTTTACCCACAAGCGAAGCATTGCGTGGGATTCGACTCTGTCGAGATAGCCGAACAACCCGAACCTGTGTTATAAGGTGAGGCCAATAATCATTCTGCATACCTAATAATAAACCTGTGAACATTCTCATTTGTCAGGAACCGACTCTCCACCTCAAATTGCTTCAGCTCCAAGAGTGAAGCGTACCACCTCAGCAACGCTTCCATCAGGGCCACGAGAATCAACCACTTGCTGCATCAGTGATCCCAGCGCTTCCAGTCCAGATGCATCAACACCCTCTTCTTCACAAGCTTTTAGAATGTTACGGATCCCCACAAGCTGCATTCCAATGGGGCTCCCTGCATTTTCATCGTAGCTTTGATCATCGATTGTCTGAGCAAGCAGACTTAGGTAGGGTACCAGAGCTGTAAGTACTGGCACAATTACAGTGTCAACTCTGGTCTTTATTTTGCCGCTGGCTCCCGAATTGGCTGCCTGCTTCTTTAGAAGACCGACCCCCGTGAAAAAGCCAGAAAACATGCCATACATCGCGGACAAAGCAGCAAGATCGTTCGCGGCTGCAGAGTCCACGTCGGGCCCAATGTAGGTGGCCAGTCCTAGGGGTCCAACAAGTTTGGCAACATTGGTGTCGAAGCTCTCCTTACTCTCACCACTGTATAGAACCAAGCTTTGGGGGGTACCAACAAGCTGTGGTGTGACCATGACGGCACCATCAAAATAATGGGACGCGCCATAGCTCTTCATCCATTTCTCGGCATCAGTTGCATCCTTCAATGTACCGTTGGTCAGGTTGATGATTGTCTTGCCGGCAAAGACTGTCCTGTCATTGAGAGGCTCCAGAATGGAATGAAGCGTGCGATAGTCGAGAACGCATATAACAATGATTTCGGCTTGCTTGATAGCTAAAAATACATCTTGATGGAAGATCGCGCCCTCCTTCTCCAAATTTTGGATAGCTGGACGCTCTTTGGTGCGGTTCCAAAGCAATATCGGCTGATTGAGGGCGGGCTGAAGCGTTTTAGCAAGTGCCGCGCCCATGTTACCAACGCCAAGGAACAAAACTCGTGAGGCGCTCATAGTTGCTTGTTATGAGAAAAGTTATTGGTGATTATTGTGGTTGAAGCTTCGATATCTTTTATGTGAAGGGCCGTTTGCGCGGTTGGATTGTGTTTCTAGCCTATAACTTGAATTGATATGGGACCGGGCCCCCTTAAATAGAGTTGAGGCTCTCATTCTACGTCGATGGAAAATTCATTTTCAGTACACTTTCAGATAAAGGTTCACATGGTTGCTATTCAGTCCCGATTACAAACGCGGCTTCCGGCGATGCTTAAATTAGTAATTGGGAGTCTCGTATGTGTCGTATTCAGCTCTGAGGAGGTTCCGTCTTCTTTATGTTACAAACCAACAAGCCTATTTTACGGATTTCGTCTTGTCAGATGGTCACGTAATAATATATGACTCATGCGAACTTCGAAAGGCGGTGCGCAGTTCGCATAGGAGCAGTGCAAGGGTGAATGGCAAGACTTGCTCACTCAGTACCACTGTTTAATCAGTGGTCACATAGCCTCTCCTCGGAGAATACCATATGAACTGTAATTCAGGTATTGCTAGGGGGGAACAATAACCTTTTCATTTCTATCAATTAGCCAAAATGAGGATGCTGTTGCACATCTACTGCCCAAGTGATCGTTTCCTTCGTCTGCGTTCTTTGCCTTCAAAAGCCTCCTTGATTTCATCCAACATTCCATCTGTAGTCAAAACATCAACTGCTACACCAGCAAGACCGTTGGCAGCCCGGATAGCAAGCTCAAACGCAGCCCTGCTCCCAGCTGCGACCTCAAATGCAGCCGTGTGTGTTCCCCCATCAGGAACTGATCCGTTGGCAGTTGTGATGGCAAACATCGGATGGATGCTTGGGAATTCGTGGCTGATATCTCCCTGATCCGTGCTTCCACCGGGATCCGCAATCTTGGCGAGGGCGAGGTCTGGAAGTTCTCCTCCAAGGCCAGTAAACCACTTGGCATATGACTCGGCAAGAATGTCGTTGGTAATCATGTTGGCGTACCCGTAAGGCCTGATCGTAACATTCAGCTCGGCTCCAGTCCCGATAGATCCGGCTTCGAAACATTGCATAACCCGATCTGTCCACTTCTCAAGGGTTGAAGAGTCTTTACTCCGGATTTGAAAACTAGCCTGTGAGAGCGACGGGATGACGTTAATTCGCGATCCAGCAGATGTGATGATCCCGTGAATCTGATCAGTCTTTGTTGTTTGCTGCCGAAGCATGCTCAAGGCATTGTAGGCCAGGACAAGGGCATCCTCGGCATTGATGCCCTCCCATGGTGAAGCGGAAGCATGTGCCTCTTTCCCATAGTACTCAACTTCAAAGCGATCAGTAGCAAATGTGTTTGCATAAGGAGCATTGCCCGTGGAAGGGTGAGCCATGAGACTCATATCGATCTTTTGATCCGAGAAGACACCAGCTTCGAGCATCTTAATTTTTCCTCCAAGACCTATGAGTTGGTTAACAAAAATTGGACACGGTCCTAAGATATTGCCTCGCTTTCGAACATACTCTCCTCGGCTGGAGTTCCAAAAAGAACAACCTTTCCAGGAAGACTTTCCTGTCGCATGATTTCTGCGGTGGCAAGGGCGGCGCTGATGCCAACCGAAGCGATTAGGTTATGGCCACATCCGTGGCCCAGTCCAGGGAGAGCATCTATCGTTGTCTGATCAGCACTAGCTTTCTTGAAAGAGGTACACAATAGGTGCATACCATATTCCGAATTGAAACCAATGATTGGTCCATCGCCATTGCCAGTAAAGACAGCAGTGAATGCGGTGCTGATATTCTTGACTGATCTCGTAACCTCCCAACCATCCTGGGACTCCATAAAGGTTGTCAAAAGCTCATGGGCTCGTACTTCTTCGTATCCCAATTCGGGGTTATCGTGAATTTCCTGATTAATTGGCCATACATCCTCTTTAAGGGTATCAAGATATTCTTTGATTGCGCCAAAATAAGGGCTCACGCTCTCGTTCCGAGGGGCGAGGTGGTTGCTGGCAAGCACGGTGGAAGCGCTCAAAAGCGCAAAACCAAGGTTTCTAACCATGGTATGAGAGACAAAGGCGAGGAGACTACTCTCAGGGCGAGCTTAGCAGAGCGGAAACCTGCCAACTCGGGAGAAGAGCCGGGTATCTATAGGCGATGCTCTCTCCCCAAAATCAGGCTCACCCCTGAACAGATCATTCTCGGTCTTGACTCTGTTATCTCAAGCCATGTCGAAATACTGCGGGGGTCGTGGTATTCCAGGTTTCCAAGTGCCTATCAAGCCCCGCAAGGTCTATCGCCTTCTTCATTCGTACCCTGCTTTTAAAAAGACCGACATCATGGTGGGTCAGCTTCATACCCCGTCAGCGATTCCGGCGTGAGGGGCAGGAATACGGCTTTTAAATGGCAAGAAAGCACTGCCGACAATGTCGGAGAAGAGCCGGTCCTCATCGGGGAATCGCCCGATAATGATGATAACCAACCCCACCGCATATCCCAGTTCGAGAGGGGCTCCCGGAGAACAAGTTGGTTTCTCATTCGCCACGGTTAAAGTTGATTCAACTAAACTAAACTCTACGCTACCTTAAATGTAACCTTGAATGAGGTAATTTCCACTCTTGATAGAGATATCCACCCTCATAAAGCTCCATCATGTCATCCCGGGTCCTAGTTCTATCACCGATATGGCATTTGGTAATTTACTTACGTACGCATCCCCAAACCTGATCTCAGAATGGTACCGAATAAGATCTGGCGTATGCCTAAAACCCAGGACATGTTCCACGAGTTGCTGCAGTCTATCTATTGTGTTATCGAGAGCCGAGCCGAGGGTTTAAACTATGAGCCTTCAGTGGGTGTCGTTTATAGAATACAAAACATCGACCTGCTACCTCAATCTTCTCTTTTCTCTTATGCAGATACTCCAGGTATCTCGTTGTGAGCAGCGTGAGATTCTTCCCGTTGCATCTTAATCCCTTCCAAGTCAGTGAGAAGTTGAGATGTAGTTGCAGCCTTTTCCAATACGGTTCCAGGTAGAAACAGGCTAACAAAAGAGATCGATGAATTAAGTCAATATCATATTAGGTTCACTAGTTATCTATACGCATACATGGATGACTCAAGGGGGAAAAGTATCCGACAGAAGCTCATCATGTAACAGCATGGTCTAGCTACAGGGTAGTTGGACTCACTAAGTCAACGCGTCTTCACTTGTTGTTGTGACATCGATTAATCAATAACGAGCTAAGAATCACAGCTCAAGCTGTAGATGACGAGTTTGATATGTTACACATGAATTGAATTCTCTCTTCTGGATCTCCAGATTTCCCTCTCGAATTCTAGGAAGCCTTTACCTTCAACACAACTGCCAGAGTCGCGAGAGCATTTGCCATGCTGACAGAGGCTAAACCGCAGTGGGATGAAGCTGGATTTGTCATCCACAAGCAGATGGATGCCGTGGAAATTCCACGGCCTTTGAGACCACCAATTCAATGCAGTTTATCCAATTGATCCTTGTCTCGGATCGCGCCTCTCTGACTAATCAATCAAGCCAGGCTACCGTCTCTTGTTTGGTGGAGGCATTCGTTTGATGTCGCGACAAGCATCAATGTATACCACAACGTGTTCATGTTAGCAAGATGTCCTCCCATACAGACAGCCAGTCGGATGATACACGGCCACACCGACGTAAATGTAAGTGCAGACGAGATGCGTTACCCATGCCCGGTCCGGTCGCTCACATGTTCAGCATGCGACTTGTGCTTTAGGAAGAAAATCAAATGTGACATGCTGCTGCCCGTCTGCTCAAACTGCATACTCTACAAGTCAGACTGCCGGACTAGTCTTGTCCGGCACAGGGCTGGCCGCCAGATGAAGCAGACGAGGGCTAGTGACAAGAGTGCCTCGACAGATCTCAAGCCGTAGGTTCTGAATACTAGGTTATCGTCAGGTCCTAATGGTCAAGTGCTAATAGACAAACCAGAAATGAATTAACTGATGATTTGGCCCATCGCCTAGTAAGAATCGAAGACAAGCTGCAGGAGGTGTTGGAGAGGGCAGAGCAAAGATACAGCACTCCGTATGATCTGTCGGGTGATTCGCTAGGCCTCCCCGCCCTCGAAACACTCAAGCCTTGGGTGGACAAGTATTTCAGCACATTCAACGGTGCCATGCCTCTATTCCAGGAAAAGGTATTTGATAGAGTATTGTTTGCGTCCTATAACCACTCGACAACTGCCTGGTCAGCTATCCTTGCGATATCAGCAATCGGGATTCGCATGTCGATACCGGGCAAAGGGCTTGCTGCCGCTAGTGATTTGCCCCAGTCAGCTAATGCAGATCAGTACGCATGCAAGGCTCTTTCAGTCGCATTTGATCTGGCAAGTACCAGCGGAAATATTCTCGCTGTACAAGTCTTGGTGGCCCTGGCCATGTTCTTCACCTGCATGGGCAATATGGAAAAGGCCAGTGCTCTCATTGCCATGGCGGTGAACCTGGCCCATCGTTTGCAGTTATATTCCAAGCACTCAGCCCAATACATGCAGAAAGAAGTGGCGGAGCAAAGGCACAGAGTCTTCTGGGTGTTGTTTTCCCTGGAAAAGGTATATCAGAAGCGTCATTACAAGAGCCAAACAATCATACTAACTTGAAGTCAATAGACGATTTCGTATCAGACTACCCGCCCTTCAATGCTCTCTGGAGCCGAGATCGATATCCCGCCACCATCCAACCATCCGCTCGACGGCAATGGCATTGTATGGTCTCGTGATAGAAGAAGTAGTCTTAATTACTTCCGGAAAACCCTTGATCTTTCTTTAGTACTAAGCGAACTGTCCCGTATCCACAACATTGCCAGCGGCTCGGAAGCTTGGGCGACTCGACTTTCCAGAACCCGGACTACTTTGGAGAATTGGTACAAGAGCATCCCACTGGAATTCCAACTAGACAATGTCCTCTCGAACGCAAGAGAGGAAGATAGAATGCAGCTCACAAAATTCTACCACGCTTATATTTTCGCACTCTTGTCAATGCACTGCTGTTTCAGCCCCAAGGCGAAGTGGATGCTGCGACTAAGCCAGCATGGTAGAGAGGCCGCTCAGAATTATGCTACTGAAACGATTGGATTTAGGGCAGTCAGATGTCTCAGCCAATGCGAGCCCCCCTCTGCTGAAGCCTGGAGCCTTTTGTTAGATGCGAGTCGTGGGTTTATCAAACTATTCGGCGAAGGCCTGAGTGCTATCGAACCGTCTACATGGTATGTGATCACGACCTTTCAGCGCGGGCACTCCGTAACAATGATATTCTCTTTAGGTGCTGTACCAACACGTACAATTCGGCGGTGATAATAGTCATGGCGGACACGCTGCTCTCGCCTTTTGATCCAATGGCAAATGCGAGCATCGTAGAAAAGGCGACACAGCTATCTCACATTCCACCCGGCAACAGCACTTACTCCCCAGCACTGCAGATACTTCTCGGGGAGATGTGTGGCGATTTGCAGGCCAGCGAAAGAGTACTTCAATCAGATATGTCAAGTGACTCGCAGCAGGGGATGGTCTCAGATCTCGATCTCTTCGATCAGCTGGAGGCTTCTGCGATGTTAGATGGGATCTCAAACCCGTTGCCTGACAATCCATTTTGGGAAGAAGGCATGTTGGGCGACGACCTCCCGTTTACTCAGTTCTAGTTAAACAGTCCAATTGCGAAGGAATCGACTATCATGATTGTATTTGAATATGAAATGAAGCCAGTTAGTGGCTTACGTGTATAAATAGTAAATTTATGACAATCACCAATGCAAAATATAGTTCCAGGATGCCCATAAGACGGCACCTTTTGTCAGACCGGACGCCGTGGGCCAACCACGGAAATGCCGTGGAGCAAACATCACCACACGAGGAGGTATAAAGGAACTTGTCCTCGTTGAAAATAATCATCCGTCATCATTCCAAGCAACCAAACCTGCTTCAATACGTCCTCCTATCATTTTCAGCACCATGACCCTTCCTATCCTTACAGTGGTTGGCGCCCTTGGCAACCAGGGGCGAGGTGTCGTTTCCGCCTTTCTCGAAGACAAAGCACAGTTGAAAGTGCACATCCGGGCCTTGACGTCAAATCCATCCTCTGAATCGGCCCAAGAACTTGCCAAGAATCCCAATGTCTCTGTTGTCCAGGTCGACTTGACTTCTGCCGAAAGCATCGAATCCGCGCTACAAGGCTCCACGTATATTTTTGCCAACACCAGCTTCGACCCAGCAACGTTCATAGCACAAGGAGCAAAGGCAGCAGAGGAGCTCGAGAACACCCATAAACTGAACATCACTCGCGCGGCGTCGAAGGTCGCCACACTGAAGCACCTGGTGTGGTCTACCCTGCCAGATGCGAAGGCAGCGTCCGGCGGCAAGTACCATATCCCTCACTTTCAGAGCAAGGTTGCCGCGGACGAACTCGTCTTGGACGCCAAGAGTGGGCTAAGTGATAAAACCACATTTCTTCGTATTGGAGTGTATGGCTCCAACTTGCTCAGAGTTCCGCATCGCCCTGTCTACTATGTATGTTACACCCTTCCCGTTACTATTTTCGGTCATGTTGTTCGAAGGCTAACTTTTGAACAGCCCGATACAGCCACACATATCGTACAATATCCAGTGGGCCCAGATGTGAAATTCGCATTCATTGGTGACGAGGTAACCAACACCGGCATTTACACCAGAGCGATTCTGGAACAGCCCGAGAAAACCATCGGCCGGATTATTGTGGGAGTCGCTGACTATCTCTCGTGTACCGAGTGGGCAGCCATATTCCAGAAGGTGCAAGACAAGCTTGGCTCAGGTAGCAAAGTCTCGTTCAAGGAATGTTCTCTAACGGAATACGAGGAGAAATGGGGCGGTATCGGAACTGAAATCGGTCTGATGATGTGCTATTTTAACGAGTTTGGCGAGAGAAGCTTTACCACGACTACATGGGGCTGGCCAGTCATAACAGCTGGGGATCTCGGGATTGAGCATGACTTGCGCAGCACAGAGGAAACAATGCTGGGCTTGGAGTGGCCAGCCCATAATTAGCAACGTTCGATGATGCTGGGCTCTGATGGCCGGCTAGCCAACATTTAGCAATTCAGGGTTCATTATAGGCTATCTTCTCTGACGATCGTATTGAAATTGATCCATATCCATGATTTTGGTTTGAAACCCGTTCCTAATTGCGTTAACCCTAAATGAGTTCAACTAATTGAATCATGGCTATAAGCGGGTTACTTGCAAGTTGAAACTTGAGAGGATTCCGGGTTACTCTAGCATGCCGGTCACAGCTTACAATCACTCTATTTCGTCTAACCACGACAATACTTCTTTTGAGGGAGGCCTTTTTCGTCAAATTGCTGGTCAGCCTCCAAGGCTGACTCCCCGCGACGCTTGTGGAGCTTGAGCTGGAAACCCTAGCCTTCAGACCCTCAGGGCCATGAACCAGCATGGGCAATACACAACAGCAAAGGCGCCAACCCTTATATGATTGGTCTCACGGACTCAGTGAGCAGCCTCGGCTTTTGGACAATGGCTGGTCCAGCCCCCAAGCCAAGCCAGGGGTAAGAGAGGCAAAGTAAGACAACAGACTGCGCCCCCACAAGATACAAGAGGCCGGTTTGTCAATTCTCTCATTCGGCTTACCTTCTCTAAGAGCATTTTAAAGCTTCATTCCAGTTTTTGAAACATCTTGGCATGATCTTCTGTCAGGCTCCTGAACCGGTGTAATGAGGTCTTAGACTCAACGATCTAGCGCGTAAAACACGCTGCGATATGGTCCTGAAGAATACCTAAATGATACACACCAAGAGATACACTTCTAGTACTCCCCATCACTGCCATGGCGCCAGGATTGGAGCTCCTGAAGAGAATATGTTTGTCCCGAAAGTCGATCATCCAAAGTTATTATTACACCTTCACAGCCAGAAAAGATGGGCCTGGCGATAAGCCCCCAACTACCGGGTATAGCGCTGACAAGTCTCCAAATCACAGCTTACACTGCTAACCGCTGTCCTTTGCCAGCTATAGCGCTGACGGCTGCTGATTATTATGTCTTCTCCTGGGGCCCTGTAACAGTGACGGTTCGTGATATTCCAGGGGTGTCTCCCAGTCCTCTGCGCGTATAGGACATATTATTAGACGAAAGCTCAGTTCATCCAGCCTATTTCGTTGTACAAGCGCGCAGTTGTACAGATATATATATCTAATGAATGTCCCGATTTTCGGTTTCCTTGTTGCGATTTCAATCAAGCAATAGCTCTCTCGACCTGATTTCATTCAATTTATTCACTTTTTCTCTGCACTCACTCTCATAAACATGCTTTCACGATCGTTTCTCACTGTCCTCGGTGCCATTGGCTATCTGAGCCAGGGCACCAATGCTGAGAGCCATTACAATGCCGATACTCGAGATCTCAGGGGAGGAAACGACAATCAACCAACCACTCTTTCGACAGCCATTATACCCACAGCGACAGCCAGTCCGGGTACTGGTGTGGGCTTTTGGCCTGCGTACACTCCGGAAAAGGACCAGAATGTCAAATTCGGCGACATCCTGAAGATCACCTGGGGCTATGACCCTCGCTGGGACGGCAAACTCACCATCACGCTCATTGGCGGCGCCGCACAACCCGAGCAGGTCCCTCTTGGTGTCGTAGCCGGTAAGTCCTCGTTGCCCACCCCTTAGGAATTCAAGGATGCTGACCACGATCTAGAGCACGTGGAGAACAAGCAAGGTTACTATCTTTGGAATGTCACGAATGGATTTGTTGGAAAGCACGCGGTTTATGGGTTCAGCGTTTTGTACCAGGACGGCAAGACTCAGCAGTATTCGATGCCTTTTCACATAGTTTGAGGTTTTGTCAGTGTTCGATAGCGTCGCGTCAGTGTTTTCCCTTTCATAGAATTTGTGCACTTCACAACTTTCATAAAATCCCGATGTCCATTATGTAATCAATGTCTGTGCTCTCGCTGCTAACTAAATCTGTTGAGACTAAATGCTACCCTATACACTGCCTGGTAGACAAAGAGATGTGTCTGATAAACGACTGATAGATGATGGAGACCTTATTAGAAAGTGGTATTTGAAATTACGTATAGGATGGATACAGGGCCTGAGGGGTATAGTCCTTTGGATCGGGTTCTAGGTGTGGACAATCGTTGTAGAAACACATTTTGTGGATGAGGATGGCATCAGGACAAGAACACAAGCGACTGGAGTCTTCCGGTACAGGGTAACCAATTTTAGAGGGCGTAAGTTTTCCAGAGGGTCGGCCGCATCCGCACCAATGATATTGACAAGATTTAACCGACGAGAATGTACGTCACTCCGTTTTTGTCAGCGAATGTTTGGTGGAATTTTGTTTATTTTTAGGCCATGCAGGCTCTAGATAATTCTAGCAAAGTCCCAGCATTCCATCCGTTCAGTCAAAGCCACCAAATCATCACGCTTCGCCCCTCGTCATCAAGTCGTCAACAGAATTTTTTTGTGGTCATTTTCGATTTGTTTCTTGTTTCGCCTGGGTGGTGAATTTATTTGCAGCCAGAGCAGGAGCCTGGTGGCACAATCAGTTAGCACATGATAGGAGGATGAGATAAGATAAGATAGCGAGATAGGGAAAACACGGAGCACGAACAGGAAGAGCCGCAGTTGCAGCTAGAAGCACCGGAGCATCCGCAGTCGCCAGCCATTGTGAAGAGTAGTTTGGTGTTGAGGTTGGGAAACCTGAAAAGAATAGATAGATGGTATGTAGAGGTGAAGAGTTGTCGTTGTTGCTGTTTGATGGAGGGGGAGAGAGAGGGGGATCAGGCCCGGCTTAATATACCAGGGTGAGCACTTTGTGCGTTGTCGTATGTTGCGCGGTTTGCGCGGGATCCAACCAACGGGAGCGAGACATTTGCCATTCCAGATACCCGGAAGAGGGCCCACCACCTGCAAATGGTTTAAGGCCGCCGATGGGCGAACGCTGGTTGGTGATGGCAGTCGGGGCGGATGGAGTCGTGGTGGGGGAGCTCATGTCATGCAGCACGTCTGCGAGCTGAGTGAATTTAGCCTGCCAACGAGATACGTAGCAATGATCTTCGCGGTGGCAATATGTGCTCAATCTTGGCATTTGATGTGTGGGCTATCTACAGATGTCTGACTTCGTGCACCAGGCAGCTCTCTATGATCTTATCCGTCACATTAGGCTCTGACCACGCCACGACCAGATCCGGAGCTGCTCGCGAAATGTGATGGCCTGTCGCACAGTCTACCGTATGCCTCGGAATCAACAGCGTCATTCTCGTCCGGGGCCCGACTAGCCAGGGTGATTCACGCCTCCAATTGGGTAGCATGTGAGCAAGTTTTGCCCAACGATCCACCCTGCAGGAGGGCAAGAGGGGTAGGAGGTCGTACTGTTTAACCTCCCCCTCCATTTGCACAGTAACATCACCGGTTCAGGGTCCTTGTCTCGTTCCCCGAATGGAACCATGGTGGGATGCTGGTGGCAAGCTGGAGCCTGCTCATGTTCCTCAGTCTGTGGGGGTTTATCTGCATGTGTAGTTTTTCCGGCCCGGAATCCGGCTAGGGGACATGAGTCTAGGCCATGGCAATCGAGACCAGAGGCTGCATCAGTTGCTGATTGCTGACCCCTGTACATCTGGTTGCTGATGAGGGGTCTCTCCATCGAGACTGACCTCTGATGCACAGAACGTCTCAAGCATCTTGGCGCAGCAGCCATCCGCGAGTGTGTGCTGGCTGCCGCAAGGATTGCCCAGTTCGGGTGAGTGAATCATGAAACACTCTGACTGGAGCAACGGACGATTTCATAGGTGCTTCCTCCACCTCGCCTTGATCTTACTCATAGCCAACACGTGCCGCATTGACTATCATGTATCATCTATCCCGCGTCGTGTCGCTTTGTTCACCGTAATTTATGTCTTAGATGCGTGTAGGACGTGAGTTTCCTTGCATGAAACTATCGACAATACTGGCCAATGTCGTGCGTTGGGACTAAAATCCTCGCGAATAGCTGGCCTCCGATCCACGTGGCTCGATCCCCATCCCCGGGATGCCCCGTGATGATTTGCGCAATATCGTAGCGTGTGATTCGATGTCCGGGCAGATCCAGGATGACGGCGATCGAGCCATCTCGGTAGTGAATCAGGAAAGAGGCAGCACCATGTCACCTCGGTGAGTTGAGGCCCAACGGTTGTGGCATAGTCAGATCAGGCGGGGTGGCTTATGCCGCCCACCTGAATCGGCTCGACTGCAGACCGCCCGACTTGAGCAGACCACATCTTTGGGATTCCTGTCTATATCAGGCCTGCTATGAGGCAGCGAGAGCATGGATCCTACCATGGAAGCACGGACATCCTCGTCCACGTGCAGGAACTCCCAACTGGAAACAGTCACACGAATCGACGAAAACGGTGCTCCGAGCACAGAGATGGGTGGTACCGTCTCACACCGAATACACATTTGTGACGTAGCTTCATGCGATCGTGAGTTTAACAGGTTCTAGAGCCTCGTAAATTCGAGCCCGCGCCCCGGTGAGACGTGCCACGTCGACCTAGCCCAACACAACCTTTTGTATTATGCCCGTCAGCGGCTTCCGGTATTTGGCACAAGGTAAGCCAAATGAATTACACGGCCATCGCCCTTTCAAATCAAACCAAATGGAATGAAAGGAAAGCATCGTTAACAAAATCAGTTGCGCCAAACACAGGCCAGCCAGCCAAGACTATGAAGACCGCCTAGCAAACCTGCATCACCATGGGTGGTACTAGCAAATCTAGCAAGTCTAGATCTGACAAGAGAAGATCCGGCAGGAGCCAGCCGAGCAAGAGCAAAGGCAGCAGCAGCAGAGCAGAACTTCACACAAATCGCCTCTTTATTGTCGTATACCGAGGCGACCCAACTGACCATTCCTACTTGCGACACACGGCACTCTTCGTCTCCACCGACGAAGGAGCTCAAAGCAGCCTACTACATGCCATCGGGGAGCCTGGGAACTTTGAATTTGAGGAGGTTTGGGGCGCCCATGACCCCGCCGAAAGCCAAACATTTGTTGGACTCGTCGAGGTCAGCGTCTATGAGCATCAAGATGTGCGGGTGCTTCAAGACTGCATCTCTGGGACGCGCATTCGGAACGACCAAGCTACCTGGGACTGCCAGACTTTTGTGACGGATGCTCTGAAGAGACTCAAGAGAAAAGGGCATTTACATGAAGATGACTTCCTCAACGGATTTGAGGGAATGATGGATATGCTGGAGACGGATAATAACCTTATTGAGGATGACTGGGAAGAGTAGCGATGCTGCTGGGATGTTTCATTTTGTGACAGAGACACACGACTGTCGGTCGGATTTTCATATGGAAGGACTTCAAGAGCGACCTGTTTTCTGCTTCTTTTCTTCTGTTTTATGTTGGTTAATGCAAGCTTTCCTCTTCTACACCTCCCGGAATAGGTTTTGTTTGGGCCATCTTGGGCCATCATCTAGATTCTCTCAATCCTTCCAAGAGGAGTATGTAGGATATAATAGCTGCTGTAGTGAAAATATACGCTTCACCTGATGCTGTTTCGTTACATGTATGGTCAGACGAGTCCACCAGTCGAATTCATATCGCTTGCCTGCTGACTCTTACTGATGAACCACAGGGACTTCTTCCAAGCCGCAACCTCCTACATTACTTTCCACTTCACTCATACAGAACTGGCTCTCCTCCTTGGGTGCAATTTTCCTCTGCATATACTTTGACGTCTTATAGTAACTAACTACTCGCTGTGGTTGTGAATAAAGGGCTAGTACTGGCTAAGGTTGACATTTGGTTCGTCAATAAGTCCCAATAGAAATTATTCGCAGCGAAAACTTCATCTGATTAGAACATTGGTTGGGTGAATCTGGTGCTTGCTTCAAGCTAGCTATACGATCGAGATGAGTTCCCACTTCTTCCGCGGAAGGATATTCCACAAGTCCTGAAAAACCACAGTACTCATGTAAGAGGCTCGCACCCAAACACCGGGACTTGTCTCAATAACCGGCCAAATGTAGATCCTGAATTTGCCGCGAAACTTCCTCGGCTTTGTCATATGCCCACCAAAGACGGCGACGAGCTTGATGTCCCGCAAAGATTCCTTGTTATTTTCACGATTGGTCTCATCTTTCTGATTCTCCTCGAGGATCTCATAGAAATTCTCTCCGATCATGACAGGGAATGGGTATTCCCGCCTCGTCATTCTAAGGCCAGAAGGCGTATTTAACGATGATGTGGCTTTGAACCCAGCCGAAGAATCATATCGAAGCTTAGCTGTCTGCGAATAGAATATGAGAGCTCTGTGTTTTAGAAATGGAGTTGCAGATAACTCTGGGGGTATATCCGCTTCTAGAAGTTCTGTCTTTCGACTTGGGGGAACTTCGCCAGAACCAGCACATTCACCCAATAACAAATCAGCAATTGGTTTAGGCCGGCTTCTCCAATGTTGCCCGTCCTGTATCTCAACCAATTCCGAAGCTCTGTCGAAGGTATAGAACAACGGGCTGTGAGCGGCCGGCTCGTCGCCGAAGACGTGAATCAGCTGACCACCTTCCATCCACCCCATCCAAGACCAAGTAGGGAATGCAACCCTCGCGATAGTCCCGTTGGCTTCTTTGATGGGATGTGTCCCTTGCCTCTGTCTCCTTGCCGGGTCAAAATCCCACTCCCACATTAGAAAGGAGCCGAACGCGCCGTGAGGTAATCCCCAGGAGAACATCTGGCCACCCCATTTCGCATCCAGATAATTTTGCGTGCCTAGATAGGCGCGGCCCAAATCAGACTCAAACGTCAACCTGCGTCTTGAGAACGTGGTGGCGATATGCTGGTACTCTAATGGGTCAAACTTGTCATCAAGTCTCAGGCGTGTCTTTGGAGACTCAAAATACTCGACCGTATCCTCACTTAGGAGGCCCTGACGGCAGCTCCAATAGACCAGCTCTGCGGTGAAGAACAAAATCCTTCTGGACACCAAGGCCTCTTGGAACGTCCACGCACGCTGTGCCCACGGTGTTCGGGATATCCACTCAGGTTCCTGGTACGAGGTCTGACTCCGTAGCTGCCGGTGATCTACAGAGTCGATCAACGGAACTCCTCGGACCTCGAGCTGTTGCTGGACCAGGGTTTTTGTTCCTGGGCGAACGCCGGGGATACCTGCATGGGCGTTGACGCCGGCGGCTGCAACAATGGTCACAACGCTCTGTCGATAAATGGAATCCATTCTGTCAATTGTTGCGAGCATGTCGGATTCATCGTCTTGGATGATACACAGACTGTCGATCCAGATGTACCGTATCTGCAGATTGCGACAAACCTCAATCGCGTCGCTAATAGTTAGAGGCAGCGATGCGTTGCGCAAGCTCCCTGGTGTCATCAGGGTTTCTAAATTGTCCTTCACGAGACGCAAGAACGGCTCTGCACCCCATACATAGCTCAGAGTCGCGAACGGGGGAGCATGTCCATCCGCGTCCCATATGCACATATTCTCGACATCCACCAGTCTAAAACCCGGAACATGGATTCCCCCGTTGTCTTGTTGACAGAGATCGTGATCTTCATGCGAAAGGCACAAATCCAGCCACCCCCGTAGCATGGTGTAATCAACTTCGAGTGGCCTTGAGCGCCCGAGCGCAGTCTCCAGACTTGCTACTTGCGTTGCTGGCCGAGGCCCGTCATCGTCGACACTCCCGACCCTCCATCCACCAGGGGCCTCGTAGGTGATGGTATCCTGGCCGTACTCGGCCTCTGATTTGTGCGTGACGGGAACGCGCCCTCCAGGCCCGGCTCGCTGGAGCAGCATTTCAAAGTAGAAGTTGGATGGGCCGCCGATTATCACCCAGACATCCAGCACTGTACGGTGGCTGGTGCCTTCGAAGCCGAAAGACCAGTTGCGGGCCTCTTTGATGCCATGGACGGAGATTTGGACGTGGGCATCCTTCATCTCCTCCTCCATTGGCATCGCCCGTTCTCCATCACGTCGTTGAGGGTTGCGATAGTTGTCTGCCCACGTTGCAGGCTGCTTGGATCGGTAGTCGATCAGCTTCGCCAAACCAGCGCAGAACTCGCAGTTCTCACCGCTGAGCCGCAGCTCCTTGAGGCTGAGGGAGGCTCGGGAATTGGAATCGCGGAAGTGGAAGGCGTCTGTGCCGATGAGCTCGAACGCGATCGAGTCGCAGCAGTGCGTGCTGCCGAGATCACCCATTCTTTATGATTCACATGCATTGTGATTGAGCTGCTGTGTTTTGGAAAAGCGTTGTTATCTGCTTGACCGACTGTGGGGCAGGCACAGGGCTTTCTCATCAGATTACGAGGCTGACTTGGAGACAGTGGCAGTGCTTAGTGATCCTTGCCACCTCAGAACACCCGAATATATCGAAGCCAAGCCAGTGTGAACCTGTAAATATAGTATGATGTGTCATGAGGCGTGCTGTCGTCGACAGGCAACTCTAGACTCTGAGACTTCACCACTTATGTTAGCGATTGAGAGTTGAAAAAAATGCAACCCGAGTTTTAATAACTACGTTGAGCTGTGAGTTTGGTTTTCCTACGGCCTTCGAGAAGAGGATAAATAAATCAAAACTTGGTCTCATCCAAGATGGTGGTGAACAAATTTGACGAAGCAAGCCCTGCCTGTCTTTACCCTTCAGTACACCTTGTAAAGTCTTTCTCTGAAACATAAGTTCCTGCTGGCCTAGACTGATACGGAAGAAATTAAAGAGAAAATCTTGTTCTTTGAACACAAGGCCAGCGGTTAAGCATATCTGGAATAGAGCTGGAGTAGAACAGTCGACGATTATTTTCTCATTTGTAGCAATGCTTTTTCAACCAGTCGCTGGGGCACAAAAAAGGAGACACTATTAAGCGTAGATGCTTGAGCCATCATGAACAACTTGTTTCAAATTCAAAAATTAAACAGTTTAAAAGTCAGCCTGTCGGCTCTCCCAAGACGCAAGACTGCCCTGCGCTCTGGGATACAAGTCCTTCTCCTCGCCATTCACCTTATGCGTGCCATTCACGCCATTCGCCTTCACAGGAGGCCCATAGCCGCCACCAGAAGGCGTGTCCATCAGGAGCTGGTCCCCGGCCTTGACCTTGAACATCGTCTTCAGTCCCAGGTTCACCTCTCTGTACGACCCATCCGCCTGCTTCCGCCTCCAGATATTCCTTCCGTACGAGCCCTGATCACCACCACGGGTGCCGTACGGCCGCGTGGTCCTCCTCTCCGTGATGACGCTGAAGCTGAGCGGCGCCAGCGCCTCGTAGACTCTTCGGGCACCGTCACCACCGTTGAAGGTGCCCTTGCCGCCACTTCCACGACGGATGCTGAACTCCCGCAGGAGAACTGGGTATCGCTTCTCCATGAGCTCGACGTCTGTGATGCTCGTGTTGGTCATGTGGGTGTGGACGGCGTGCGCGCCGTGGAACGTCGGGCCAGCGCCGGAGCCTCCGCAGATCGTCTCGCCAAAGGAGTAGGCGAAGCCCTTGGTCTGGCCCCGCTCGTCGACATTCTCGTCACCGAAGAAGCCGACGCAGTTCATGCAGCCCTGGGATGCTCCGATTGCTTGGAAGGCGTCGAAGATGGTGTCGCAGATGCGGGTGGAGGTGTGGGTGTTTCCGGCGCAGACGGCAGCCTCGTCTGAAGGGTTGAGGAAACATCCCTTGGGAATGATTACTTCGATCGGGGCCATGCAGCCCTGGTTGAGAGGGATGTCAGTCCCGATCATGCACCGAAGGCAGAAGATGAGTCCAGAGTACGTCAAGGCCGTGGGGGCGTTCATGTTTCCGTACTGCTCAGGGGTAGTGCCGGTAAAGTCGAATACGGCACTGCCGTCCTCGTTGATGCGCACCTCCAAGTGGATGCGCGAGCTGTTATCCATGTAGCCGATAGCACGTAAGATGCCATCTTCGGGGCCCTTGGCCCTGATCTCCTTGAGGAAACTCCGGACAGCAATCTCGGCATTTGTCTGGATGGCATCCATGTACAGATGCACAGTCTTCCGACCGTAGTGGTCAATGAGCTTGCTCAGAAGCTTGGATCCCTTGTTGTTGGCAGCGGCAAACGCCTGGAGATCGGTGATGTTGTCTCCGATTCTCTGTGTGCTGTTACATCCCGGTCTCGTGCCCGGCTCGGCAAAGATTCTCTTGATGCCCTCGGTGTCGAATTTGCCATCGCGGATCATGGTGAAGGTTCTGATGGCGACGCCTTCCTGCCACAGCTCGGTGGAGTTGGGAGGCATGGAGCTTCCTCCAAATCCTCCAATGTCGGTATGATGGCCACGAGAGGCAAGGAAAAAGAGAATATCCTTGCCCTCATCATCGAACACGGGAGTGATGACGGTCAAGTCGGGTAAATGTGTGCCTCCGTGGACTACGCGTGCAAAGAGGTTAAATTTAGGGACATATATTATATGTGAATGAGTACTTACCAGGATGGTTGGTGACATAGACGTCGCCGGGTCGCATCGTATCACCAAGCTGGTCGATCTGCCCCTTGACGGCATAGCTCATGCTACCGAGGAATACAGGAACGTGCGGTGCGTTGGCGACCAAGTCACCGTTGGGGCCGAAAATAGCACAGGCAAAGTCCAGCCGCTCTTTGATGTTGAGGGACACACTGGTCTTGTGTAACGCCCTGCCCATCTGCTCGGCAATGCTCATGAATCGATGGCCGAAGAGAGAGAGCTGGACTGGGTCGACGGCGGACGCATCGTTGTTTCGGGGTGCTTGGGCGGCGACTTCGATGACGATGTGGTTGGTCAGCACCTTGGCTTGGCTTCCAGGCGTGACAATAATGGTCTGGGTCTTGTCAATGATGACGGCAGGGCCGGTGACGAGATGGCCAGTGGGAAGGTTTTGAAGCTGGAAGACGTTCGCCTGGTGGGAGCCTCCATGCTTGAAATAGACGGGGCGCTGCATTGACTTTGTGAGTATGTAGATGATGGACGGGAATGAACAAGAATACTCACAGTTTCAGACATGATGGATTCTTCCTTGGCTGCAACGAATTTGTCCTCCTTCAGCTCTCTCGAGAGCAAGTCGTTGTCTTTTGTGTTTTCGGTGCTGATTCCGATGGCTCTTACTCGGATGTCGTCGACGAGGATCTCTCTATCGCCAGGAAGCGTAAAGGCAAACTCTCGAAGGTGCTCTGCGATAAACTCCCTCTTCCAGTCACCGTCAAATGGCTTTAGAATCATGAGGGTCGTGTCACTACCACGGTAGCGAAGGTTGAGGTAGATCTCGTGCTTAATCGCCGACTTGTCGGTACCTTGCTTGATGAGCTCGGCCGCAGTGGTCTCGCAGAGATACGTGTGACGGGCCTCGATCTTGGGCAGTGTTTCAGGCGTCAGGAACTCATTGCAAGGCTCCTGGCCTTCCTGCACGACCTCGGCGAGAGCCATGCCGTACGCAGATAGAAGACTAGAGTACTTGTGCAAGACCACTCTCTGGATTCCCAAGTTCTCGGCAATCTCACAGGCGTGCTGGCCACCAGCACCGCCAAAGACGGCAAGGTTGTGCGAGGTGATCTCGAACCCTCTAGCCTCGGTAAGGGCGCGAATAGGGCGGCACATGGATTCGTTTGCGACTTCAATGAACCCTACAGCAACCTCTTCGGGCGAGAGATCACGGCCAGTGTCTTGACGAATCTGCTGGGCGAGCTGTTCGAACTTCTCCCGAACAATATCGACATCCAGCGCCTGGTCCTCAGTGGGACCGAAGATCTTGGGGAAGTACTCGGGCAGTAGCCTGCCAAGCAGCAGGTTGGCATCGGTGATGGTGAGAGGGCCGCCTTTGCGATATGCAGCTGGGCCAGGATGAGCGCCGGCACTCTCAGGCCCGGCCTTGAACAGACCGTTTTGCCAGGTGAGGATACTGCCACCACCGGCGGCGACGGTATTGATGTCAAGCTGGGGGCTCTGAATCGTGACGCCCGCAGTAGTGCTCTCGAAGATGTGGTCAAAAACACCACCGAATCGACTGACATCAGTTGATGTGCCACCCATATCGAACCCGACTGTGGGAGTGACGCCGTTGTATGACGTTCGAGCATATCCGACGAGACCGCCGGCAGGGCCGCTCAGAATTCCCTTCATGCCGCTGAAGGCTCTATAGTCAACGAGACCGCCATCGCTCTGCATGAACTGACAGCGAAGGCCGTCGAGGTTGCCACCCGTGAAGCCAGAGGCAAAGCTGTGCATGTACTCGTTGGTCACAGGCGTGAGGTAGGCATCGGCGGAGGCAGAACCTCCCCTAGCCACCATCTTGACCATGTTGGCGCCTACAGCGGACGAGATGGAGACGTGGTCAAAACCCATCTCGCGAGCAATCTCCTCTACTCGCTTCTCGTGCTCCGCGTACAGGAACGAGTGCGCCAGGCACACCGCCAAGGTGGTGTAGCCGTCGTCCTTGAGCTTCTGCAGCGAGGCTCTGGTCGTCTCCTCGTTGAGCTTCTCGATTACACGGACATACTCGCCGCCAAGTCCCTTGACGACCTCTCCCTGGATGTCCTTGCGGACACCGTCGGCTCGCTTGGGAGCCTCGTCGTAAAACTCAACAGTGACTCTTTCGTCAACCTCGACGACAGCATCGTACAGAGTGGATGGCTTCTTGATATTCAGAGCAAAGATATCGGGTCTTTGCTGCGAGCCGATTTCCAAGACATCCCGGTGGCCCTTGGTGACTAAGAAGGCGTGGCGAGTGCCTTTTCGCTCCAGAAGGGCGTTGGTGGCGACGGTCGTTCCCATGCGGATGGCCTTGATGTGCTCCTTGGGCAACAGCTCATTCTTGGGGATCTCGCGACCGAGGTAGTGTGATAATACTCTCCTTACACCTTTGACTGTTGTTAGAGGACTAGCGCATGAGAGATTCCAGGTGAGGAGAAGACTGACCTTCTGTTGGCGCATCTTTGTAGTGGTCGGGATCTACGGAAAGCAGCTTGAAGACGAAATCGTCCTGGCCGTCGACCGAAGCCCAGACGTCTGTGAAGGTGCCGCCTCTATCCATCGCAATGGAGATGGATGCGGGCGGCAGAGTCGATAAGTTTGCGACACACATTGTGAATTACTGGTCGTTATAATTTCGATGAAGGATAATGGTAGGGGGAGATGCTGAGCGGCGGTGCAGGCATGAATGAGCACACTGAGGAGAGGCGTATCTCCAAGTATCAAATGAATCAAATGATGCGAAAATATGCTGTTCGTGGGTGTTTCATGACCCAAATGACTTGACGAAGCTGTGTATTTGTATACATGTATACAGACGTGTGTGTGTATACACCGACGGGATGCTGGATGAATTATAAGATGGCCAGCGAAGTCAAGTCGAATCGACCTTCCAATGTTCCTAGCTGCCCCGCATCAGCTCAAACCAGCCGCCGTCGGGTTTACAAGTCCCTTTGTCAAGATCCCGGGTGGCTGCGATGTCGGGGTCCATTCGATGGTCAAGTAGACGTGGGTTGGGTGCCGTGGATGTGGAGGTGTCTGGGGACGGCGGGGGCAGCACAGTCGCTGCATAAGCGATGGATGGGACTGGGGACAGCCAAATGGCCAGATGTGCGGGGCACCTTGATGAATCGACTGGTCTGCATATTTGTTCACGTCCTGGCACTGGTTGAATGTGTGACCTCGCGTTGACCATCCCAAAATATTTAGGTTATCGCCTGCATGCCGCTACCCTATATTGCCTAACCCGGCTTATCGCGTTGGCCGTCGGTTATCAGTGCCAGCTTCTGATTGGCTGACGCGAGTCACGAATCGACCTTCCCTCGCCAAAGCCAAACGCCCCGCTGGAAGACCCGCTAATCCGTTATCGGGTCGCTGCTGCCGTGGGCCATTTCCTGCTCTAAGCCAACTTACGGCCATCGTGGATCCATCCCCATCTCTCCTCGCTTCACTTCTCCTCCCCTCACGAGCCTCGTCGATACCTCGCACTATCTGCTCAAGCCGGGGCCCGTGTCGAGTGCCTGCATTCCCCTTTGCTCCTTTCCTCGGTGTTCCCCAGAGGGATCCGTCTCAATTCTGCTCCGGTGCGTTGTAGTCTAGCATCCAGCGTGCTCCGCCAGATCCAGCCCATCTGGCCACCTCTTATCACGACCATGGCAGATCCCGGCTGTAATGAGAAGAGGCGGAGGACTGCCTGCTGGAAATGTAAAGGTAGTTCTCTCCACCTGCTGCGCCGGCCCAAGACCCTTTTGTGCCGCACTCACGCGAGGACCGGCTACCCACCTGGTCCTGCCGGGGTCCAAGATCAGCAGTGAAACAAGACATACCATGGGAGCAACGTGTGTTAACTGGTGACATCATTAGAGCGTCGAGTGAAATGCAGTTTAGAAACACCTCGCTGCCGCAACTGTATCCGATCTAACCATCAGTGTCACTATGGTCTGAAGTTGACCTGGAGAGAGGAGGCTCTTGCCCAGGGTATATGCTTCGGCCGACAAGGTACGACTGCCCATGCATGCATTCATTCTATTTCTTGTTTTATATTTCTGTTTGATGCTATATGCGCCCCCACGTTCGTTGCCCAACTACGCTTGCGAATACTGATACTTAAGATTAGGTGTCTATGGCCGGCCATCAAAGGCTCCCATCTTCAGGCACACACCGGCACTACCTTGCTATAGAGGGAGCTTCTATTTCTTGAACGCATCATCAAAGCACTTTGTGACCCAATATGACCAGGTAGCCACAGTAACAGCAGCTGCATCCGCGTTTCAACCCCTCTCAACCCCTCTGAACGTACCTGGGAGAGACAGCGGACGGGACGGAACAGAAAGCGAAGTACAGCAAGAGTTTGAAGAGCTCCCGGCTCAAGATGAAGACGATTGGAGTATTTTAGGTCCGAACCACCAACTTCATTCCACAACAAATATCAGCCAGTTCTATCTCGTGTCCTCCGGTAAGGACCCATTCGAGTTTCAACTCTTCGACTACTATGTCAATGCCTTATGCCCCAATCTAAGCAGTCTGGCCACCGAAAACCCTTACCGGGACTTCATCGCACCGTTGTCCTTGACTTCAAAGGCACTCTACTTCACCGTCCTTAGCTGGGCGGCCTACGAGCGATCCTACGAGGCCGCCAACCGCCATGCGCTGATCAACCTCTCCACCAAGTACAAGGTAGAGGCGCTGAGATGGCTCAGGCAAGAAGTCATATCGTGCCAAGAGGCAGTGGGGCACGCAAAGAACACGCTGACAGCTCTGCTCGCTACCATGATCACGCTGTCTGGTCTCGAGATCGTGGAGACGTGCTCATCAACCTGGATGGCGCATCTCAAGGCTGGCCGCGCAATCTGCAACATTCTCTGGCCGGGGGGTTTCGACATGTTTGACAAATTCCAGAGGTTCTGTGTCACCTGGCTCGTGACACACGACGTCATGGGCTGGAGGATATCGGAGGAGGAGACGCTCTTCGAACCGCGCGAGTGGTTCGCAACTGACGACGAGATCGAGATTGACGCCACCATTGTCTGCTCCCGCGGCCTGGTGAAGCAAATCTCCGAGGTCAGTGCGCTGATAGTCGAGGCTCGCAAGGCTGACATGGCATCGGCGGACCCCGAGGCTGTTCGGTCCTTCAGGGCACGACGGGACAGAGTGGAGAGGACGCTGCATCACCTTCGACAGCAAATATCGACGGACCGAGCCTCGGACTGGGCGGAGCTGCTCGAGATCGCCGAGTGCAAGAGGCTGTGTGCCCTCATATACCTGTATGCCGGTGTGGACGGGGTCAAGCCACTCTCGCCGACCCTTCAACCCCTTACGGCGGCTGTCGTGAGGATCCTCGCCCGGATGCCTCCAAAACCGACCATGATCTTTCCTCTGTTCATACTGGGCACCTTTGGCGCGTGGGCAGAGGATGAGCGGCGGATGATCCTGGACAAGTTCACGGAGATGGCTAATGCGAGGCCTCTTGCGAGTATTCTCAAGGCGAAGGAGGTAGTGCAGGCTGTCTGGCTGGACAGAGATGTGGGCAAGGCTGGACGATGGGAGGATCTCGCAGAGCAGAGGGGGAATCTTTTAAGTCTGGCGTAGCAGCGGAGATATGTCATGAAGCAAAATTGCCAAACCAATTACAACATAAATATCCAAGTATCTGTCTCCTACCATCTAACTGATATGCCGTTTGCTTCGTAGCATTAAAGCTTCTCTAGACGCACATTTTGCGTCATCGTCTGCGGCACCCAGTCCTTGACATCCTTCAGATCCTCCAATCCGCCCGGTCGCCAGTGTATGCCATCCGGGCCACCCTTGAGATCTTTCTTCCACTTCCACCTGGCCAAGGTCTGCTCGCCGCGCTCCAGGACATCCCGAGCCCAGCGCCCGGCCACCGGTAGCATCTTGAATGCATGCCCACTGTCCCCCGAAAAAACCATGAGAGACTGCGCTTCAGTGCCTGGAACGAAGTCGATGATGAAATTGGAGTCGACCGTATCGCCGCACCAGCAAATGAACTTGCGCACGAGGGGCAGATGAGAGAACTGCGGCATGGTCTCGGCGATGAGTCGCACAATCCTGTCCTCATCATCCCGGGGAATGCCTCTCGAAGCGTCGTCTTTACTGTGCGATGGTAGGCTGACCTGCCCATTCCTCCCCCCAGCTGCAGGCTGGTAGTTCGTCAGCCCAGCTCTATGGGCGGCCAACTTGACGAGGCCCGAATCGGAATCCGGCTCGAAGAAGAACCCCAAGTCCCGGCAGTTGACGACCGGGATGCCAGCCAGGCTCCTCGCCTGCTCGCGCGTTAGCTGTATATGGGCGACCGACCACGCCTTGGCCGTAATCTGACCGCCCAGCTGAGGGATGAGACGGGCAACGTCCGCCCCAAGACACACGATGGTGCGGGAGGCTTCGTGCTTCCGTCCGGATGCTGCCCGTGCCCCGAGGCAGCGCTTCCCGTCGAACAGGAGCGACGTGACGTGCCCGTCGCGGGGGCCCAGCACGAATCGCACCCCGCGAGCTACACACGTGTCGTACATGGCCTTCATGGCCCTTCCGGCTCTGGCATATCCCCCGAACTTGTTGTAGTAGCCCGTCCACCCCTCTGCGGCGCCTGTGAGCGGTGGAGCAGCAGCCTGGAGATCCTCCCGCGAATTTATCTGGGAGAGGGAACCGGCCGGGAACTTGGGGTTGTGTTCGATCGACCCGAACGACTTGGATAGCGAGTCTCTCTCGCGCTGGCTGGCTGCGGCCGAGTTGGCGATGACTAGACCGGTCGGCCGGTAGAAAGGGGCGAAGAAGGGCGACTGCCAGGCGGAGATGGCCTCGAGTGCGAGGTCGGTGTAGAAGGGATCTTCATATTCGGCACGGACGATTTTGTTGAGGTCGCAGCCGGCTGAATAGGGCGAGGGGATCTCCGAGGCTCTGTCGAGCACGGTGATGTTCTGGTAGCCGTGGTGGGCGAGTTCATAGGCCGTGGACAGGCCAAAGGTGCCTGCACCTACGATGAGGATGGGGTCTTCCTTGCTGGGCGTGCTGCTAGCCATGTTGTCGATTGATTTAATATCATGATACTAAAGTCATGTCGGCGCTGTATGGGCGATGCGAGATTCTGTTAGTTAAAGGCCGGTGAAGCGAAATCGCAGCCCAGGATGATGCCGACAAAGATGACCGATGAAGATGAATCCCAACGACCATCATACGATTGTTCGACCTCGGATTCTCGCGGTGGATCCGTTTGTCTGTTGTGCCGTGTTAAAGAGGTAGTTCGGGAGGCTATCAATCAGCTGACTCTGTCCCCGGCGCGGAGGCGGTGGTGAGGAGTAGATATGCCGGAGAGATTTAGAAGTTCGAAACGACCTTCCTTTGGTTTTCGAGGCCTGTTGGGGGTGGTGGGGTTTTATTGCTGGGTCGGAGTCTTCGGCCACCAGCATGGTTCCATCACTGGACTGGGGTATATGCAAGATGAGCAAACTAAGTGGAAATAGTGTACGATACGTGAAGTCATAAGTTGCTGGTGCTTAGGAGCTACACTTAATTGGTGAAGAAGGAGGATGCTCAGGCTTTTAGCGGATACATCAGGGGGAAACCAACAAGAAACTACAAAACGCACGGTTTAATATCGCACATGTGAATAATTATGGACCATCAAAAGTAGTATAGAAATATTAATTACGAATAGTAATGGCCAGTTTCACTTAATTGTCAGAAACCATCCCGGGAATTGGCCATACGTCTCCCCACCCCCAGATACCCCAACCCTCCCCGCAAGATTTAGTTCTATGGACATGGATGAGCAATTCATCTCAATCCGGAATTTCCCTCGCCCTAGCAAGAACACAGCCCTGTCCCTGACCTCATCCTAAGTAGTGTAGACGAATCCTTCCTGCTCAAAGTCGGTCTTGTCCAGGAAGGATTCAACAGCGTCCTCAGTAGCGGCAGACTCGATGGCCACGGCGCTCTTCCTCTTATTCTGCCAATGGGCCAGAGCCCAGTAGCACGCCATCAGGCCAATGCAGACACAGTAGCAGACAATCATGGAGATGGTGCCGCCGACATATGCAGGGGCCTGGGTGGCGATGAATGTTTGAGGCCCGATGAGATTACCAACAGCGTAGCCAATGTACAGGATCGCGAACACAACCGTCTTCTTGGTGTGGCCGGCCGTGTTTGCCTGTGCCAGCCCGATACCGACCACATAGGGGCCGAAGTAGGTGTAGAGAAGGTACAGGCCTACCATCTGACCTCCCAGGTTAGAGCGGGGGAGGGCCTTGACGACAGCCGTGCCCACGATGGGGACCACGCAGGCCATCATGGTCACCAGGCATCGGCGGTTCTTCCACTTGGCCGAGATGAGGGAGAAGACGAAGGCGGCGATCGTAGACATGACGCCGGTGGGCATCGTCAGCAGAGACGCATTGACGCCAGAGTAGCCGAGACCGGCAATGATGAGACCGCCGAACGTAGTCAGGCCGCCGTTGGGGATGTTGATGGCAATGTTGAAGAAGAAGATGATCCAGGTCTTTGGGTCGACGACGGCCTCCTTGGCCTGAGACCACTTCCAAGTGTGGTTGACGATTCCGGTCTTGTTAGCCGCAAGACGGTTGACGGCGTGGTACTTCTCCTGTTCAGTGAGGAAGAAGCAGTCCATCGGCGTGCCTGGGAGCCAAATAAAGGCGATAATGGACCAGAGCATGGAGACGGAGCCTGTTTTGTAGCCAGCCGTGGTCAGCGTATTTTCTTAAGAAGAGTGCATCCTTGATGCAGTCTTTATTCCAACTCACCAGTCAACAAAAACAGATATTGCCAGATAGCCAGAGGAGCAGTCGATGGGATATGGCCAATAGCCCAGGAAAGAAAACCATTTACGACGGAACTGGCGGCAGCGAAAACGAGGGCGTTCCGTGGGGGTTGTTCTTCCTTGAGGTAGAAACCGGCGAGAATCAAAGAGATTCCCGGAACGATGATGGCTTCGAACATTCCTGTTGGCATAATTAGCAGACTATTCTCTTATAAGCTTTCTTCAAGTTTCACTTGACATACCCATGATAAATCGAAGAGTGGCGAGTCCAGCGAAGTTGTGGCATGATGCCATGATAAGAGCGCAACCAGACCAGCCGACGGAGCAGGCAGACAGGTACTTGGCGCTGGGGAGTCGGTGGATTAGCCACGAAGATGGGAACATTCCAACAAGGGCCTGTTGATCTTTTGTCAGTCGATGATTCAACGAGTACTATCTATGCATATTGGCAGTTGCTTATGACTTACACCCAGTGAAAGAATAGAGCCGAGCCAGCTGTATTGCTGGCCGACCAGGCCATTGTCCTCGCGAAGACGATAGAGGGCCGCAGTTCCAAGGGCAACCTTGTCGATTCTGTGAACTCGATGTCAGCAGTCAGGAATAACGCGCGTTCATGTTAGGGATAAAGTCTTACGCTCCGAGGGTGGCAACAAGGAACAGCTGCAAGTCGAGAATTTCACGTTAGCCTTGTGGTCTTCTATCATGCGGTGCTGGGTGCATTCAAACCATTGGCAGCAGAATCATGTCGACCTTCCGCATAAACTTCTTGTGCTGTGCGGGCGTGAGAGGCTCATAGTGCTCAGCATTTGTGAGGTAGGCCGCTGCCTCATCCGTGTTCTTGATATCAATCTTCAGGACCTCGCCCCTTTCCTCTTCCCGCGAGGGCGAGGAAGTCTCCTTGGCGGAGATCTCTTTATCTGATGCAGCCATGAGGATAAAGTTTCAGAGAAGATGCCGTTTGGAAATCAGCGACGGGGGACTATGGAGACTGATGGCAGGAGTTGAAGGCGACGATCCCAGGCAGCGGGAATGCGAACCTTATACTTGACAACAGTTTTATCAATCAGGCTGGATCAAACAGCAAAAAGCAGACTTGATAAGGTGTTCCACAAGGCTAGTGGGCTATCACCATATAAGTAGTGGTGGGTCCGACCTGTACCCCGGACTTATCGTGACTGGAATCTCGTGAGGGCGGGGGAAACATTGACAAGATAGGTCCAGGTTCATTCCCCACAGGAACAAGCCCTCGCCCTGGCCGTGGTTATCTGAGAATCGCCTGAGCTCCATCTGCTATCAGAGCGCCGGAGCATCCAGACTAAGATGTTTGCAGATAAGCGGGCATGGCCCATGCCTAGACAGTCACATGGAGCCGAAACCGCAATCTGGATTAGGTTTCCATCTTCATCAACAGTTGTTTCTGATACAAGGAAACACTGCTGAATGACATGACCCGCGGGTTCCCTAGCACCTGTCACCCCAACCCCATCATGTACCGGGTTGTAGGGAGACAGCTTGGGGCAGCCATGCGAGTCATGGCATGGGCTAAACAATACGTAAGCGGCGACATGGGTCAGCCGGCAGAGTTTGATAGCGCGAATGGTGGAGGAAGGTCGCTTCGAGCTGCGCTATTCATGCATTGCCGGCCCATTCCGATTGCCGGAGCAGCTGGCTGCAGGGTAGGCAGTCCACCTCTGCCATATCTGGATAGGCTTTAGCAGACTGGTGACGAAACGACCTTCCCCCGCGAGAAGAGGTATCAAGTGACCAACTATATTGTTAGACAACTAATAGATCGCATTTGTTGACGCCATGTAACTCTCCATAACAACCTTGGCGTATCAGACTATGCAGGGTCTATAGATTCGGGGAACTGTGTTTCCACAACGTGTGGAGCCCCTTCTCAGTGTCATGCTCCGCCATTGATACCTCGAGACGTCGGATATATGTGTCGATTTTGTGTCCTTCGTTTCTCACTCCAAGTTCTCCATTACCTACCATCCCTGTCAAAATGGCCAATCTAAAGAACTCAAGGTGAGTGGCAAAGTCATCAACAGCCAGCCATTATTCTCTTCTAATCAGTCCACAGCAAATCCTACACCCTCGCTTCTGGCGATAAGATCCCCGCCATCGGACTGGGAACTTGGCAGTCAACCAAAGACCAAACCGTCCGAGCTGTGGAAGCTGCTCTTGCGGCAGGCTATCGCTACATCGACACGGCAGCTGGCTATGGCAACGAGTCCGAGGTAGGGCAAGGCCTGAAGAACTCGGGAATCCCGCGCGAACAGGTCTGGATCACCACCAAGCTGAATAATCCAGACCACAAGCGTGCACCCGAGGTGCTTGAGGAATCTCTGAAGAACCTAGGGATCGACTACCTTGACTTGTGGCTCATGCACTGGCCTTGCAGCACTGATCCAAGCAAGGAGAATGCTCATTATGAGGATTGGAACTTCATCGACACGTGGCGCGAGATGCAAATACTACATGCCACCGGTAAGATTCGGAACATTGGCGTCTCCAATTTCGGCATTACCAACATGGAAAAGTTGTTAAGTCACCCCTCGTGCAAGGTAAGTTTGCTTGGCGTAATGAAAATATAAGAAAACCGTGCTGACTTGGCTCTAGATCGTGCCGGCCGTGAACCAAGTCGAATTACACCCGAACAACCCTTCTTTTAGGCTGGTGCAATACTGCCAGGACAAGGGAATTCATCTGACCGGGTATTCGTGTCTGGGCAGCACGAACTCGCCTCTCTACAAAGACCCGACCTTGCTCTCGATCGCCAAGGCCAAAGGCAAGACTCCCCAACAATGCCTGCTGCAGTGGGGGATCCAGCACGGCTGGGATGTCATCCCCAAGTCAGTCACGGCTTCGCGCATTCAGGACAACTTCAACCTTGATGGATGGGACTTGACAGAAGATGAGATGAAGAAGCTCGACGCCCTGCCTGATCGGTTCAAGGTGGGCAATGATGACTGGCTGCCAATCAAAGTCTTTTTCGGAGATGACGAGGAACCTGTCGGATCTCAAGAAGGGAAAACAATCAAGAACAGATCTAGTCTTTAAGGAAAATAAATATTGCATCAATTTTCTAGCTTGGTTTTGTGTTCTTCAGGAATATTTACATTAGACAGCGGTATGCCATAGATGGCGATGTAAGAAGAGTTTCGATGCCATCTTTAGTGAAGGTGTAATGTAGGGTTTTGGATGGGATGCCTTTTGTATTCTCTCGTCATATCGAGAACTCCTGCTGAAGAGGTCCAGCGCGAGAAACGGAAAAACGGGTTAATCAGTTGCTCTCTGCGTAATGGATGGCTTGCCCCAGCGGATCGCGTGTTCGGCCTCAACCTTCTCCATATTTTCTAGCGCTCGCCTGATGAGCTCCTGCGTGTCTTCATCCAAGACATCTTGTGCGCTCGCAACCTCTATATTGTCACCCTCGTCATTAGACAACGCCTCTTCGTCTTCGTTGACTTTTGATTCTTGGCAGCCCTTCAAAAATTTTTTCCAACATGGCCAGAAGCAGCGTTGGAATCCATCTGTTTTGTCTAGATTTGTATTCGGGCTCCTTCGGCGGAGCTGAACATCGAGCCAAATCTTGTTGGGGGCATAAATAAACCACATACACATCAGCCGTACGAATTCTCTCCTTTCTGAATGGTCATAGTTGTGACTAAACACCGCCATTAAGTGCATGTAAGCGAGGCTTAGTTCCTCTTTCCAGAGGGAGAACCCTAATTCGGATAGTTGAGCACGCCAGGCCGTGTAATTTTGGTAACTCTGGAAGTCGCCGGCGTGGATTTCACCAAGAACTACACATAAAAGTTAGATAACATCGTCAATCTTTCGATTTCTCTCCTTTGTGCCGCATGGTAAAGAAATGCGGGCGTCCGCTAGAGCTATGTTGCAGAAACTCACAGCCTGTTAAATCATACATGGCCGCGATGAATTCTAATTGCGGCCATTTTGACCAGAAAACTCCATCCAGTCCCCATAGCGATAAGGCGCCACCATTAATGGGATCAGGGATAGTATGCAGGTGGAGGCGGAAACAGAAGTCAACGAGTTTGGACTGTTTATCATGCGGTACGCGCATTGATAAAGCGAGAATCGTGAGCGTGACATTCGAAGTATGTTGATCTAAATCGATTTTAGAAGAAGTTTCGGCCAAGGTGGAGGTAAGGGCGACTATCTTGTCCACGGTAATTGCTGTGGAAACTTCATCGTTGGTCATCATCTCGATGATGATTTGGCCCTCTGGATCGAAGTGAAGCTATTCAGCATTAATTAACGGGCTGCTTGGCGCGCAGGAAATGGGATCGACAAACGTCATCGTATGGTGTTACTGGCATCACCAGAGGAAGTCCGACGCCTTCTTCAGTCATAATGATAACCTTAGTGTGATATCTTGAGCTCAAAGTCGATGAAAGAAGATGGGGCCGTAAATGAAAGGCCTCCGGCAAAAGCTGCAGCAGTTAAAAGATTATTTGATAGATTCGGAGGGAGAAAGCCTTGTGTTAGAGTTATCTGCAAGCAATACAATCCTGCAGATAACAAGATTTGGCCCAGCAAGTGTGTGAAAAAGGGCGGCGGCGGAGAGAAACGTGCAGATGTCAAATCATCGTAGTGGCGGTAGCAAGAAGCAGTATTGTTTATTTGTTTACTGTTTTGAAGAAGGTTAAGGCCGCATATCCACCGACAACCACACTAAGTATAGGAGATCGAACTCGTAGCCAGCCAGACAGGCAGGAGGGGGTTCAGTATAACTTCGCTTGGGCCTGGTACGCAGGCACAGCACGAACAACCAGACGCCAGACAAGCCTGCCAATAATAACAGAATATTTAATGTTTAATCAAGCTAGAACAGTAAGACTAGGCCTTGGGTTTTATTTTCATCGTTTGCGTGCAGAACGTATTCATTTAAACTGATTGTCCATTCAACAACTCCCAGCTGGATGGCTGCGGACGTGGATTTTCTTCACGACGTTTTGATATTCATTATAAGTATTCGGATTGTCAGTGCTTCTCATAATTAGACTACCTAAATACCAGCACCTCGCCTACAAACTAAGAAGCCGTTGGTGTTGGGAGACAAGAACACGCCGATGAGACACGGCTGATCACGTTGCCCGTGCAAGCCTCTGTGGCATATTTAGGTACATCAGTGACCTGCGCATTCCAACCATCCGTGAAGTCAGCGCAGAACTCCTGACTCTCCTCAAGTCGGCCGCTAACACTCTCAGCGCGCAACGATCGCAGGCAGTTGTCGGCATTGCATGTCTTGGCCGGACACGGCGCATACTTCGTGGGTTTCACGAGAAACCCGCCGCGCTCAATAGTGTTGATAAATACGTAGCCGGACTTGAAGCCGGCATATGAGTGCCACGACCCTGAGAACTTGATGGCGCCATTGCCATCCTCCTGGTCGTCCTCGGGATAGGTGTCGAAGTAGGCAACCTCGCAGACGCCGTTGCCCGTGGGATCAGCAGGCACTGACGAGATATCATAGACTCGAACACCGGCTCCGTAGTTGGACTGATATATGTAGTTGCCCCAGACGTATTGGTTGTGGTCAATGCCACGGGTGGTCGCCTTGAACAGGCCAGTCTGTTTCGGGTTTTCCAAATCGCGAATATCCCAAATGTAGGTCACAGGATATCCATCGGCCGCTGGGCCCACTACATTGTATTCATCATACTCGTCATCCATGAAAAGGTACTCTTGGTTGTTGACATCGTTGACCCAACCCTGATGAGTGAAGGTGGCACCCTCATAGGTGATTCGGGAGATGATGGTAACTGCACTCTTGTCTGTGACATCAAATCTTGACACTGCGTTAGCTTCGGGCATTGGAGATATCATTTAAATGAAGGGGAGTGGTACACTGTAAGAGTATCCTCATTGTAACCGTAGCATATCTCTCGGCCCACGTATTTCTCGTCTGGTCCACGGTATACCAGACATTGAGCCTGTTAGGAGTTAGAATATAATATAATAATTACTTGCAGAGTATTGATTGATCTTACATCATGTGTGTAGCCATCCTGGCCATCACAGCCCAAAGAAATTGGGTTTGAAGGGTCATCAAGCGTGAAAAAGTGAAGGCCACCCATGCAGCCTTGATCTCGGGGCTGAACACCCACAGCAATGCCATAGTTAAGTTCCTCGTTGATCACAACGTTATGGCTTCGGCCAACTGGAAGGGTCTCATTGAAATGCCCAGTGAGGTCTTCCGCGTTGGTAAACCGATGGATGCCATTAGAGCCGTCCAGAGGGAGAAGCTTGGTCATGTCGAAAATTTGGACACCGTTGCCAACAAGCTCACTTCCGATGACCATGTAGTGCTTATATGGACGTATTTCGGTCCACCAGGCACCGCTAGCAAGTGTCGCCCACTTCGGCCTGAGCAGATTGTTAGCCGATGGGATAGTTGAAGCAAGCGAGGGATTGCTTACAGGAAGGCAAGGGGCAACATCCTGCCCTCTGGGAGGATCTCAATGAAGCTCACACCATCGTATACACCGGAAGCTATTCAATCATTATGTTAGTGCAAGCGCACTTAACCAGCAAAGGGTACCAAATCCTACCAATAAACTCCCGGCCAGACTCAGGGTCGGTCCAGCCCCAGGTAGAGCTTCCAGACCTGATATTCTGGTAGAAGCCAGTGGAGCCAAGGTCCTCATGGTTTATGAAGTCCAACAAATCCATCTAGCAATATGCTTAGTTGAGAAATCCCCACAAACGTTGGGAAACCTTACATTCTTGCACTTGAAGGTGTGTAGAGGATCGCCCGAGATCGCTTCGGCAATTCCATTGACACATTTGGTAGCATTGAGACGCGGAAACTGGTCACTAGCCATCAAGCCTGCCTCCATCTCGGCTTCCCAATGTGCCTACCAAGTCGTGTTAGCTATAGGGACGAGGAACTCATCACCGAGTCTAGTCACGTACGATCTTATTGGAGATGAGCTCCTGGTGAATAACTCCAGAGTCGTAGAGCCCTGTGTATGTATGGTTAGCCTGCTTCATTATCAGTGGAGGTTGATGATGATTGGACCTACTAGCAGCTCTTGCTTCATCGACTGGCAATTCCCTAGCCACTACGGGGCCATTGGCCACCGAGAAAACGGCAACGCCGATGGCTGAAGAGAGACGCATGGTTCAAAATGGCAGACTCGATTCGAACGCGACAAAAAATGACTGATGGGTTCACCCTACCAATTGGATGAGCTCATCGATTGAAGAGAACACTAATCTACTTGGGAGGGGACCGATACTTATATGTTCCTCTCCCCTCTTTTACTACATCGTATGCCCGCATTTCACCGAGTGACCAGATAGGTACGCAGGGTAGGGTTGTATTGGCGTATACAACAGAAGGGGGCAAATCGCTCAATAATGCCTTCTCCGCAAGAGGCCACCCACCGACAATCAGGTAGCAGCAGGAGTCATGTAGTAGATGATGGTACCATCGATACTCAATTCTTGGCATGCTGACCCCTTCATGGGTCATCGCCGTTGTCCGGGGTTTGAGTTGCATCAGATGGATGGACCTAGTAGGAATTAGGCAAGAGACAAGCAACCATCGTGATATCACAAACCAGTATGCCTAGGAGCTTATTGGAGATAAGCAAAAGTTCCGCTGACCCTACTGAAATAGTCAAAGGCGGAGAAAGAGTCATGAGGAATAATTGGTTCATTGCTCGTAAGCTTTATCACCGACGTTACGCTGCTCAGATCCGATGCAACCTCAAGACGGATTGACAGAGCCGAAAGGATGCCGAAGAAACTCAGATTTGAGCAGTGATTGAAGCTCCGTTATTTGTAAGCTGGTATCCTAGTTGTCTTATTAACTCAAATATTAACCTTAATAATAAGAACCTGGAGGAGATATCGACGGCTCCATCTAGAAAGCTAGGACGCCTGGCACTTTTCGATCCCGAAAATGCTAAGATGATCGAGATTTTTAACACGGGGTTGACACAGGGTTATTTATTATACCACTCTGAAGCAAAAGACCTCATTATGTCTTCAACTTCATCAACCATGACTCTGGTTACCCTACACATTGCGCAGTTTTGCATAGATGGTTCAGCATTTCATCCATCACCTCTGGCTGCTATGTCTTCCTTAGATAATATTGAAGAGTAAGGAAAATATATTCCTTTGTCATTTTAGATATCTCATAAGAATATTTTTTGCTGCTAGGTTAATTTTTTTGGCGGTAAGCCACAACAATTCTTCCAAGATAGCGGACATGAGTGTTTAGATTGCAGAAAAATCAGTTCCGGTACCCGGTAATTGATAAGATTCTGTATGTTGATACCAGAAAACACTATATATGTCGAGTTTCTATTATATGTAAAAAGGTGACATTGATTGGAGTTCTTTGCTAGAACCAAGAAAGAAGTGTGGAGAGGATAAATGGTTCTGCACCTGATTGTATGCGTAAGGCGATAAGTCTGCCTCGTTTACTGTCAGCACTGAGACAACAGACAGTTTCAAGGTGACCTTTGACAAGTTGGACTCGATATCACATCCCTTGTCTTTCGCAAGAAAGATTGTTATCGTCGGAGATTTTCATCGGAGATCCTACAGCCTTCTGGCATCTAGACGTAAGCTTTACCTAGGAAACCACTGGTAAGCAAAGCCTGAACCGTTTGTTTGGTTAAGTCTGCCTGATAGTTAAGCGCAAATTCCGGTATCATCATCTCTTTCACGCAGGTCAATGCTGATATTAACGTGGTGCCATACAAAGTCCTTGTAGATAGGAAGGCGGATATTTACTTGGGGACTTCTACGAGATCAATCCCGCTAGTTGGAGAACTTTGCTTTATTTTTCGCCTTAACAACCTACCCAATACCTGCTCCTTTAGAAAAATACCAAATACAGTTGGCAGAACTATGTGAAGACATGTAAAGGTGATTAATTTCCCCAGAAGGCCTTCGCCTTAAGTAAATCCCCTGTCTATCTTATAGTTTTACTCTAATCGGGGTTTCATCAACAATAGGGCCTACAACCTCGATTCTTCAGTACACCCTTAGTTTGTTAAGCCTATCCGAGCATTGAAAACCTCCACCTACAACCTATTCTGGCGCGACACTAACTTGAACTTCGGAGGTGACTACCTTTCTGTGATATATTACATAAACCACGGCCAGAAATATTGCCATCTAATATGATCTAAACATCATTATCCAGTGTAATTAGATCTGATTGGATCTTTCTTTGGATTATGGCCTAGTGAGGCCTACACAGGAATGGAACATAGATCGCCGGGCTTCATACGCCACGGACAGAGCGTTTTGCGCTTCGGCTTGTACCAGGGCTTCTTAACAGGTTCAGAAGGCACGCAAACTAGTTCGTTTTTCACCCTATCGCATTTACCGGGAGCCTAAAGTTGATGTTAATATCAAGACACAAGAGTTGCAAGTTCATGTTGGACGTACACTTCCGCGGAGATAAAGGTCGCGCGCCGTAAGATACTCGTCACGGGCAGCAAGGTAATTCTCACGCGCGACTTGGTACTCATTGCGGGCAACAAGGTTATGATCCGCCAGCTGTGCTGTTGCAAGCGTTTGGAGAGTGAAAATAGAGACGAAAGTCTTGATGAAGTGCATTTCGAGAATGGGGTGAGTGTAATACTCTGCTCTGTGCTGGCGGCCCAGGAAAGATTGAGAGCTTAGATATATAGATTTTTTTTCTACTGAAGAAAGAAGAGTAAAAAAGATATTCATACACTCTAGCTAGTCTAAAATAGGTTGTTGAAACTCCTGGCTTTATGACTTGATTTCCGGGATACGTAGTACTAAAATCTCACTATAATCTCCTGTCTCCCCCTAATAAATAACTGCCGAGAGCAGTTTCAATACCCGAAGATTCTCTACCCAGTGGCAATGTGTTCTACGACGGCGACGCATTGGATTTCTTTTCTGAGTCTGATCACGAATAATAAACCTTGCAAAATAGAAATCTTATTTAAAAGGCTAATGTTGCCTCAAATATCACGTAGGCGCTTACCTCTAAGCTACCATCGCACGCGCAGGGGGTTTGTGGAGAGTGGCACCATGGCTCAAGGGTAAAAATCATTGAGGCATACACATATGTATACCCACGTGCAACGATCCTCGCAATATTGTAATCCGTATCTTACAAATCCGATTCAGAAGCGGATCACGCGACAACATCTCACCCAGCAGGGTTCTGTAGCTACTAGAGCCTCTCAAACTCGTCAGGTAATTTCTCTCCATTCACCCAAGCCGATACCCCTCGGGCAAAGAGCTCTGGAAACTGCATGTCCCATCCATGCGTGGCCTCTCTCAACACAATTGCTCCTGACCCATCCTCAGGCCACGCCTCGCCCTGGTCCGTCCGCCTGCTCCTCAACGCCTCGGCCGTCCTCTCTATCATAGGCACGTCATCCCCCTTTGCCCCGGCGATCGATAGGGTCCGCACTTTCAACTGCCGTACGTGATCCAAAGTGAACGACAAGATCCACGGGAACATGTCGGAGACCAACTCCCAGGTGATATTCTCCCTCATCGCTGCTACCACTTCCTCACTGATCTTGAGACCAGAAAATGAAGCTTGATACTGGAAGAGCCAGACAGGGAAGCAGTTCAGCGTGATCCACATGGAATAATAGGTGAATCTTGTCCACTGCGCCATGAATAAGCGTTTGCCAACGACTGGCGCTGCACCCGAAACAAATAGCGAGAGCACGATGTCAGGCTGATCTAACGCGAGGCACTGGCCTATGTAGCCGCCCATTGAGACACCGACGACATGGGCCTTTCCGCCGTGGGCGTGCGATCGAATGAGTTGTGCGACATGCCGGGCCGAGCTGTCAGTCGTGCCCGGCTGGATGTGACGTGACGCGGAATGCAACGGCAGGTCGGGGAGAAGGACGTGGAAGCCGGAGAGGCCCGGCAGGACGAGCGCAAACTCGAGACTACACGTAAAGCCACCGTGGAGAAGGACAATGGTCGTCGGCTTGTCGTCGTTCCATGAGGTGAACGACAATGACGTGCCGGGTGAGTCTGCTGGTGAGGGCGAATCCATGACGAGACAGTCAAACGGGCGTAAAAGCGAAAATTTTAAATGTGTCGATCGGAGCTCCAATCGCGAAACTTGTCAACATCCATTTATTATTATTTCAATTGGCCTGAATCAGCAAAGGCCGAGCGGCTTTACGCTGACTTCGGACCCCGACAGAGACCCGCCCCCGACACTTTCGATGACGGACCCCGAACAGCCCAGACCATATCCATTTGCCATACCGACGACTATAAACGCACGTGGAATGCGTTTCGCAAGTGCTAGGTGACCTTATTCCGTCTGGTAAAGTTTCTGCTATCTGCAACCTCGTCCAGTCGATAGCTATGGATAATACGGTGATTATCTACTAGTAGGTAGGTAAGCTACCCTTAGAGAAGTATAGCAGGGTTGATTTGCCAGGTTTGAGGGTCGAAATTTCCATTCTCAGTGTCAAGTGGCGTCCAAGATCATATCTTGGTCTTGGGCAATGCAGATCCAAATCCTGAGCCATGGCTAGTCCACCATAAACACTCAGCCATGAGCTGCTAAGAGTTAAAGCTGGAGAAGCTGGTGATTAATTGTTATGCTCACTCCTTGTCGCGTCACTTGGCAAGAAGCTCAAATACGAGACACGGGACGCATCCATTACTATCGATATCGTAGTCGACGGGAACACTCATCCCATTATGATAAACCTGGGACTTGCAGCATTACGAAGCCTACGAAGGCCCGATGAGGATCGAATCGTATGGGCCGACGCGCTCTGCATCAAACAAACACGGTGTGGCAACCAAAGGGCAAAATACTGGTCTTGGAAGAGATGGCCATCACACACATATTCCAGCCCTGATTGGTCACAATACTAGTTCTGCCTTGCCTGGCCGCCTTACTGGCCATCCGTCGTGCCACTCTGCTTACTGTTGCCGACATAGTGATAAAACCCCGCAAAGCGAGAATTCAAACCCAGTGGTCGTCAAATCACAGACATACTGATACGCACAGACTACATGTAGGTAAAGTGGTTGGCCAAAAGTTTGCGACCACTCCACAGTCCACTCACCAAATTACACTAAAATAAGCCTTGTATTTAAAAAATTCTCTAAAAGAAAATATAACTATAAAATAGATAAATAAAATAGAGATAATTAATTTAAGTATTTAAATTTCTTATTTTTAAAACTTTATATTTTTAAGATTTTTTCTTAAATAATTATAGAGGTTTTAAAAAGATAAGTTTTCTATTTTATATTTATAGTAGTCTTGTAGGGGAAATATAGTATTATTCTTACTACCTATTTTTCTTTATAATTCTTAATCTAAATTCTACCCCCCTTCTTTATCTCTTTTTAATTCTTTAAAATAAATCTTTAAAAATTAGCTTAAAAATAATTTAAATCTATATTATAGAAATCTCTTATATATAGATTTTTATATATTCTAGATAATTTCTAGATAAGTTATTAAGGAGTATTTAGAAATAAATTAGTGGGTTTAGGGTAAGGCACTGTGAGGTGGTCGCAAACTTTTGCCCATTATACTGTATTACTTAATATTTTCACCCACTCCACATAGATCATAGTACAGTGCAGAGAACGTGGCCAACCATCCATCATCTCACCAGTCCTCTAGCGCTCTGCTCCCCATCGTCCCGTTCGGGCCGCTGTGAACACTACCCTCACGATGCGTCTCATAAACGTCAAAACGCTGAAACTAGAGGAATTTCTCGACTATGAAACTCCCCCGTACGCTATACTGTCACATACGTGGGGCAGTGACCATGATGAGCTCAGTTTCCGCGATGCTGAGACAGGAATAATGGACAAGTCTATCAGCGGATGGGTCAAGCTTGATGGGTGTTGTCGACAGGCTCAGCAGGCTGGTCTCGGATACGCCTGGATTGACACCTGCTGCATTGACAAGACCAACTTGGTTGAGCTTAGCGAGGCTATCAACTCCATGTTTCGGTGGTATAAGCGAGCCTCAGTCTGCTACGCCTATCTGTCCGATGTTACTGGCGATGATGATCCGCGGGAGCGCAAATCCGCATTCCGCAAGAGTCGCTGGTTCCGGAGAGGATGGACCTTGCAAGAGCTTCTTGCCCCCAAGCTCTTACAATTCTACGATTCGAAGTGGAACTGCTTCGGGACGAAGAGGCACTTATGTGATATCGTAACGGAAATCACCAGAGTCCCTAGTCAATTTCTCTGGGGAATCACCGATCTGCACAATGCAAGCGTGGCACAACGTATGTCATGGGCTGCTCAGAGGCACACGAAAAGGAGAGAAGATCTCGCATATTGCCTGCTGGGGATATTTGGCGTGACAATGCCGATGATATATGGAGAGGGCGGTGATCAAGCGTTTCTCCGCCTACAAGAACAGATCTTGAAGACATCGAGAGATGATTCTATCTTGGCGTGGGACCTAATCGTGAAGGCGCAACCCGATGTCAGCTCGGGATTACTCATTGCTGGGCCTGTTCTAGCTGCTGCACCATCGCGCTTTGAAAATTCAGGACATATTGTTCCCCGAGAGAAAGCTGCTACATCTCTAAACTCACTTGACATTGTTGGTGGCAGTCTTCGAATCCACTTGTCCCTTACAACGAGCGGCGGGCAAACACTTGGGTTGCTTGGTTGCGGCCCTGAGGATGATGCAGAGCAGGTGGTCGGGATCCCGCTTGCTCAAATCTCCCCGGAGTCTTCGAGCGAATACGTCAGGCCAGGGGGCCACTATTCAATACTACTGCCGATGACTTCCGCAACTTACAACCGGCTTGATCTTGTCTATATCAGGAACGGCGGGAGAACCAAGACGTCAGCGGACGTGAATCGACGCTATTGGCTCTATGACGACTATGCTTTTTCTAAACTTGGCATAGAACTGATCGACGTGTATCCCCGCAAGAATTGGCAGAAAGACCAAGCCTTGCTAATTTCACGGCTTGAATCCGATGAGGATTGCGAATATCCCACCCTAGCCCGATTTCGGCACCACGTGGGACATTTCTTCTCTGCTGATTTCGTCCTAGCATTCGAGTTTGCGGTGCGGCGGAATAACTTTGAGGAGCAGTGCAGTGTTATGAAGTGTCAGAGAACCACTGGACTTGAAGTCCTGGCCGAAATGTTCGGATGTATGAAGCATAGAGTATCCGGAAACAGAGACGCCGGGAATGGGTTGGTCAACTTGCGAGTGACATGGCAGCCTGTTGCGCGGCAGCCAATGTTCATCCTCAGACCGGAAGAAATGCCCAACCTGTCGGGTGAATCTGTCGATGTAACACTTGAGTTGGAGAGATTAGACTTGATGCTAGAATTTGTTAGGATTCTTGAGGCTAAAGGGTTGAGTGTTGCTGAACAGGAGGAGAGATGGACCGATGTGCAGAAGAGATGGGATGATTTCCGGCGCATCTATGGCGGTGAAGACGGCTATAAGCTGGAGAAGCCGCGTAACTGGTCCCCTTTTCAATGGGCTGTTGAGAACGGCTATACCGAGATGAGTCGACTTCTTCTCGTCAAGACTGGCTCTGTGACAGTCGCTAATGATGATTCGTGGACGCCGTTGATTGCAGCATCGCGCAAGGGGTATGCCGACATGGTCCAGCAACTTCTTGACAGCAACAAGCTTCAGGGCAGTGATCTAGAAGTGGAGGATACCGTAACCGGCCAAACCGTGCTGATATGGGCCGCAGAAAAGGGGCATGAGGCCGTGACACGGCAGCTCCTCGATGAAGGGGTTAACCTCGAAGCACAAGATGTTTCCAAGCAGACAGCATTATCAAAAGCCGCCGAGAAAGGCCATACAGCTATCGTGCAGCTACTGCTAGAGGGAGGCGCCGACAGTGAGGCACGAGATGCTGCCGGGCGAACACCACTGTCATGGGCCGCCGAGAAAGGCCACACGGTTATCATGCAGCTCCTGCTAGAGAGAGGTGCCGACATTGAGGCACCAGATGCTGCCAAGCGAACACCACTGTCATGGGCTGCGGAAAATGGGCATGCTTCTACTACCCGGCTGCTTCTGCAGAAACGTGCCAACCTCGAGGCAAAAAGTCATGCCGGGCGGACAGCTCTATCATGGGCCGCGGGGATGGGGCACATGGCTGTGGTTCAGCTACTACTAGAGAAAGGCGCCGATCTCAAAGCACGGGACAGGGAGGGCCAGACTCCCTTATCGTGGGCTGTGCGTGGCGGACATCAGAACATTGTGCGGCTCTTGCTTAAGCTCCACTCCGATCTAGAAGCAGCAGCCGATAACTCTGGCCAGAGATTGCTTTCACTAGCAACAGAGAATGGCCACAACGCAGTTGCAAAACTCCTGCTGGAGGAGGGCGCCGACGTTGAAGCAAAGGATAAAGATGGGAAAACAGCGCTATATCGAGCAGCAGCAAAAGGTCATACGACCCTTGTGGCGTTCTTACTTGAGAACGGCTCAGATCTCTTTACGGAAGATTGCCGGGGCCGGACGCTGCTACCACTCGTTGCGGAAGCGGGTCACATATCCACCGTGCTCCTGTTGCTCGAGAAGGGTGTCGATCTTCGAGGCGGTCAAAGGGCATTGCCGTTGGCTGCTGGGAACGGGCACATCGATATGGTACAACTGCTCCTTGACAAGGGCGCTGATCTTGAAGCGAAGGCCTTTGGTCAAACAGCACTGTTGTTGGCAGCGAAGAATGGGCATGAGGCTGTCGTGCGGCTGCTGCTTAAGAAGGGCGCTCATCGAGAGACAGGAGACTTCCAGGGCAGAACACCTTTGATTCGCGCCGTAGCAGAAGGACGTGAAGCCATCGCCCAGCTGTTACTCGAAAAAGTCGACACTCTCGAGGAGAAATGGCATCGCACAATAGACTGGAAATCCCGAACGGCGCAAGCGTTGCCCCTTCAGCAGACAAGCGAGAATACGTGCAGCACCGTTACACCGCTGCAACTGAGCAGAGGCGCCAACTTGGAGACCAAAGACTGTTTTGGTCGGACGGCATTGTGGTGGGCGGTCAAGAGAGTCCATAGTAACGTTGTACAGCTGCTACTCAACAACGGTGCTGACACCGAGGCCAAGACTAACAAGGATAACAAGGCGATTCTATCATCCGCAATAAGCAGGGATTTTTGGGACCCCATGCGCCGGTATTGGACGCGTGACGATGACTTAGAAGTCTGGGCTCGAAAGAGGAGATATGAGACTTGCATACAACTGCTGCTTGCAAATGATGCTCACTTAGAAGCGAGGGACAGCAGTGGCTCAACAGCGTTGTTTCATGCGGTTCAGGACCATTGGGCAGGGGAAATATCCGTGCGGCTGTTGATTGAAAGCGGTGCTAGGGCCGATACAGAGGATAATGATGGCCGAACAGCCCTGTCAATGGCAACTGATTGGGCCGTAAGGCAGATGCTGATATTGCATGGAGCATGAGAGTAGCTTACATTTACTTCTCCAGATGCCGTAGCCTAGCTCATAATACACATGTATATGTGAGAGAGTTTATTGAGCGTCGAGCATTCCCGGACACTAAGAATAAGGCAAACTCTGTTTCCAAGGCGATCAAATCTCTCTCTCTTTTTTCTTTTTTTTTATTCTTTCTAAGTTTTGTGGTGGGGGTATGAATTTAGTAAGTACCTAGGCTCCAACGTATAGCTCAGAGTTATTGGTATTAATTTTATTCGAGGTCCCTGGGAATTCTATTAGAGATTCTTGTACTAGAGATGGTTTCGTTATCCGAGCGAGACCATAAGTGAAAACCATTGGAGCGGCAGAAGGCATCTATAGAGAGCGCGGCTGACTGTCAGATAATGTCAATGGTAAGGGGCGGAGGACACGGCCACACCTTGAGCGGATTTGGGAGAGGTGTAAGATCAGTAAGAGTCATGGGTCTAAGACCCAGAGGTGTGGATGATACGGGTAATACTTCCCGATAAGCAATATTGAGCCACAACCCGGGATGAAGTACTGAGTAAGCAATGATCGACCGGTACTGGACACTTATTATTAGGATGACTTCTGGAACTGGTGTCTCCATTTATACCCTGCCCCGAGCGGTATTTAATACATGCTTGTTTATCCCACAGGTATTCAGAGTTCTTCACAACTATTTATTCACTCGGCTGCTGTCGGAAGGCGAAGCACCTGAAGCTAGCAATGTTTCGCACCTCTATCGCAGCGGTCACTCTGTTGCTTGCTTCTCCCACAACGGCCAGCTATGCCTTTTACGTGGGAAAGAACCTCACCAGTGACGGCAGCGTTCTCGTCGGTGGCACCGGAGAGGAGGTGTCAAGCCATTGGCTGCAGCTCTTTCCCGCCAAAGATCATCCGCCAAATGCCACAATCAGTGTCGGTGTGACGGAGGCGGCGAGCTTCCCCGGAGAACTTATCCAGATTCCCCAGGCCAACCACACATTCAGATATTTGAGCATGGAGTACTCCGACTACGAGGGGTTTCCTGCTCCTCTGACGAATGGCGGCCTTAATGAAAAGGGCGTTACTGTTCGTGATATTTGGGCCGATAACCGTCAAGAGTTACTCGACATGACCCCGAATCCTCAACATGGCTTGCAATACAGTGACCTTGCGCGGATAGTCATGGAAAGGGCCACCACTGCTCGTCACGGTGTTGAGATCATCGGCGACTTGATTGCCAAGTATGGAGAGTCGACCTACGGAGGAAACTCGCACCTCATCGCTGATAAAGATGAAGGGTGGGTTGTTTGGGAAATGGCTGGCGGAGCGAAACTCTGGGCGGCGCAGCGACTGGGCCCGAACGATATCAAGGTTCTATACCCTGGATATATCGAGGACTTCCCAACCAACTTCACCGAACATCCGGATTTCATGGGATCTAGTAATATAGTCTCATTCGCCATTGAGCAAGGGTGGTGGAATGAGACTTCTGGAAAACCCTTCAACATCTTCGATATCTACGGCCCTCAAGACCCTCGGTACAAAGCCCGCGACGGTGGATACAAGTTCATGTCTCAAGCTGCTTTGGAAGATGCCACTCGTGATATGGTTCCCGTGACTGAGGAGAAACTCATACAGCGAGTGCGTGACCACCGAATTGCCGATGACGAGGCTGGCTACGGCCAGGTGGTGAGCCTGCGAGCCAATATCGACCCCGACATGCTTCGAATTTGGATCGCCCCTACTGGATCTGTTTCTGCCCCCTTTGTTCCGTGGTGGCTCGGTGTCCAATCCATCCCTCCTGAATTTGGCGAGCATCGGTATCTAACAACCGGCGCCTCCAGCTCGTTCCTAAATCCCGACTACGAGCTACAGGAGGCCTCTATATTCGCAGGACGGGTGTTCAAGCGCGTGCTGTACTACATGTGCTCTGACCCAAATAAATACATGCCAACTGTGACTGAGATGCTCACCAGTTTCGAGTCACAGTCCCGCGACCAAGTCAGTGGTTGGGTTGAGAAGGCCGCCCAGACCATGATTGACACTGGTGACCGCAATGCCACACAGAGCCTCCTGACGTACTATTCACATTCACGAGCCTCGGCTGCCCTGGAGCTCGGCCAGACACTAAATAGTGCGCTGGACGGATACATCAAGCTGACTGGCCAGTGGCGCTCACCAATCGGCAACCAGATTAATGATTCCGGCGAGGGTAATGAGACCGTCAACTGTCTTGTGGGATATGATCCAGATCAGCCCAAGGATCGTCAGTGACTCGTGCGGCTCGATGGCGATTCACATACTCGCCAACGAGCTTTCCGCATGTTCTGAGGCGATTTCAGAGAACATTGTGAGCAAAAGATTTAGTCATGTATGCTTAACATGCTCAGCCGAGATTCCCCGAGAAAATATAAAACGAGTATCCTGAGTATGAATTGCCATTAAGCCATGAAAATGGAGCTGAATATGGTGATGAGAAGTTGTGACTAAAAGTACACTCCATTGTCCGCCAGGCTGCTGCCCGACGCCCATCTCATCCAACTTCACGCTGAGCTGACATATTTAAAATACTGTCCATGATTGAGATTTGATATTAATGTGCGTAAGAATTAGCGATTCATTCGAGCAGCAGGCGGGGGATGTATCGATTCTTCACCCTGGCGTACATCACGGCCAGCCCATGACCTCGCAAGACTCAGCACGCGGCTTCCCCCTCGTTTCGATTTCTTCAACTGGCCTGCCAGCTTGTACGCAGGTATGCTAACATGATCCTCGCGAAATGTTCCATCGTAAATACTGGTTCGTGATTTCGACGCGCTCTTGTTCTGGCGGAAAAACAAGCCCTTGAGCGGAAGAAGACAGCCACATATAATAGCCAACCCGAATTGAACTGTCAAATAAAACATGGCCTTAGATGTATCATCTTAAGAGGTTCTGGAAGTTAGCTTTCCATGCCTTCGGAATCCTTATGAGGTTGTACAAACCGAATTCATTTCCAAAGCGCGCAATTGACTCAAGGCGTAGTATACTGCTTGCACAAACCCTAGAGAAGTCATTTATCAGCTTATTCGACACTCTATAGCTAGAGTAAAGTGGAAGAAGGAATTGGTAAGAAATAAGGGTCGTTGACTTACAGTCCTCCCACGAGGAAGATCCCAACCACCGCCCACTTCTTGTGAGCCGGCAAGTTCAGCCTCCACGTAGCGAGGATAGGAGTGCTTAAGATCATGATGTCAATAATCAGGTTGGATATCTCAGCTGCTAGCAAAGGTTTCCACACAGGCAGGCAGCGTTTCTGGTCGTCCCTTATATCCCACATTGCTTGGACGGGATTGCACTGAAAGATGGTGACAAGAATAGAACACCCCCACCAGGCTATGCAGAGAGCAGCCAAACCCATAATTATATGGCGGTACTGTCTTTGGATAGCGAAAGTGGACTTGTATCCTGCAAGAATGCTAAGCTTCGCCAGTGTGATGCCGTTGATGAAGAGTATTGAGCAGGCAAATGTGACCTAGTAGGGGCGGACCATTAGCAAGAAGACATATTTAGGGGACTAAGTGAAAGCCTGTACCTTCATCAAACTCTCGGCCTTTTCAGGGCTTTCGGAGGGACTAGCTGCAAAGGCCCCTTTCACTGGTACGGCGAGAATGTCTGAGTTGCGTTAGCTACATATTTTCATACGCGAGCTTGGACGACTATTGCTTCACCAAGGAGGCAACGTGTGGTTGGGTCTACCTACGGGTAAGTAAATATGCGCAATAAGCCGCTAAGATCATCAGAGACAAGAAACAAAACCAATCTGCCCCGGAAACGCATTGCTTTGATCGAATCTGGACATATGATCTCAAGCACACAAAGACAGAACTGGTGCCAAGCATCACCAAGCAGCCGATGAAGTTCAGCTCTCCGCCAGGAGTAAATCGAGACATTGTATGCGACCTTGGATCAGTTACGGTGGCGTACTGATGGCTCTCAAAGCCAAACTTAAATACAACGTTGGGACTATATTAGCTGATGGAATGGTTAACAAAAATGGAAGAATAGGTAGGACAGCCCGTGAATCGAAGACTGTAACTGGGGGGATAGTAATTGGGCTTCATTTGCTACGCCCGTTGGACTTCGCATCTTGGGCCTGGGGTCTTTAAGACAAGAGAAAGGACTCCACTAATAAGCACGGCGCATCTTTGCAACCAACACCATCCAGCTGAAGCAAAAATGCGACGTGGTCAGCGTCAAAGGGCACGGGGTGGATTTGCATGAAGGTCAAAGCGTTCTTGCATGAATTTCTCCCAACAGTATTGGTTGACAGACATGTAACACAGCCCCAACCTGCATGAACATAAGAAGGGAGGGCGATCCTGTTGGTCAATACGCCAACCATTCACTGCAGGGAACCTGTTTGCGTGATCTACGAAAAAAGGAAGGCCAATTTGATAGGCCTAGTCCATAATATTACCCCGACAGAGGTGGTATCGAAGACACATCTGCGCCACAGCCACGGGAATGAAACAAGCTATTAATCGCCCATCCCCCATGAGGAGCTGAGAATAGCGTTGTGTTTCACCAGCGCGCCTCCATTGCCCACTGGATGATTGACACATATGTGGCTTGGTACTATTGTCTGGCTCCTTAGGCCAGTGTAAACGTGTCGATCACTCGACCGCCGGAGCCCGATAAAACCATGCTCCGAGACATTAGGAAAAATCTGATTTTTAGTACAGCAGATCACATCTTGTCAGCTGACACGTGAAGTCAAAGATCCAATCGGCAGAAGAAAATGCCGTGAGATCTACCCGGCAGGAATCAAAATCTTCCGCCCTTTCCCTAATCCCCCCAAGTAGGTTTTGCCATGCTCGTCTGGTCTTCTCAACCATCGATTCTCGATGGCAACATACAAGACGGTTTGGTGATTCAACGGACAGTTTTTCGCTCATTGCCGTCTACCTAAAGTCCTCTAAGCCTTATCATTAAGAGATTGCAATCTACTGCCCCCCCAGAATCATTATCTTGGTGGCACTTATACGAGGTCGAATACCTCCTCACAGCCCCCTTTACAATTGCCGTGCACAATGCCCTCTACCAACACTCCCCAACAAACTCTATTATTTCGTCCGTCCGCACTTTCTGGATTCAATAAACCTATGGAATATCTCCGCCATCGAGTAGCGCTACTAGATGACTCTCTGGTGCTGTCCAAGGACACAGCCCCGAGGTCCCATCTCCGCTGACAAAAACCCTTGGCTCGAAGCATTTGGGTACCTGATCGGCTGAGACCTAAGTCTTGCCGTCAGAGCCCGAGGGTCAGAGGCTGACTAGGATAGGTCCACCAAATAGTGGCTAATGTGCGTTGAGGCGATCGTAATATTCTTGCTGACCCTTTTTAACCATTTCCCCCTATCCGACGCTATTTAGGAGATCGAAATCCAGGGAAGCCACAGGGTCCAAGTATCTTGTCAATGACGGACTGGATGCCTCCGCGGCTCTACATAGGATTGTCACAAGGATACAACATCTCAATTAAAAATGACCGATCCTTGATATTTTTCACACACCTCTCCCAGCAAATTTAAATTTAGAGGTCCAGTGGTCTATCAAGCTTTAAACTCGGGGACTGTGCTAAGCTTAAAAATAAACTGTGCCTGGAGCAATGCTCTAGCTCATCGACAGTTGCCCCGTTCTTGTATCGCCCAAGCCGTTTTTTCTGGCTGTCTGGGTTGAGCTTTACATCACAGCTTGTTCTTTGCCACGTTCTTCCAATCTAGCTATGAACTGAAGAGGGAATGGCCAGCGAAGTATGCTCTTTGATCAACCGCCTCGTGAAATCGGCAAAAACTTAGACCTCGTACTCTTCATAGTCGGGCTCAACGAGCTATTCCGATTATTCTACTTTTTCCTTTTCTTTGTAACATAATCATCATAATTTACCGACGACTAGCCTAGATCGTAATTTCATTCAGGCGGGACAATACCTATGGTCTATTAGCCCTTGTGTCTCAATTCTAGAACAGTTAATAGGGAGAGAATCTACTCACCTTCTCGATATACCTCACACCTACTAAAATACCATCTGGATCCTGGAACTCGCTCTCATCGCCAAAGTCGACGTTGCCCTGATCCAGACAGGTCAAGCACGTCTCAACAATCTCGCAGTACCGCCCAACCATGTAACGGGGCAGTTGACTCCTGCATAGGTTCAAAAGGTATTCCTTGGAACCTTGGATTGTGGTTTTGCCAGCCTGACAATCCACTGAAAACTGATGTAGAATGGGCGCCGCCATAGTTTTCTTCCCGTCGGCATCAAACTGGACAAAGGACTCCCAAAACCCAAGTTCCAACAGGCAGACTCCCAGGCTGTATATATCATGCTGCATTTGGTAGTCCTCGCGAGGGAGCGGACCCTGTCGCTGTGGGTGGAGATAGATATCTTTGTCCCACGTGCCGTCTTCCAGGCGGTATGTCCTTCCTTCATCCCTACGGAAGTTGCTGAGGCCGGCTAGATACATCCCCGGTGGCTCCTTACCCTCGCCTTCAAAGATGAGTATGTTTTCAGGCCGAATGCCTTTGTGGACAAATCCAAAGTTGTGGACGTAGGCGACGGACTTGGCCAGCTGCCGTGCAAATGTGATCTTGTTGGACACGGACACGAAATCATGCGGACTGAGTAGCTTCGCGCGTAGACTTTTTGTATCGGCTGCATTGTTTGGCGACCGGAACACCATGGTGAAAGAAACCAAGGGCTGCCCGTTAGGCGCGTCGGCGGCTCGTTTGATCACGCCCTTGCATGACAGTAGGCTGAATGTGGCGGGATCATTAACTGAGAGCTTTCGTGCAAGCTCCCTGACTTCCCTGGCCTTCTGGTTCACATCGGTGCCTGCAGTGCACTCAACAGTCGTGAGAAGGAGGTGCTGGACCCCGGTAGAAGTTGCCCGATGTGCCATCTGCAGAGTGCTCATCGGCACGTCCGATATCGTCATCTTGGCAAGCTCTCCTGCCGGGAGGAAGATTCCAGTATTAGGCGAGGCGCTCGTGGATCTGGTAACCTGGCGTATACGCATCGTCTCCGGGAAGGCGTCGGTGGCTGTCTTTTCGTTGGAACGGAGTGTCTGATCAATCTGGCTGTTGGCCATTTTCAACATCAGATACCAGCTTGGGTCAGCCAGAGCCTGCCATTTCTGGAGCTCCTCAATGACCGCATCGACCGTCTCTTTAACAATGGCATACTTCCATTTAATTGCCTTCTTTCTTATCTGCGCCAACATTCCGCTTCCCTGTGTGTCGTCCACCATGAACCTGTTTAGGCATCCAACTGGTTAGAATGGAAACTTGGCTTCATTAGCATGCAGAATATGCTAGACTCACTCTTGAAGTTTGCGAACGGCATTTTCAAATTGCGTCTTCAGCCGATCAGTGGCTTGCACGTTGAGACTCCGGTGATGTTCGTCGAGGACATGCTCCAGTTCTTTCATGAAGGCAAGCTGTTTCTGAGCCTTGAGCCATATCATCTCCAACTGGAGGGAACTGTCCCGGATAGTGACATTGTAATCACGGTAGGTTTCACATAGCTTCACAAGCTGGTTTCCCCATCTACACGCACAGACTCTAGTCAGCGGAATTGAAATTTGTGCACGGGCCACGATTGTGCGGGGAAAATGTCGATGGCTTCTACCTACTTTATGGCGAGGTCCACCGTGGCTACGATGGCGAGGCCGAGTTCAGCCATATGTAATTTAACAGAATCTCTTGCAGATGGATTCCCGGAGATTTGGAAACGTGTAGCCACAACCCAACAGGGGAGTTCTGCTTGTGATGTGGAGGGAGAGGCTGGGATGAATAGCAGCTGAGGGCGCCAATCCCGACGATGACAGTGGGACCAACACTGCCTCGGGATCTTGGCCCTTTCTGGCTCGAAGGAGGGCTGAAGCTCTTACAGGGGTTGCAAAGCCACTGCCTCTTTGGGTGTGTTTGAGCGCCGCGATGGAAACCAATTCCACTGCAGTAGGATTGACGCCCTGGTCCGTAACTTCCACACCTGTAGTTAGTCCTATTCGGGTCTGGTAAGCCCCCCAGATTTCGATAGTTAGTCTGCCAAGAGTAATACTTCTCAGTAGATACCACATACGTACACGCAGTATGGTAGTAGGAGAGACTCATAGAGGTAGTTCATTGTGTTGAGTTGTCGGGCTCTGGCAGCTTCCATTGCTGTTGAACTTTATTCTCTTTCTCTTAGGCATAGAGGTAGTTAGGTGAGCTACACAACTATCGCTCGTCTTAATAGCAGACAGCTAGGTCAGCTACACAGCAATCTCTTGTCTTACTAGCGGACAGCCGGGTTAGGCCTGCAGCGATCGCTCGTCTTGACGGTGGACAGGTCGGTCGGGGCTACAGCGATTATTCGTCTTGACGTAAGACGGGTTTTTCAGGCCGTGGCAGTCGCGTTGGAAGACAGGCTGTTCAGCTACGCAGCGATCGCCCATCTTGACGGAAGACAGCTAGGCCAGGGCTGCAGCAATCGCTCGTCTTAACGGTAGACAGGTTGTTCAGCTACGCAGAGATCGTTTATCACAGCAGCAGGCAACCGGGTCAGCTTCGCAGCAATCTCTCGTCGTCGCGAGAGACAGGTTGTTCGGCTACGCATCTGTTGCTTGTCATGAAGAAAGACAGAAGAGTCAGCTCGGTGGGTGGGCTACGGTAATCTATGGAATTGGGTGGAAGGCAGCTGCCTTTCCAACTAGAAAGGAAGGCACGAGAGAGAGGGCAGTTGCGATAGCCGCAATAGCCGCAGCCAACAGGCTTTGGTCTTAACATGGTCTAGCCTACCAACAGGGCTTTGCGGCTGACAGTATATTCGCGTTCAAATAACTACTAGATCCCTGACAGCCTGTTTGACGAGACAACAGGCTGTTGAGCCACGTAACAGGCTGTTGAACTACTTTAATAATGTTAGGTTGATCCAAACACTGTCCCCGGTACTATCCACAAACTCGGCCTGCGCGCCACGGTAGACATACCATCTCGGTCCCGAGTCCACGCTGCCTCGCCACCGCATATTTTTGTCGTCTTGTCCGAGGCACTGATAATGAACCACTTGGAGATTGGCCGTATTTCCATATTTCGACTCGTCTCCGCGTTTCATAGGGGGTAAGCAAATATCGGGTTATACCCAACACGTCCGGTCAGCAAGCTAAATTTGCCCCCCCTCGGTAGGCGTTTCTATGTAAATATTGTTGAAGTATACCAAATACAGCAGTTCTTCACAGGGCGTAAATTGCCCTGCATTTATCTAGTGTTAATTTTAGAGATATTGGGAAAGCATGGGTCCAGGAACGGCAAGATGTAAGCAATAATACGGTAGTCAACTCGAAGCGTTTCTCATTATGAGAGGCTTCTAAAAGCTTACATTGTTGAAACAGACCAGATTTGGCAGCATTATGCGACCTTTTGCTCCGGAGGATTCAAACGTGATCCTAATTGCCGAAACCAAATTAGCAGTCACAAGTAACATCACGTCGATCTTGTAGTATCAGCTTCATATCTCTCTTGCGAGAGAAGCTGTTGAGGAATATATATTACGTTCAAAGTCCCATTCTCCAAGGTGGCCCTGTCTTCTCAAGCCACTTTTCCTTCAGTTCTACAACATATACCACCTCTACTTCAACAACCAATATCTTATTATTCTATATTTAAATCTTACCAATTCGCCCTACAAGTTAGCAATCATGTACTCCAAAGCGGTCCCGATTATCTTGGTAGCCTTGGCTGGTTCCACGGCTGCCTCGCTATCCTCGTTGCAGTACGACAATGATCTCGTCGCTCGAGCGCCGGAGCTTCTCTCGGAGGAGCTCGTCACTCGTTCACCAATGGATCCCGCGAGTGCCTACGATAAAATACATAAGAAGGGCAAAGACCATGCCGCGGGGCTTGTCGGCGGTCGCAAGCCTCACCGTCGTTCAGACCCAGTGGATATCGGGAGAATGCACGAGATAATGGCTAAAAAGGGCAAAGACAATGCCTCCGGGGTTATCGGGTCGCAAGCCTCGCCCTCGCCCTCGCCCTCGTTCACCAATGGATCCCTCGAGTGCCTACGATAAAATAAATAAGAAGGGCAGAGACCATGCCGCGGGGCTTGTCGGTGGTCGCAAGCCTCACCGTCGTTCACCAATGGATCCCTCGAGTGCCTACGATAAAATAAATAAGAAGGGCAGAGACCATGCCGCGGGGCTTGTCGGCGGTCGCAAGCCTCACCGTCGTTCAGACCCAGTGGATATCGGGAGAATGCACGATATAATGGCTAAAAAGGGCAGAGATCATGCCGCGGGGCTTGTTGGCGGTCGCAAGCCTCACCGTCGTTCACCAATGGATCCCGCGAGTGCCTACGATAAGATACATAAGAAGGGCAAAGACCATGCCGCGGGGCTTACCGGTGGCCGCAGGCCTCGCAGTGAGTAAGCCAAGAAGAATCTGAGGAAAGGGGCAGAGACGACGCCATACAGCTTCTCCGTAAGCCCAAGTATCGTGCTCATTCTCCAGTAAGCCTTTGAGACAGAAGCGTCTGGGGGGAAGACTGCGCAATACTGCATACTATTGGCATCCTCGTCAAGGGTATATAGGCATTCTCGGGAGGAATTACCGTGTTCAATCGTGTTTTTTACTGTGTTTTTCTTTTGTTACTGTGGTCAAGTTGGCTTCCAGAAAGCTTCAACTGAGGCTAGCCAGCCTAGTCAACCTTCATCCCTTTTCCTGCGCCATTCCTGGCTCTATTGTTGGGCGACAAGGGCGAACCTCATTGAAGATGCTATGGATGGACCTTTGACCTCCGTACGAACTGTGTTGTGATGCTGAGGATAGCATCAAGTTGTGTTTCTTGCTGTGTTGGGTCAAAACATTTTCTTATGTATACTACTTTACACCTTACACTCACTTAAGATATATTAGCCAAGGTCCGTATAAGAGCAGTTTCCTACTGTTCCTGTATATTATCTAGTATAGTCCTTAATAATGGTATAGAAACTGTTTCTTTTCCTTTCTTTATTTTGATGCAATTTGAAGCTGCACACCTCAGACATCGGGTTTATGTCCAAGATAAAATATCACTTTGTTGTCACACTCTCCGACCTCTTCCAACTCGAAGATAATGCCCATCTTGCTGCCAAGGTCAAGATCAAAGGCTACAAGGTCCAAGAAACTCACCAGCAGTGTTTGGCCAAGAAAGAAGAGGTTAAGAGCAAGTTTGAGTAGGTTAAGTTGGATGTTGAGGAAAAGCAAAGACAACAACTTGAAAGAGCAGTGGATGGGGCAGAGCGCTAGTGGAACGCGCCAGTCACCCAAAAGAAAAATATCCCAGAGCAGACCGGGCTTAAAAACCCGGGCATTTGAACTTTACGACCTCATCAAGCTGTATACCAGTATACTCCTGTTAATGGGTGAGATGCCAGAGTCTTAGGGCCTTTGCTATTGCATTGCGATGGGTGCAGGAGTTTAAAGGAAAAGGGGAGAACTGGAGGGCGGCGGGTAGGAGTTAGCTACCCTGAAGCCTATGCACCTACCTTACCGTAAGGTACGGTGGTTACCGTGTATTTCCATGCATGTAGCTACCCTATACTCCTCCGCATGTCCTATGCCCCGATATATATATACATGAGTGAGGTCTTGGAATTATGGCTGATGGCCATGCCTTGAACCGCCACTGTTCGCTTTCCGAGCAATGAGAAGACCAACTTGGTGGTTTCCGGCGCCTCTCGGTCACATTAGCACGCATGGGCTATTCATAGAGCTGGGCGGTTACATCTGCAGCATGCCTGCTGATCCTCTGACCTCCGCTTACGGTGCGGCTGAAGAGCCTTCCAGCGAGAGCTTCAATTTGTCATCCGTACACACTCGACAAATGTACGAACCGCCGCTGCAGATTGCGCAACAGCACGCGAAACGTCGTCCCCCGACCGAATGCGTACCGACCGCGACTCCCCGCGTAAATGGCGTACCTCAACAGCCTCCCTGATCTCCCCGAGGTTGTACGCGACTCGCGACTGAATGCGACATTCCACACCGACGGCCGGCAGTCCTACATTGTCCACAAGCGCGGAGGCGCCCACCGGCGCGCGAAGGACACACAGGATGTATGGGTTCACGAAAAACACTTGGGCTCAGGTGGCTACGGACGGGTCGACGTCCAGTGCAGGAAGTCGAAGCATCCGGGGCCGCGGCAGTTGCGCGCAGTCAAGACGATCCTGATATCAGACACGGAGCTGCGATCCAGGAGGGATTTCTATGTCCGCGAGCTGGAAGCTATCATCAAATTCTCCCAAGTCAGAGTAAGAAGTCACAGCCGTTCCCTCGTTTTGCATTGTGGACGTAGCTAAGCGTGCGCTGGACGAAATCAGTACGATGACCTGTTCGTCAAGACCTACGGCTGGTACGCCAGCGAGAACCATTTGTTCATTGCCATGGAGTATTGCGAACTCGGCGACCTCCACAAGTATCTGAAGACACGCCCCGACCGACGGTTACCCGAAGACCAAACTCGCGAAATCGCTTCACAACTGCTGGATGCTCTATCACGAATGCACGAGGAGCACTTTGCGCATGGAGACCTAAAGCCACATGTATGAACCGAACGTCCAACCGACACGCCCTCCTATCTTACTGACGGGACTGTTGTGCAGAATATCTTGATCAAACACCGACCTCCGGACCCGTGGGTAGTCAAACTAAGCGATTTTGGCATTAGTCGACGAAGCCGGAATGAAGAAACGGCTCCCAGCCCGATCACGACGGTTCGAGGAACGGACGGCTTTATGCCACCCGAACTACTCAATATCAGCGGCAGCAGCTCCAAGTCTATCGATCTCTACGCGGCAGATATGTGGTGCGTCGGGGAATCCATCTTTCGAGTCCTCACGGGCCGGCCGACCTTTGAGAACACGCAAGACTTGTACGGATACTACTTCAAGGTTGGCCAGTTCCCCGCGCAGACACTCAGAGATGCGCAGGTCAGTGAGCAGGCCATTGCGTTTCTGAGCTCGCTTGTGGTGTGCAGCCCATCGGAACGATTCACGGCAAAGCAAGCCCTGGCTCACCCGTGGATCATGATGGCTGTGCCCGAATCCCCGGTTTTCAAGTTCTCCGATAGTCTTGCCGTGAGCAGGTCCTACACAAACCTCTTCCGTCATACCCTGGCCTCGCGGATGCAACAGGCGTTCGAGGAAGAAGCCTCTGGGACCTGGGACACACAGACGCAGCCGATGGACGTGTTGGAAGACGACGAGGGGCTGGAGCTGCAAATGCCAAGTGCAAAGCCGAAAGTGGGAATCCCTGGACAACAGCCGGATCTCAACCAGCCGGGACACAAGGCATCGTTATCCCTGGCTGAGCCTGCTTCTGGTTCATGGTCGACTGGGACATTGCACAAAAAGAGTCAGAGCCTGGATCCCACGGATACGGGGCCGGCAACTGGATTGCAGCGCAGAGGGTTTCTGAAAAGACCGAACGGTGCTGCTCCGAGACGGAATCGCAGGACATCCAAAGATGAGACAAAGGCTCCGATAGACCAAGGCGCCTTCGCCCAACAGGAAACGAGGCTCCAGCTTGAAGCAAACGAGCATTTGAGGAAAGGCGAGTACGAGGATGCTGCATGGCTTCTGCAAGAGCTGTCGATCTTGAAATCGAAACTACCAGGAATAGAACGCCAACCGAGCCAGGAACAGATCGAACAGGAAAAGCTGGACGTTGTTGCGCAGAACTTGCGCCTCGCTGAGACCGAAGGCGAGAAGTGTCGCGCGATGGGGTATCTTGCCATCACCTTGTTCAAAATGGATATGTTTGTGAGCGCCGAGTTCTGCTATCTGGATTTTATCAAGCGAGAGAAGGAATCCCTTTCCGGGCCAACAGTTCAATTCAACCCTTGTCTCGTGGAGCGCGAGAATCTCATCAGGCTGGACAGCTTTCTGATTGACCTGGCCCACACGCTTGTTCGGCAAGAGAAAATCGAGGATGCGAAGCACGTTTACGAAGAGGTCATCTCGCACAAGACCGAGCTGTATGATACTGCGCACCAGGAAACTATCGACGTCATATATGAGCTTGCCGAGGTGTTGAGATCCAGAGACAGGTTCGAGGATGCGAAGCGCGTTTACGAAGATGCCGTTGGAGCAAGAAGGACGAAACTAGGGGAGACAAATCCTCTGACTCTCGAAAGCAATACACGACTACAGAAACTAGAGGAGATGATACGATCTCAGATCGATCCCTCGACTCAACAGAACCTTCAACAAAGCACGCCCAAGTTTTTAGCCAGGAAGCCAATCCCAGATCCCAGGCTAGAGGATACCCAAGACGAGAAGACCGACAAAAACGAAGAGCTAGACAACATTCCTGTCCCAGACAAGGGGCGGGGCTCAAAAGAAGAAGAACATTCACTTAGCCTTCAAACTGCCCAGAGATCCAGCGGCTTGAAAGAACCGTCACCCCGGGAAATGTCTGAGTTTCCGAGGGCTCCTAAAGGTCATAAGAGTACGGCCAAATGGAAAAAGTACTGTCTTTGCGGGCTTGCTTGATTGAATGTGAACTTTCGTCTTGATTCAGATCAATGAGGGTGACGAGATTCACTCCATGGGATCATTTAAAAATGTACGACATAGACCACAACTCATCCATAGATATCTTTAGCATAGCATTATAGCGACATGAATGGAAACGAATAGCGTATTGAAGAAAAAGGTATATTAATATCCTCTATTGTGAAATGTTTAAGATAACTAATCTGAAGTTGAATAATCTGACTTTCAACTTGTACGACCACAAGATTTATGTAAATGACTTGCTATCTACCGAGGGGAAAGTGTTAGGACGGTGTATACAATGCTCACTGGTTATGGCTTCGCAATTATCATCTGGAATTCGCAGATTCAATTTGTTTGGCTCAAACCATGAGAGCAATCGACACAGAACGGCCGAAGCTGCATATCAGATGAACGCCAGTATTGTGTCTTTAACATGTTGGATGTGCAAGTTCATAAGACTACGAAAGACGTGTGGACACGGGTGACAGGATCGGCATCGAACTCACGGAGTATGTAAATCCAACCAGGGACGAGATATTCTGAGATTTAATAACTACAAAATCTCCCTTGTTCTACGAGAATGGCAAAGAAGTCTTCACCAATTTCAAAAATCCCGATCCGATTGGGGAATGTGCATAAAATTCCCACTCCTAAGAGCAATTGCTACAACAATCCCGTCGTTGAATCCTGGGGAAGTCAATTTAAACACGCCTATTTAAAATATAAGCTATTCAGCTACGCTATGTGAAATGTGGCGTCCATAGTCTTTGCATCCAAGTCCTACAGGCTGCAGTCCTACGCTGATCGGCGTAAAATACGAGAGTCCTTCGGCTAGGCAGCCACAAGGCAGACTGAAGGCAGACTGCAATGCACCAATCCAACGGCATCAAAATGACGGCCATAAAGAGATGTTACACTTTCCCCGACATATTTCATAGCCCTTGGACGCAGGACTCATTCGGCGTCCTAGCAGGCAAGCTATTGCTGATAGCGGCTTCCAAGTCGCGTTCCCATTGTCCTCGGAATGGACCAGCGTGAAGAGAAGTGCGGCTGGAAGGTAGTGAAGGCCTAGGGGTTTCTACGACCAATTGGAACAAGTAGCGCGATGGAATAGAGCATTTTGAAGCGTCTGTCACAGCAGGCAGAAGTGAATACGGCGCAGGGGATGGAAGTCCTTCGCGACCCGATTCGCTTATGGCTGTACACTTTGCATGGTGGCCATCACCATGCAGCCGTAGCCAATACATCTCATTTCATTGCTGTCCTATGCATTTCCTTCATTTATGTCTCCTCTCGTCCGTCTTACCCTGCGTGATCTGATCTGCTTTGCCCACACCAGACCAACGCCCAATCAGTCCAGGTGTAACAACTCAACAAGAAGCAGCCAGCGGATATCCAAGACAGAATGGTGCTCTCACACGCTCGCGAATTTGTCTGGAAATGGCGATGCAAGCTCCGACCCTACCGTGAGCTGGACATCAATGTGCCCCTACCCGAGGCAGAGATCCCCAGCGACGAAAAGAAGAAGCCTTCGCTCAAGGAGCCAGCCACGTCTCCGGAGAAGGACCCCAACTTTGGTGCAGATGCCAGCGTCAAGACCTTCTTCGAGGGGCCCAAGTCGCTGCCCGGCATATACGACTGGGTCGACTACCCGCCTCGACAGCTCTCCAAGTCTGCCGCGCGAGTCCACGATCGTGTGGCCATCAAGATCTACAAGGTCAAGGACAAGGCCAAGCCGGCCATCTCTGGCTGCGCTCCGTTGAAATACTACCAGATCGAGGTTCAGAACCCGTTGCTCATTGCCGCGCTCACGCCGATTGTGAAGAAGGAGAACATGATCCTGGCGGCGAATTGCCCGGCAACCTTCGACTGTCCCTCTCGCGCGTTGTGGTTTGGTCAAGACGAGATCAAAGCGACATATCAAAGTCTTGAGGATTCGAGTGCTCTGAAGAACCCCCTTCAGTTATTTATTCGTGTGATGGACGATATGTTCGCCGAGCTCAAGGTGAAGCAGATGCAAATCAAGAGCACCGGATTGGTCGACTTCAAAACCGCCTGGACCTTATTCCCTAAAGGGTCGAGCGTCTACAGCTACTCTATCAATTCGGAAGTCTTGATCAAGGTGGAGAGCACTGTCATGATGGGGGGCAAGCTCCTGATCAAGGGCAAGGCACTCACCTTCAACGGGAGAGAGTATGTTTGGGAGGATAGAGTCTTGCCCCTCCCCTACTTCAATGGGTACAAACCAATCGCTGAACTTCCTCATTGCCCTCTGGAGTGGCTACCGGATGCCGCCAAGATCAAGGCGCGATGTATCGCTCGAGGCAAGAAGCTGCTGGGCTTCCAAGGCATTCGCTACTGCTGCTACAACGGTCTGGGCATACAGACCTGCGGAGATAAAGCCAAGAGACACAATGTCGAAGGCCGTGTGCTCATTGATGTGGTGGGATACAACAGGTTCCTCCTATCGCAGGGCAGTCGCGAGACGGAAGATCCAGAAACGGCGAGGAACAGAGTAATCAAACTGGGAGGCTATGCGTCTTCAGAGTTTGAAGAGAAGGAAGAGGAGAAGCCCAAGACTAATCCTAACCGCACCCTCACTACGGCGGAGCAGCAGAAAAACAAGTATGCCATGCTGGGCCGGGAGGAAGATTTGGCATTTGCGACCAACCTGGTTGAGGGATTCGCTCTGCGAAACAAAGAATGGCGTAAGTAAAAATTTCTATACTAAATGACGGAAATAGGTATTGGGACACTGAAAGAGCCTTACTGATACCATGTTCTAGTTCTCTTCTATATCGAAGATATTGAGCCAATGGTATGGAACGAGAAAGCGTTCACGCATCTGGTGTACGATGCGGGCCAGAAAGACCTCGTCCTCTCCTTTGTAGAGAACCACGTGTCCAACGCCAACTATGAAGATGGCAGCGCAGCGATGGCGGTAGAGGATGTCATTGTCGGCAAGGGCCAAGGTCTGATCACTCTGCTCTCCGGTCCACCCGGCACTGGCAAAACTCTCACTGCCGAGGCCGTGGCCGATCGTGCGAAGCGGCCCCTCTATCACCTACATGCGGAGGATCTCGGAATCAGCGCTGCCAGCTTGGGTGAGAATCTGAAGCGCGTGTTCGATATGGCCATTCACTGGGGTGCAGTTGTTCTCCTTGATGAGGCTGATGTCTTTATGGCGGAACGCAACCCCAACGATATTCATCGCAACGAGCTCGTCAGTATCTTTTTGCGAGAGCTGGAGTACTTCCGTGGTATACTCTTCTTGACCACCAATCTGTACCATACCATCGACACAGCGTTCCGCAGCCGGGTCAATTTGCATCTTGTATTTCCCGCGCTGTCGAGAGAGTCTCGCGCCTCCGTGTGGCGCAACTTCATCCAACGTCTTCCGCCAACTACTGCCAAGAAGGGAGAAGGTTCAGAAGAGAGTGTGACTGAAGTAGAGGAGGAAGAGAATCTGGCAGATACGGCTGCGCCACTGTCCACTGAGCGACCTATCGACGACGATGATATCAAGGAATTATCTCTGTGGCAACTGAATGGTAGAGAGATCAAGAACTCGGTCAAGATGTCGCACAGTTGGTGCACAAACAAAGGATATCTCTTGACTCTGGATAGGGCCCAGAGTGGGATCAAGGTGACGGCACCAAATGCAGCCAAGGAAGGAGATGTAGATCCTGACCTCTACGACTAGCATTATCAACTCGGGCAGCCCGTAAAGGCGTTCGTCAGCAGTATCCCAACTTTGACATGAAATCGTTTTCCGGCCCACCCTCGTATTTTACCACCCCTTTGGAAGACCGTGTTGTGCTTTGGTATTTTTGCATCATCCCGCCCCCAACATGACCAGGAGTCCAACGAGCGATGTGACCAACTCTCTCTTCTATCCACCCTTGCTGCCTCTAATGTCTTCACTTCCGCTTACAAGATACGCATGTGCCCGTAAAATTATCCAAAAGCTGAAGTGCCAAGCAACTGCTGATGACCTGACGAACTCAACCGGTGTATCCGGTACCAACCGCGCGCGTCTTTGTCATCTGACCGTCGATCCACCAGCAATGTGGTATTATGTTCTCATAGACTTCCATCAACCCATGCTTCCCCGCAAATATAATGCATTGTTAATCCATGCCACGCCCTCGGGCTCGGGCTCGGACGTCGTGGGAGGGATACATGGGCATTGCCCAACCCTTTTTTTCCGAGCCGGATTTCTATAAGACTTGATGACTTTCATACAGTGGATGAGGGGCACAAGGTTCTCTCATTGTTTCTCTTCGTAAAAAGGTTATTACCTTTATACAAGATTCCTCGATATACGATGTTCGTTCCCAGGATGTTTGGGAACTTGGCGATACTCTTTGCCGCGACTTGTTGCGTGGCGATTGAAGCAAGCAGTACGTTACTGACAGGTGGCACCATTATCGCTTTCAATGAGGGAGAAAACGCTCTTCAGGTGATTCGAGATGGGTCCTTGCTCGTTACGGGGGATCGCATCGCAGGAATCTACCAAAGCGGGCAAACTCCGAGTTCTATCCCAGAACACACGGTGGTCAATGTCACCAACAAGATCATAACGCCGGGATTCATTGACACCCACCGCCACGGCTGGCAGACAAGCATCAAAACGCTGGCTTCTAATACGACACTTTGGGAATATTTTGGTCGATTCTCCGAGTTTGCTTCAGTTGGCGTTTTCTCGGCGGAAGACGTGTACCTCAGCCAGCTTGCAGGTCTCTACGAGGCCGTGAACGCTGGGGTTACCACCGTCCTTGACCACGCACATCACACATGGTCAAACGAGACATCAGAGGCAGGGCTCCGAGCGAGCATTGATAGCGGAGCGAGGGTGTTTTGGTCGTACGCGTTCCACAATGTGACGAACTTCACCGTGTCCGAACAGCTTGCAAACTTCAGAGACATTGCACAGAAGGGAACATTCAAAGACACTCCCACAAGCCTCGGGATCGCCTACGACTACTTCGGGGCAGACCCAGCAGAGCAAGTTCAAAATATCGTCAACCTGGCTACGTGAGCAATTGGGAAACTAACAAAGGCTTGGATCAATCACACTAATCGGGACTTAGCGAATTCAATGTGTCGGTCGTCACTACTCATACTCTCCAAGGACCTTTCGGAAGTAAGCGGTAATTCAAACACATGAAGTGGCTCTTTCAATGACAGTTTTTAGTTTCGAACAGCCCAACACAGCTGGAGCAGCTAGGGCTTCTCTCTTCCAGTATCCCGGTTGTGTTTTCCCATGCATCATTCCTCACCTACCAAGAGCTTCAGCTCCTGAGGAAAGCGAACCAATACATATCCATCACTCCCGAGTCTGAAATGCACTACGGCCATACTCATCCCCACAGCCATCTGGCGACGGATCAAGCTGCCCTTGGCGTTGACACGCACTTCACCTTCTCTGCCGACATTCTGACCCAGGCTCGGATATGGTTACAGAAAGTGAGGTACCTCATCTTCAATGGGCCGCTGGAACTCTGGAGAGTGCCCTCAAACAACCCCATGTCCGTCAATCAAGCATTTCTCCTGGCAACGAGGAACGGTGGCCTGGCGTTGCGTCGGCCAGATCTTGGAGTTATCAAGGAGGGCGCGAAGGCAGATCTACTCGTCTGGGATGGCACCTCTCCATCCATGCTTGGCTGGAATGACCCGGTAGCGGCTGTGATTCTCCACGCAAGTGTCGGTGATATTGAACACGTGCTTGTGGATGGTAAATTTGTGAAGAGGGGTGGCAAGCTCACTAATACCGACTATCCCGCCATCAGCGACAGGTTTCTGCAGAGTGCAAAGAGAATCCAAAGCGCATTCCTTGAGAGGCCAAGACCTGTTCCGGAGAAGGGCGAAGACTTTGGAGGCGAGGGTGTAGGCGGCGAATTGATGGAAGTAGTACAGGTTGATGTTCTTAGAGGGGATGGGAGTGGATATGGAGTTGAGTTCTTGGATGGCTCCAAGCCATGATGGAGACTGTAGAATAGATTATGGCCTGTATACTTTGATTGTTCGCCTTAATAACGGGGACGCTTGTTAGTTATTCCGACCAAGAATTGCAAAGTTGGGAGACGCGTCAATGGGTGAAACACACTCAGAGCTCGCTGTGAAGCTTTTTATTGAGGTGCATTTTCTCCAAGCATCGCATCTCTCCCTCCGCCCAAGATGCTGCATTTAGATGTCTATTCACATCAAGATACAATAGTCGATTGGAAATGAACATTATGAGAAGCAGGGAAGATCTGTCTCTCTCTGCCCACAGTCTGAACCCTGATCCAGGTTTGGTGGAGTTCAATTCTCAGCGCATTTATTATTAGTCCCACTAACATACGCCCTAAAATTGACCATTTTTAGTGCCCTGCTCGGCTTCTACCACTGTCCAGAGCATTCGACCCTGCCGAGATCCGACACAGAAAAGTCCTCGGCACTTGTAGGCGCAAATCAAACGTCGACAACACCACCATCTTCACTTGTACTGCCATCTGCACATTCCCAAAATGGCACTTTATATCCGGCAGTTGGACGTTGGTGACCTTGAACGCAGCTTGGTCGTTGAGACGGCTGCGTTCCCACCAGCTGAGGCTGCTACTCGCGAAAAGGTACGGCCACCACCACCACTGGAGCGACCCTAATGAACAACGAGCGACTGATATCATTCTAGATCGAGTACCGCTTGACTGTCTGCCCCGAGCTCTGCTTCGGTCTTTTCCTTCGGGAAGGACAGGCATCCCCCTCTGTAGCGCCACAGGACATCCCCATCATCTTGAAGCAGGACTCGTCTCCTGGCGATGTGCTAGTTGCCCACGTCATTTCAACCATGTCGGAGAACAAGCCCGTCAGGGACGAGGACATGGCCTTCCCTCCCGAGTGGAAGAACGACCCGACGGCCAATTACTCGGTTGGTCACCGACCAAAGGGGAAGACCATCGCCTTGCATTCCCTCGCCGTTTCCCCGCAGCACCAGAGATCCGGTTTCGGAAAGGCCCTCATGAAGGCCTACTTCAAGCACATGAAGGAGAGGGGCGCAGCTGAGAGAATTTCCATTTTGACATATGACCGCCTCGTTCCGTACTACACATCTCTTGGATTTGAACATTACGGGAAAAGCGAGTCTGAGTATGCCGGCGTTGCATGGCATGATCTGGTAAGTGGCATTCCCTTGCTATCACAGACCATCTACTAACCTTCCTAGTCATATATATTCGAGGTGGACTTGAAAAAAATGACCCATGATATTCTAGTGATGAATTAAAAAACTATGGTCAGATGTAGTAGAATATGACTTCTAGACAATTATGAGTTGACCCTCACTTTTTAACTCTCGCAGTCACCATGTTAATCATGTTCAGTGTAGCATCCGCAGTAGCTAATAAGCTTTGTAGTGGATGTTACCCCAGCGCTAAAAGCCAGTAAGAGGGTGCTCTGGTTCTCCCCGTGTTGAATATATAGGGTAGAGGTTGAGTCAATCCATCCTTGCTGTAGATGTTGGTGAAAGTGGTAATTGACAAGAAGGAGATTATTACATCGGGAATCAGAGGGGAGAATTCACAAGATTTTGGGATAAGTAGGGCATTTCTTACGCAACGTAGATGATTACTACTGTAGCTCGATGTTCTGCATGAAGCGGGGAATAATTTCATCATCATGACTGGCGATCTCGACACAACGTCTTACCTCTACACATCCACACTCCTCGAGTATTGTTTTAACACATCCCATTTGATAATCATAAGTCCGTCTCGCATTTCCTTACACAGAATGAGCGTCGATAAGAACCCTGTCGATGCTATTCCTGCCTCGGCAGAGTACTTCTACCTGGGCGAACACTCACGCACCGTCACCACGTCCAACCACGACGCACAGATCTGGTTCGACCGCGGGCTCAACTGGGCTTTTGGCTTCAACCATGCCGAGGCCAGCCGCTGCTTTGAGCAGGTGACGCTTCACGACCCCGACTGCGCCATCGGCTACTGGGGTGTCGCCTATGCCGGCGGCCCAAACTACAACAAGGTGTGGAAGGCATTCGACCAGCAGGATCTGGCCATTTCTCTCCCGCGGTGCCGGGCGTTTGCCAGAAAAGCGCTGGATAAACGGCATTTGGCCTCTGAGGCGGAGCAGGCTCTGATTGACGCCATCCAAGTTCGTTTCCCTGAGGGCCAGAATCCAAGCGATGCCGAGTTTCTGGCCTGCTCCGCTGCGTATGCCGATGCCATGCGAGAGGTCTTGCGCAAGTCCGTGCAAGACGACTTGGATATCCTCGCTCTCGTATCCGATGCGCTCATGAACATGGCACCCTGGTCACTCTATGAATCGCGCACTGGAAAGCCGAACCTCGCGACGCCTGTCCTCGAGATTGAGAAGATCCTGGACCGCGCCATTTCCCTCCCCGGGGCGGACTCTCACCCGGGCCTCCTTCACCTATATATCCATCTCAAGGAGATGTCCATGACCCCCGAGGCAGCTATACCGGCCGCCGACAATCTGCGAAGGCTGGTCACCGATAGCGGACATCTCCAGCACATGCCCAGTCACATCGATGTCCTCGTCGGGGATTACAGATCAGCCATCGCAGCCAACGCCAGGGCCATTCGATATGATGCAAAGTATTACGAGAAGCAGGATTTCCCCTTCTACCGTATTTACCAGCTGCACGATCATCATTCTCTGATATACGCTGCCATGCTCGCAGGTCGACGCGCCATAGCCCTAGATGCCACAGATCGTATGGAGGCGATTCTGACAGAGGGTCTCCTCCGTACGACATCTCCACCCATGGCGGAATGGTGCGAGAGCTTCAATGCGGTCCGTGTCCATGTCATGATACGGTTTGGAATGTGGGAGGAGATCAAGACTCTCGCGCTCCCGGCCGACCAGGAGCTTTACTGCGTGACCATAGCCAATATTCATTACGGAAAGGCCATCGCCTATGCTGCTACTGATGACCTGCCACACGCCGAAAAGGAGCGTAGTAATTTCCACAAGGCCTTGGCCAGGGTGCCCAACACGCGGCTGTCGTTCCCCAACAGGATGGTGGATATTCTCAAGGTCGCCCATGCCATGCTCGACGGAGAGATGGAATACAGACGCGGGAACTTCGACGAGGCGTTCACCCACCTACGAACAGCCGTTAAATGCGACGACGCGTTGAACTACGGCGAGCCATGGGGCTGGATGCTCCCCACCCGCCACGCACTGGGTGCCTTGCTAGTTGAACATGGAAAGGTTGAGGAGGCGGCGAGGGTCTATGGAGAAGATCTGGCTCTCATAGAGGGGCTCGCGTCTGCCCACCAGCATCCCAATAACGTCTGGGCGCTTCATGGATACCACGAGTGTTTGGTGCGTCTTGGGCGATCGGCGGAGGCGCATATTATAGGCCAGGCTTTGAAGGTTGCCCTTGCTTCGGCAGATATCAACATCACTTCGTCTTGTTTCTGTAGGCTGGAACTGAACAAATCAGATAGCCATTGCCAATGCTAGATAAGAAGAGACGGTTATGATTCAAAATTAAACTGCATCGTTCTGGCACTCGATCTTGAATCATTCTTGATTATTTCATTAGCGTGCTATAAATATGTATTATCCCATCATGCCCTTCCCTTCTTCCCGCCTGTCGCTCTCCTAGGTGGTGCCAGGGTATGTCCCGCTTCGGCAACTCCTTCACTCTCCATCATCACTGGGAGCTCAGCCACATGCTGCTGCCGGATCTGAGGCATCGGTACTCCAGGCATCGGTTGCAAGTGGTGCTGATCAAATTGCTGCGGTGAATAATACGCATTCTCGAGACCAGTGGGCATGGGCGAGATGGCATTCAGGGCGTACGGGTATGCCTCCACCTGGCTCTGTCTATCGCCGTTGTACATGCTGGGGTGCCATTGATTCGGCGACGGGCTCGGCATGGGAGGGATCGGCTGGCTCGAGGAGTAGCCCTCATACGGGCTGATGGACGGCGCTGATGGTTCGTAACCGGAGATGAACGTCGATCGATTCGATGTTAGGGCAGATACCGTTGGAGACCCGACGACGTGCTCCCTGCCGTACGGGTCGTAGACGGTTGATCTGTCCGGGCCTGGGGTGCCCATGTCCGTTGCTGGCGAGTAGATGTGTCCGGAGGTAGGGGACGGGCCGTGGAAACTACTCATATGGCTGGTGTGATTGCTATGACTCCTGCTGCCCTTCTCTCCCAGGACGACCTCCCGCGGCGCTTGCTGCTTCTTCTGCTTCCTCCTTCTCCAGAACCACCAGGCGGCGAGTCCGATGATGGCCAATCCGGCCACGACACAGCCCACGGCGATACCCGCCTTGGCCCCCGTGGAGAGACCCTTGCTCTGACTATAGCCATCGGGGAGGAAAGCCGCGGCCTTTGAATCGTCGGGGTTGAGCACCGCGGCGGAGAGGTTGGAGCCCCTGCACCCGCCGTCGTTGCATGGATTGCCGGAGCAGCACCCCAGGAAGGGAGGGCTCGTCTCCGCACAGCTGAACCATTGCACTCCCGGGTCGCCGCTGACGCAGTCCTGGCCCTCGATCCGCTGGTAGGAGTTCGGGTGGAAGCTGGCGGCGGTGAGGTTGCCGTCGGGGCAGTCGCCGGTGCTCGTCTTGCACGGGTCGACGGTGCAGCAGCCGATGAATCTGGTGGGTTTGTCGTCGCAGACGTAAAATGAGCCTTTGTCGGGACAGGTGATGCCGAGTTTGTCAATGACTTGGTCGTAAATCATGGTTCGTTGGGGGTCGTTGCGTCGTGTTGGTTTGCTACTCGGGCGTGAATCAATCAATCGATGGTTGGAGAGAGCATCTGTTTGCGTGTGCTTCGTTGCTTGCTGCCTCCTCCGTGACTCCAAATGAAAAGAAAACAATGAGAAAGGGGGGAAACAAAATGATGAGGGAAAATCTGAATTTGGGAAAGGAAAGTGACAGTCAATGCGAAACCGCCCCGGGATCTGGGGGTGAGCGCTCAGTCGTATTTTGTTCGACCAGCTGCACCCATCTGCACGCTTCCTTTTTTATCCTCACAGCTCGTAGCACAGCGCTTTGGATGCTGATTGACGGCTTCGAGCCAGCCCCGGCCCCTGCTAGGAAGCTAAAGACGCGGATGCGACCCTGGCTGCGGCCTGGCATTGGAGAGTGGAGATGGTGAAGGCATCCGAGGAGGAGTAAGCAGCGCTTAGGGCATTGCCACGGGCGAATGAGAGTCATGGACAGAGTCTGATGTGCAGGATAAGCGTGCTAATACCGGACAGCTGATGGATGTGAGAGCTGGCGAGTGCCTTGCACATGTTGCCATCCGGGTCCGAAAGGGGCGCGTAGATCCAACAAGGGCAGCTGTCGTTCAGAGAACTCACCTCCATATCCTTGTGACAAAGCTCGTGTTTACTCAGCCAGTCCATCCCTGTGCGAGAACAACGCATCAAGGACATGCTGCGAGATAAACCGCACAAGCCCCGCCATTCATGCTACCTCTAGCGAGCACGGTGTCTTGTCTTACTCACCAGAAGGCTGAAACAGAGACTCGCTGATCTTTCCAACTGATCCCACCTGCGAGCCCAATCACCGACCCCCAAGGCCGTATCTCCGCATCGCTTCCCCAACCCGTGAGGCCAAGCGCAAAAGCAAATGCCGTGCCGCCGCTGGGATCCCCTGGCACCGTTTCCGTGTCAATGCTGTCTAATCCCCGGACGAGAATGTGAGCACGCCAGCAGTTTTTTAGAAAGAAGTATCCCTGGCCTGAATACAAAACACACACGATCTGTTTCATTCTGCTGTTTGTCCTTTACTCGCAACACCCATGCGCATCAAATCCTGGGGATGTTGATCCCAACGAACATGGCCAGATTATGGGCCCGGCACTTGAGGCAGGCAGGGATCGAATCGGGGACCAGCCAGATACCAATTGTACACGGAGTGTGCACTTAATATGAAACAACCGAAAGCCGTGGTTACCCATCTACCCCGCTGCTATCAGCGCTCATCCAAAACGTGTGGAATGGGGTGAGCCAAGAGAGAGCAGAATAAGGAACACGGAGGGGAGAAAAGAAGGCATGATGAACAACCTACTGAGCCAACAGAGAGGGGTCCTCATGAATAAAGGAGGTAATGAGCTTGAACAAATGCTACCAGGGACGTGGCTCTACCGTGATGTATGGGCGCCTTCTCCTCAATCTTATCCCCCCTACTATCAATATCTGTTGGCTTCGACCTACCCCGAGCCTAGCTCAAACTTGGCCAAGGATTCTGACAAGATCAATTAACAGACAAGTTGGAAGTGCGAGATGCGAGCAACTAGCGAGGGCATGTTTAGGGTAGGACGGATGTGTCTGCATAAAAGGGACTTGATAAGCCCCAGTCCCGCAAATTGGCCAGTCCCGCAAATAAATAAATGGACAAGACAAAATGGAGAAAAGAGGATGGCATCCTGCGTCGTGTCAGCACCGAATTGGGCCCCCTCATGATTTCTACCTGGTGCAACTAAGCGTGTGCGGTCTGTCTATTACGACACTAAACCAACCATTGCCCGAAATCTTGGCTATGGTGTGTGTACCAGCTGTGTACGCCCATGAACTCATTCGCTGCGACCATTGCCATCATGGAAGCATACGATCCTGTCTTTACGCGTCTCGGCTCGGGGCAGGTTGAAGACCTCACCAGCAGAAGAATAGTGCCCGAATTCATCCCGCTGCCATTGCTAGCGGCAGGCGGTCATCTGAAGATCATCGAGTCTGTTCTGGCTCAGGGAGTCCACCCAGACGCAGCCTGGGGCCAGGAGAAAACAGCCCTCTTCGAGGCGGTCCATAATGGGCATCTTGACGTCGTTGAGCTTGTTACTCAGTATGGTGCAGACCCAAACACGGTCTGTGACGGAAGAACGCCGCTGTGCACCGCTGCATCAAAGGGATTTATTGAAATCGCCGAGTTCCTCCTGGATAACGGGGCCAGTGTAACCCAGACATTTTACTACAAATGCACCCCTTTGCACGCCGCCGTCATCTACAACAGTATGGATATGGCGTCCCTTCTCCTTTAGAGGGGTGCCAACCTCGAGGCGAGAGACGTTAATGGGAGAACTCCCCTCAGCAGGAGCATGGATAGGCGGATGGACATGGCTCGTTTTTTAATCGAGAAGGGTGCCGATCTAGATTCAGAGGACAACAATATGAACACGCCGCTCCATTGGGCTGCCTCACTGGACCTTGACGACATGACACAGCTGCTTCTAGAAAACGGGGCTGATATCGAGGCTCGAATCGACCAAGGAGCAACTGTTCTCTCCTCAGTAGTGACCTTCAACTTCAAACGCAGGGTGGAGTTCCTTCTCGACAAGGGTGCGAACATGGAGACAGAAGATAACAGCGGAAACACCCCTCTCTCTTTGGCTGCAAAGTACAATCACCCCAATATCTTCAAGCTGCTTCTAGATAGAGGAGCAAACCCCAACACCAAGAACGAAGGTGGAGAGACACCCCTCATCCACACAGTCAGGCATAACAAGGTTGCAAATGCAAAAATTCTTCTCCAAAAGGGATCAACGTTGATGGACTGCGATAAGGCCGGCTGGACGGCCTTGAGCTATGCAGTTCACGAACGCAATGTCCAATTAGCCAGGATCCTTTTGGAGCAAGGTGGGTGTCAGTTGGTAAAATCAAGCAACCTGGAGTCTGCAGCACGAATTGGCCATCTGAAAATGCTTGAGCTTCTTGTCGGGTACGGGTGGGATATCGAGACGAGAGATCCTCATGGTTGGACACCTCTCACCATCGCATTACACACCAACAACTCCAAAGTCGTCCAGTTTCTGCTCAAAAGGGGAGCTAACTCAGGAGTGGAGGTATACGGCCGCAGCTCGGTTCATATAGCAGCCCAAAACGGAGATTCGGCCAGCATGAGACTCTTATTAGAGAAAGGGGAAGATATCGAGGCCATGACCGCATCTGGTCGGACCCCTCTATTCGCCGCTACGGCGTCAGGTTCTTTCAGAGCGCTGAGAGTATTGCTGAAGAATGGGGCGGACGTTTCGGTTAAGATAAAGGAAGGGAAAACTGCACTTATGGTTGCCGCCCGTCTTGGTCTGAGCAACAACGTCCGCATATTACTACCGTACGGGGCTGCCTTGGACGAGGAGACGACAGATGGATGGACTGCGCTTACTTTGGCAGCGGTAAATGGACGTACTAGTGTTCTAACCCAACTCCTTGATCGGGGAGCCGATCTGAACATACCTGACCTGAGAGATTCTACAGCGCTTCACCTGGCTTCAAAGTGTGGGCGCACCAACGCCGTCAGGATATTACTTGAACGAGGTGCAAACCCCCATCTCAAAAACAACAACAAACAGACCCCGCTGCACTTCGCAGCTCCTTTTGGCGACGTAAATATCGTGCAGCTACTCGTCGACCATGGCGCAAGTCCTGAAGCACAAGACGTGTATTCTTCAACTCCAATTGATTCGGCCCAAATTCTTGGCCATCACTATATCGCAAAGCTATTACGCAGAGCAGCGGGCCGGCGCAAGAGTGTTGCACACGGTAACATCACACCGCTGCACCGGGCGGCAGCCGCTGGCCTTTCCTCCCAGGTGAAGAGATTGGTAGAGGATGGTTCAGATATTGAAGCCCAAAATGAAAATGGACTCACGCCACTGGCTCACGCCGTACAGGCCGGCCGTAAGCTCATAGCATCGTATTTGATCTCAGTGGGAGCCGATATAGAGGCGAAGTCCGCCGACGGGGATAGCCCTCTGTTCCTAGCCTCAGCTGTCATGCCGCCGCTTATGATGAAATTCCTACTGGGCAAGGGAGCGAACATTGAAGCTTCCAATAAGGCGAACACCACACCCTTAGGTTGGGCTGCACGTCGAGGATACTTGCAGGCTGTCAAGATATTAACTAAAGCTGGGGCTGACTTCGAGGCCACAGAGAGAGGCGGATGCACGCCATTGCTGATGGCGGTGGAGTTTGACCATATAGAAGTACTTGTATATCTTCTCAAGAACGGAGCCAATGTTGATGCAAAGGATATATTAGGCCAGACTGCGTTGCATTTGGCCGCTAAGTTCGGCTACCGCAAACTGGCTTGGCTGTTGTTAGGACGAAGAGGAGAAGCAGACGGGCTTTTGATTGAGCCTGACACTCGAATCCAAAAGACTCCTTTGACTGATATTTCCAAGGACTCCAGAGCTCTACCCAAGAAAGATGAGCAATTTGCGACAGTGAAAAGGTATAGAACATTACGAGCCAGATTCGCGAGGGCAGACCCCAACAGTACAGATGGGAAGGGACGGACACCTCTCTTTTATGCGGCTGATTACGGACATGTGATCATTTGTCGTATTCTCTACCAGAGCTTTCCTGGGGATAACCTCCCTTTGGATAATAAGCTTCGATCACCATTGGTTTTGGCTGCAGCAAGAGGTCATCTCCGTATTCTGAAGTTCCTGGCCCCGCGACACAAGAAGATGCTTCAGATACGTGGTAGCCACGGCTCGACGCCCTTCTCTGCGGCCGCAAGAAACCGACATTCAAAAGTGATCAAATACTTGCTTACTCTCCATCAACCATCACTGGACTCGCCTACTCTCTACAACAAAAGTCTGAGATATTGGCTGCAACGAATTGGAGATGATCGGATAACTCAGCTTTTTGAGAAGTATGCCCCAGAAAGTCCTCAACTGGTCCCCGGAACCGCGAGGGGGCAGGTCCAGGGCCGAGCCCCCTGCGATGATGAGAAGTCCTTGACGTGCGACGCATGCCTTCTTGCGGTGACAGAGACTGAATCACACCTCGTTTGCATGGCCTGTTCTAATGGTCACCCTAGGTTGTGCCGTGACTGTAGAGAATTGGAAGAAAGCCTCTGTGTTTGCGGTGCTTAGCAGCAAGGCATGGGCTTGAGAACATCCAAGCACCTTACCACTACCGCCGTCTTCGCAAAGGACTACATATGCGAAAGGATGTTTCTATATATATACCCGGATTCGGTCTTATCAACAGCCATGGATCTCGAAAACCAGGTTTGCCAAGGATACAACGACTACGACAAGCCACACGGTAGGCTTCTTCCTCGGGATGCAGCTGTTCCAATCGTCATGAATATCAGCATATGTTACTTTTACGCGAGTGGGTAGATAAGTTGGAATAAGCGATAAGGGAACCGGGGTGGCAGGTCGAATGAAATTCTCGTCCATTATTTCTTTTCCTTGTTTTTTTTTGGTAGCGCCTCGAGAACTCACACCGTCTTTTGCCTGTGCCAAGCAGAAAGTGAGGTCATGCTTACTCTCATGGTGCCGGGGGAAACAGGGTCGCTTAGAACCCACGCTCATCGACGCGTCTGTTGGTAGCTCAGAATTATGATAATTAATTACTTTGCTGATTTGCTCTCTGCGTAGGTCGCCTCTTCTCTCTACAATTCGCTTTTTGCTTTTATATATTTACTCTAATCTCAATCTTGCTTCTGACCGGGCTTGTTTTATTTCTACCATTTCTAGCCAGCGATGTGCGGACAGGCATGTCTCGGCGCATGAGACTGACTTGGTATGTTCTCCGTTCTTGGGTCTCATAAATGTAACCATGGATGCAACAACAGTGCTTATTAAGATATGTCTGTTATGCGACAGAATAAAAGCTACGAAAATGCTACGCTGTCCGAGAAGACACATGAGCGTAAATTAGTTGGCTGTCTATAAAAACCCATACAATTCAGGTGCGGACTATGTGATCTGGCCGCGATGCTTCTTCGGGCCCTCGCAAAAGGGGACGAAGCTTGAATAATAAACGCTCACCTAAAGCGATAAATCTTGAGGCAGCAAGACGACAAGAGCGACGCGCCAGTCACACAGACCGATCGCTTTCAATTAGTATTTTCATATCACTCCTGCTCATGACCAATCAACTGTCAATCCACACTCGTGGGACGACAATCAGGGGATCACTGAGGAGAAATTTCTAAAAGACTAACTGAGACCCCCACCCCTTCTAAGGAGTCAACCTGGTCTGGCTCTTGCTGAAAGTTGAAAGAAAGAACGCGGTCTTGGTGGTTGAGGGTGCTCGGAGTGAGACAGTCCGGAGATCCACAATCTGGACAATGTCAGTCCGGATGAGCTCTACTGCATTTGGCGGTATAAGGGCAGCCTCGGGTCTATGGAAAACTGACTTTTTTCCTGTGGGTGGTTGGGGAACCCTTGATGTCCGCATGGCTATGATACCCCTGCTTCTTGGTCTGGGGTTAGCAGCAGTTACTGGGGTATGGTCATGTCCTATGTCTAGGGTCTTATTGGAGTGATGAGGTCCATCGCAACCATCTGCTTCCGCAGAGGCCGAGCCATCATGAACTGTGAAATAGCTTCAATCCACCTACTCTTGAGGAATTCGGTACGCCAAAAAAGAAAAGAAAAACCTAGTTCCAGCTTAAGAACAATACAAAGTGGGTTATCAGAGGATATACATCACCAAGGAGATGCCATGCGTCATGATTAATTGAGACAGGCCTTGTTGTAGAGATGAACAGCCAAGTTTTCATCTTATACGGTGGGCCTTGTGTAGTTCTCGTACCCCGTGGGGGATGTCCGGGGTGTTACAATATGCGACTCCCTCACTGTCCCTGGTCCTTCTGCAAGTAAGGTAACCTGTCTTTCACATTGCAAGATTGGACCTTATGTGCGTTGATGACTTTCATGATTGCTTTCCTTGATCATTAATGCAATAAACAAATTAAATCAAGTTTATCAACTATGAGCCTGTCCTTTGACCACCAGGTCGCCAGCGGTCTGGGACACAAGATCCTCACGCACCAAAGGACGGCTCCAACTGGGTAAAGAAACTATGGCTCTTGGTTCTTTTCGGGCTTCACCGTAAAGCTACGTCAACAAATAATCGAGACTGTGAGCCAAGAAGAATTTCTCTTCCACTAAGGTTCTGGGCATTGGCATGATACACAGCCTCGCCAGTTCTTGCTGGCAGTATGATCTGTGATTGCCTCCGCAGAAACCACCGATCGCGATAACCACCGATGGGTAAGACCAAGCGCGTTTGGCGTGCCATGGTGACCACCTGAGAAGCCGAGATTGGCCAGAGCCAGCCTTAACTTGTGCCAGGTGGGTACTGGAATCAGACCGCCAAGACGGTCTAGCTGCTTGGGCTCGCCACGAGCGATAGTGGTATAGGAAGAGGGAAAGATGGAGTCTAGACTTGTTCTAATCGAGTCAGGGAACCAGTCATGCGGCGGATTCCTGATCTATCGATCCACAAAGTTGGGGTACGCATGAGCAATCTGAATGATGACTGCATTCCACCGCCGGCGCTGGGACCTGTTTGGACTTAGAGTAAGCAATTTAAGTTTTGCCAAGCTAGTGAGAGAACAACGGACAACGACCTTCCATCTTGGTTCAGCTTCCCCGCATCTGGGGTACAACGCTGGGGAACTGACCCCCACATCCGGCCCAATCATCTCCCAGACTCGGCCGCAGAACCAAGAAACGGGGGGGGCTTGTCACTTGAAACGGTTGGGGGTGGCCATTGGAAGATCATTATCAAGCCTATCTTGCGGGCTGGTATTGGAGGCCTGGCTTGCGGGGTAATGCCGCCGTTGTATATAAAACCAGACAACCCCCCGGATCCTTCTGTTACATTGCTCCAAACCCCATCGTTCTCTTGCATACCAGCTCTGTTGCCTCTCATATTACGTGGCAAATCCTGATCATGGCAGCGGACAAGTCTGCCACCGGTGGCATTGCCACTGTTGAAGAGAATGAGAACCAGATCGGCCTTCAGCAGACCACTACCATCGAGGAGGGCCCATTCAAGCCCACTTACGAAAAGGTCGATGAGTTTGGTGCTCACGCGAAAACTGATCCCAAGGAAATCGCTCTGGTCAGGAAGTTAGACTTGCATATCTTGGTATGTGCTTATCTGACGAATCTGCTCCGTGTACTATACTGACAGAGAGCCAGCCCATCCTATGGCTCATGTATCTTTTCAACTACCTCGATCGCAATGCTCTTGTCAATGCGCGACTGAACGACCTCGAGAAAGAGCTCAACCTACAGGGCACTCAATACAACACCTGTGTGTCCATTTTGTTCGTTGGGTACGTGCTACTTGGATGACCGGGCAGACGCTCTCCCCCCTTGGCTCGAACACAGGCTCATATCACTTTCTTCGAATAGATATATTGCGGGCCAGATCCCATCCAACATGGTCCTGAACCGCGTCCGACCCTCTTGGTACATGGCTGGCTTCTGTATGGCTTGGTCCATCGTGAGCTTGCTTACATTCCTAGCCAAAGACTACAGCAGCATGGTGGTTCTTCGTTTCTTCTTGGGAGTGACCGAGGCGCCAGTGAGCTATTCTCCCCAGCCTCTGCCGCAAGGTTCGGTTGAACCATTAATAACCGTGAATTAGTTCTATCCCGGCGCGCTGTATCTGATCAGTTTATTCTACACCCGCAAAGAAATCGCCACTCGCATGTCTTGGTTTTTCACTGCAAACATGTTGGCAAGCGCCTTTTCGCCTCTTATCGCAGCCGGCGTATTTTCAGGACTTGATAAATCTATGGGCTTGTCGGGATGGAAATGGTGAGTGAATTTATTGATCATCCGCCTGGGCAGCCACTGCCTGCGAAGCGACTTGCATACTCATGTGAAATTTTGAATAGGCTATTCATCATTCAGGGTGCCCTGTCTATCGTCACAGCCGTCCTCGCTTTCTTCATGCTGCCCGATCACCCTCTCAAGACCCGCTGGTTAAATGAGGAGGAGAAACAGTACGCCCACAACCGAATCTGCGTCGATACCACCGACCTTCGTGAGGGAACGAGCGTCTGGGTTGGTCTTAAGGAGGCCTGCAGTGACTGGCGCATGTGGGTTCTTTGCCTCATGTACAACTTCCACTTGTCTTCCATCAGCTTCCAGAACTTCTTGCCCACCGTTATGGAAACTCTCGGCTATAGCAGAATCATCAGTCTGGTCCTCACGTTCCCCCCCTATCTCTTCGCTGCGATTATGGCTGTCGCTATGGCACATAGCTCGGGGCACTTCAACGAACGAACATGGCATATCACCACTTGCAAATGCATCGTCATCGTTGGTTTTGTACTCGCTGTCGCAACACTAAACATACCCGCTCGCTTGGTTGGCATCTTTTTATTCGTCGGCTTCACTTTCGGAATCAACAACATTATTCTTGGATGGGTGTCCTCCACACTTGGCCAGACCAACGAGAAGAAGTCTGTTGCGCTCGCCATCGCCAACTCCCTGGGAAACATGTCCTCAATCTACATGCCATACATCTGGCCCAAGTCTGACGGCCCGCGCTATCTTCCGGCATGGATGGCAAGCATTGCCTTTTCTGCCGGCTGTATGACTCTTGCATGGGTGCTCAAGATTGCTCTCCGCAGACAGAATAAGAAGATGAGGGCTGTCAACCCCAACGAGACGAACTTTTATGTCTACTGATTTAGCCGGCACGGTATTGGTTAGATAGATGTGTGGAACGGTATCATCTGCTTCATATCATGACGCGACATGACGGAAAGCTGGAATAGGACGAATTTAATCTGCTCAACTCCATTCAAATACAAATTTTATACCCTCATTCTTGTTCCTTGTAACTCAAAAGTGCAGGGCGATGCGCCCTTGTTTATAATAAAGCGGGCCGGCTGCTTTTCAACTCAGATCAAGCAGTCGATATGAAGGCCTCTACGGAGTACCAGACGGGTGTTTGTGTACTGGCGATTGCTTCGTAATTTGAATCAAGCTGAAGTTATGGTTCACCCAGGGGAAGTTGTCAGTGCTTGCCGTTAGCTAGACGGCAAACCTCTCAGGACAATTGTTACTGAGATCTATCTCCATCAACCGACAATGTCGCGAGGTTCTCTGCGCACTTGGCTGAGTGACATCTTATGATCTTGCATTTCGCTGCGCAATTACCCACATCCGCCAGGTTGGTGAGCCTATCCATATGATGGTGCGGCGCTATAAAGCTATCGATCATGGGCTGTCAATTGGGAGGCCAAAGACAGGGGAGGAAGTTGAAGATGTTCGTAGTAGCCAATATTTGGGGCCTATATCTCAACCTAAGAACAGAGACATCTGTCGAGGTCAGCCGCCTTATATATGTTCTGAAATAGAGTCACCAGATCTTATTTCCTAGTTGGGATCTCGTTCTTTGACGTAGTGCAAAGCACCATTGCGATGACTCTGATTTGGAAAGGTGCCTAGGGTCCAGGGATATGGCCTGTTCAGCGGTGTTTCTCTTCGTTGCGAGAGTAAAAGTAGGTGGAATAATACCTTGGCCATCTTCCGAATCAGACAATGGCCGCGTTTCCTGGATTGAACCTGGGCTTGTAGATGACTGTCCATAAAACAACCCGTGGTGGTCAGACTGGCAAATACGAGAAGAGAAAGAAACACGCTGAGATGCCCGTGGGCAATATCTTCTGACCAGTGCTATAAACCAGAAGTCTTCTGTTCGAGACAACTGACAGACTTGCCCATACTGGAAAGCTCCGGGAGCAACCTGAGCCAGGGTGGCACAGACCTAATCATCTCCTGAAGGGACGCCAACAGCCATGCAACCTTACAACTGCTGCTGCCTAGTAGATCGACACGGCTGAAGGGGCGGAGGATTTACAAGTGGGGAATGCTCCCACCAGTTGCTTGGCACAAACACCACCAATTTCGCCCTCGACACAAATCTCTCAGCACAGCACCGGGACGCGTCGACTCACCTCCCACGGCTGTCGCGCGACCGGAAGCATGTCGGCTACTCCGTTTGGCTCCATGACGCCCGATGAGCGGGAAGAGTTCCTCTCTCAGCCGGCGCTGGCAGCTCCCGACGGCTTCACGTCTCATCTCGCCAACCCGGAGTCGCGGAATGATCTGGGCTTGTCGGTGACTATCACATGCACGGTGATAGCATGGGTCCTTTTCCTCCTTCGTCTATACGCATTTCTTGTGTATCGCAAAGAGACACGGATCCAAGAAGGTATATCACGTTTCCTAAACCCGACTATGGCAATTGCTCAACACTGACATGGAATGTATTGATAGGCTTGGCTCTAGTTGCTGCGGTTTGTCTCTCTATACTCACATGAATCGAGGCATTTCCATCTTCTGCCTTGAGAGCACGATATTAACACATTGGAAACTCATAGGCCACCTTCACGGTTCTACTCTATCCAGGTTACCACTTGGTAAAGATTGGTGCATTCTATGTACATCAATGGGACATGGACCGCCATAAATTTTCACAAGTACTGCTAGTGAGCTATTCCTTTCTTTTGATGAGCCATGGCGCAATGCCCAGTTCCATGACATGACCACAACGTGGTATCTCACGATGCTATTCGCCAAGTCAGCCATTATGCTCGAGTGGCTTCGCGTCTTCTGGCCAGGACACTCGCGCAATTACGTCTACTGGATCTGCAATATCACCCTGGGTGTGCTGGTCGCTTACTTCAGCGCCGGGTTCATCTTCTTCCAGGCACGCTGCCAGCCGTTTGATAAAGCGTGGAACCCTTGGCTGGAGGGTACCTGCGCTAACAGGTCCTACATCGATAAGGCTTCCGTCTTTTTTTATATCGCCCTGGATTTGGTCATTTTCGTCCTTCCACAGACAATGGTTTGGAGGCTTCACGCATCCCTGAAAAGAAGGATTGGCAAGTCCATCATATTCTCCTTCGCGCTCCTGTAAGTTGCAACTACCGCGCCTCCTACTTTCGCCTCCTCTCCTCAATTCATCTGTTGGCTTATCTCCGCCACGGCCTTTGTCGTAGAAGCTGCTGACATATAATGATTTGCAGTGGAATTGGTTGCGGGTCTGGCCGTGCCCAGAACGTCCACACCTTCAAATATTCACAGGACGTGGCTTACAGTCTCTCGTCAGGATACCTCTGGGCCTTGGGGGAGTGCACGATAGTTGTGCTTGTGTACTGCGCCCTCCCAATCTCTCGAATATATACGGAACCAAAGGTCCCTCCTCTCCTAGTCCCGCTAAATAGGTGGTACGAGAGAAAGTTTGGCGGCGGCCAACTGCCTGCAAATGAAGCGGTATCGAAAAATACCATGGGAAAATACTGGGCTCCTTCAAAACCTTCAAGCCTGTCTCCTGCCCCGAACAACAATATGTATGAAAGAATGGATGATAGTACTCACAGTGAAGTACATCTAACGGACCTTCCTCCAGCGAGGTAGACAATGAAAAGATCAGAGGATCCATATCCAAGAAGTTTACATATAGATACCACAGGCTTGCTTTATGTATGTCATGAATGTACTCAGACTTAGAGACCCTTACACCCCTAGAGATTCTCTTTCCCCGGCCCTATTCTGAAGACTTGGGGTAGACCTTGCAAGTCATCCCAAGTATAATTTGAAGGATAGACCTCAATTAGTAGCTCATCCTCACCTGATACAACACTCGTGAGAGCTGCCAGCCACAAGCTCTGCGCCACCTGTAACGAGGTGCTCCCCCAAAATACCGCACTACTACGGATGAATGAAGTCAATGGCGCCAATGTGTTTTGACTTCTCGAGACTGGATGTCCAATCCAACACACTTGTCAATCTGATCCTTTTCGGACGCCGAATATCATTCTCATTGGTGGCAGTACGAGGGGTGGGTTCCCCAATCCTGCGGCAAATACATAGGAGCTGCACGGTAGAAAAGTCTCATTTGCCTGTTCCTAAGAGCTAAACAAAGCCAATGCTGCGTGAAGCACTGCCCAAGAAGAGATATCAACGAATTTGATACTAATGATAAAAAATTGTGGTTGAGGCCCCCAAACAGATGGTCGATATTGCAACGTGGTTTCGGTTGTTCTTCCCAGCCACACTCTGCTGCCTGAAGAGATGCCAAGACCGAATATCCACCCCAGATGCCACGTTGTCCAAGAAGCTCTCCATCTCGGACTAATGACAGGGGAGCACTAGGCGCGCATATTGCATCCACGCCGCACATCTGGCCTCATCAGCATAACCTTGTAAGCGATGAGCGTAGCCTTGCTATCTATAAATGTCGTGCTGGCTGCTTCAACATAATTCAGCACTTCGCCATCCACATACAGACATTGATTAACGACACCGCATATCCAATTCCAAAATGCAGCTCCCTTCCATTCTAAACCCACTCTTGGCGATTGTTGGGCTGCGCCAGGTCGACTATGGGGCGGAGGAAACGGTCACTGTATCGAGCGTCAGACTTCACAAGCTCGGGTCGCCGGTCGATGTCAAGATTCCAAGCCTTTCTTTCAAGCTGAGCGGCAATGACGCAGACGGCCTCGAATGCTCGGCAGCCGACGTGTCCTGGCCCGAGCCAGGGTTCAATCGTTGCGGCAATAGCAAGTACTCGTTTGCCCTCTTGTCTGGCACTTCGATTGGGAATGGCGATCACGAGTTTTATCTCATGATCTACCACGACGTCGGTGACAGGTATGTAACTCACCCATCTCCAGGAAATCAAGTCTTTAATATTTGGCTACAGAAAGGCGGATTTGCGCGGCGGTACCGGATTGGATTTCGACTGTCGCAGCCAAGGCGACGGACCAGCTGATGAGATTTGCAAGCAAGATGCCCCCGTCACGTTCAAGATTGATGGCCCTGTGGCCAACTACAGCTGGCGCGGCGAACTCAAATAGGCTCTCGTGATGATGCATGCGACAGCACCTGGGGTTCTTCTTATGTCGGCCCACTATGTCATTCACCTGAGAGAGGGCAAATATAGGACTTTCTTTCATGTGGCTAGCTGAAATATTGAAAAGACCCGAAAAGGCATCCAAGATATCACCTCAAGAGAATTGATTCATGTCACGTTTTGCGAGCTGAAATGAATTGGCTCTCGCCTGACTTACCCACATCGATCTCATCATAGCTTCCTGGAGTGTCCCGGCAAGGCTCTGAGCAATAATCTTTTTTCTTCCCACAGCTCACTTTTCTCCTGCACAGTTGCAAGGGAGAAAATGGCGTCTGCCATTGCATGTAGCATCACACAATGGATATATCAAGGTAGTTAAGCTACTCATCGAGAAGGATGCGAGTGTCGCCCGCATCGGCTGTGGGCCGATCCCTGTGTACGGGCTATATTTCATAAGAGTCACGCCGAGGACTTGGCTCTCGTAACCCCTCATAGATGGGATACTGATATTTCTTTCAAACTTACGTTGCGCCGAACTCTAACGCATTCTCTCATTGATTAATTCCACTTGCACAGCGTCCTAAATCCGGTGCTTTCTTGAACAATAGAATGTCCTTTTTCGAACTCGTCTCAATCCCAAGGCCGCGAGCAAATATCCCAAAGCTGGATTTCGCCCATTTGTCTTTTATCATTGCCGGGATGAACGATGCGGCCGTTGGCGTTAGTTCCTTGAACGCCCCCATTCAAATCTCAAGAATTGAATACTGACGCGAGAGATAGGCTCTCATCCCACATGTGAGACTAGAACAAACACGTTGTTCTGGGCGGTGGCGGAAGAGACTCAAATGAATAGCTTGAGAAATATTACGACTTGACTTACACATCAGTCTCGATGATCTTCCTAATACCCTTCGTTGGCTAGGTATTTGATAGCCGCATTCATCAACGCGCGAATTCACCTGTTCTGGGGTCAGCGCGGTTTTAGCTTGATGGCACCAATCTGCCATACCGTCGCCTTCGTGGCTATGGCAGTTCATCCGCCATTCTATACACTTCTCGCGCTCTTTGCCTTGAACGGTTTTGGCAATTGTCTTACTGACGCCGCCTATTGCGCTTGGGCTGACGCAATGGCTAATTCGAGTCAAATCCTTGGCTTTATGCATTCTTGCTACTCCCTAGGGGTATTACGCGCGCCCCTGGTAGCCACTTCCATGGTTGTATGCCGTGGTCTGCATTGGTATGCATTCTACTGTATCATGGTTGGTCTCTCGGGTCTATAATGGCTCGGCCTATCCATCTCTTTTTGGCGGAAAACGGGGAAAGTGTACCAGGCCGAGTATCCCAGAACAGAAGCGGCAATGGGGCAGGAATCAAAGGCGCCCTCAAGAACGAAATGACTTGGCTTTGTGCCTGCTTTATATTCTTATTCATACGCATCGAAGGTTTGTTACGAGCCCGACGAATAACATTTAGCTTCGAGAGAGACATGCTAGCGGATTCGCAGCTGGTGCTTCAAGTTCTGGCTTCTGGGGCGGCATGGCAGCAGGACACGCAGGGTTGGGTTTCGTACCAGAGCGCATCGCCATCCATATTGCCTGCTGCGTCGCACTGCAGCTCTTGCTCTGGCTGGTGCCACAGTTCGTCGTTTCGGCAGTGGCTATCTCGTTTCTTGGCTTCTTCATTGGGCCTCCCTATCCTGCTGTTATCACAGTCACCGCAAAGCTGCTGCCGAAGAACCTCCATGTCAGTGCTATTGGATTTGCCCTCGCTCTTTGGGGGGGCTGGAGGTACGGTGTTTCCCTTCTCCATCGGGGCCATTGCCAAGTCAGCTGGCGTTTGGGTTCTGCAGCCCATCGTACTAGGTCTGTTTGTGAGCCAAGCTATCAATTGGCTTCTATTACCGAAGATCTGGAAGAAGGATTAGGCCGACTGTCTATGCCTTTTATACTGACCTGCCAAACCTGAAAATGCCATCTCACCTCATGCACCCTATTGCACAGGCGTGTCCCCGCTTGGCAAATCGATATGTTCTCCTGAAATACCAAGCATTCGCTACCTCTTCATGAGGCGTACCAGGCCAACCCCAATTATGTAAAGTCACATGGGCTTGTTCTTCGATCTCTGGCTTCCCAGGGCAGCGAAGCTGAAAGTGTTGCGTCAAGGCGCCATCTGACTCTGGCTGCTGGGAAATTGGAGGCAGCCCGAGTTACTCACCTCGCTGGCGATGCCCTTGCTGGCTTCCTTGCTCATCTTGTTGCTGAATTCGTCATCGAAGCCGTTGCTGACTTCCTTGACCTCGATAGGGTTTGGCGTGCGCGGATTGGCTCGAGATGTAACAACGTCTAAGGTAGGCCATTACTGAAATTATCAATCCTTCTATCTTAAACTTCTAATCGAATATAGTAATACTCCCACTAGTAGTCCTCTTCCTCACGCTCTTCTTCCTTAAGACCTTATTGCTTAAGAATATACCTAAGGGTTTATATATTATTAAGTTTTAAGCATGGACTACTTAACTTTAATAGGTGTAGATTCTTTAGTAGATATCCCTTAATAAAGCCGAGCGGGAATTAAAGGAACAAATAATTAATTTAGGCAATTAGATTAAGGCTATAGAGGCTGAGAAAAGTGTTAGTAAAGGGAAGTTAGATGAAGATAAATATAAGAGAACAACCTAGCGAATAAATTTCAGATCAAGTTTTGCATAGGGTTTTCATAACAATAGGAAATTCGCGTTTATGTACGAAGGTACATCAGCGACTGTCAAATACCGCCTTGAGGTACCAACGGGTGAACAACGTTCATTCAAAACAACTGTTATTCACCTTAGCAACAGCTGCATTAATGCATACCTTACGTACATGTAGATTTTTCGAAGGACAGGTCGTAAGAGAAATTATATAAACAAAATATACGAAACAAGAGCTAAAAAAAATTCCCCGCATCTTCGCCTCTCTCTCTTAAATCACTGTTGGCCATCGTGCTTTCCAGGTTGATCATAGCGTCCTCCAAATTTGAGATCACTTTGTGATATATATATACTCCAATTTGGGTGCCAATCACCACAAGTTCGCACAATCTTCCCGGCTAGCTCAATTGGCTAGAGCGTTGGACTTTTATGGTTTTCCGTATGATTATCCGAAGGTTGGGGGTTCGACCCCCCCGTCGGGAGATAATCCGCAACTTCTAAGTTTTTTGCCGGTTTTTGCTAATTCTATCTCATCTTATTTTTACTTCCGTCCATGTAATTATTTTACTCGATTGGTATGACACGTCCATCCGCTAATGCAAGCTGCTGAAGGACGTTGCAATACACCAATTCAATCCCGGGCTAGCTCAATTGGTCAGAGCGTCGGACTTTTAATCCGAAGTTTGAGGGTTCCCCCTTCGTCGGGAGCTTCTTGCTTTTTAAAAAATAATATACATGCCGATACATGCATATATTCTTGTTGATTTATTATTGTCTCATCTCGGGCTTTGAGCTTGGTGATCTGGCATTGTCCTTAGGCAATGGGGGACCACGGTGTCTATTTGATACGAAGAGCACAAAGAAAGAGAATGACCCAGGGTAAAGACAAAAGCTGGACAGTCGTGACTGCATCCGCTCGATCCTTCAGCACATCAACACATAAAGCATCCTCAATTAATCATCAAGATGCAACGGATAGCATTTCGAGCACCTCATCTTGCTCGAGCAATCGAAGTGACAATGAATTGTGCATTCCCCAAGTATGCAAAGCGAACGGACGATGACCAGAAAGCGAACGGACTCATACGGTCTCTCCCAATTTGTCTTTGCAACATGAAATGGGAACTGGGCAAGGGTTGACATATGTCTTTGATCAGACGATTACAGCCATAGATCAGGATGCGGATGGCGCGGATGTCACTTTTACTGGCGAGAAGAACGAACGGAACGGCCTCTTCGCCGCCGCTGAGCTGCCGAACGAGATGCCGGGCGTTTGGCCCACGACTTAGCGACGCAGTATTCGAGTCCTCGGGAAGTTCATGGCGCATACTTCAGTATTCCGCTCACAGAGAGTGATGGGGAATTTGCAAGGTGGAATCTTCTCCCAGGGAGGCGGGGGGGCGATTACCAGACCGCTTGCTGGCGATCTGGCTCGGAAGAAGAATGATGTTGGCAAAACCTTGAAGTCGTACATTGACAGGATGCCACCATTTTTCAATGAATTCCAGCAGATTTCTCGCGCATTCCTCGATTTTACCCTTTAATCTTCTTCACTAGGAACTGGAATGTTGCACACGTGTGTTTCGGGTGTGATAGTCCTTGACAGAGCGTGGCCATCGCTAGCTGAGAGCGTCTTGGGAGCGCCTAGACTATCTTTCCCGAATCGAAACTCTAGTTGTAAAATAGGTATCTCAAATCCTCTTTAAGCTTAGGACTGTTTGTCTTGGTATAAGTCTCTTTTCAATATAACATAACATGGAAAGAAGTAAGGTATAGGTTAGGGAAAAGTGGTGGTCGGCACATGCTTGAATAACAACCACTCCCCATTATTATTCCGAGCCCCAATTGGCCATTGAGCAGTCTTTAGTCATCAAGCGCTGGTCGGTGATTACTCAGCGCGGTGACTTTTTAGTCTCCGCGCGGCGCCCGAGAAACTCCGAAGTATTTGAGTGTTTTGGCACGTCACATGACGGCGTGAGAACCTTGATGGCCAAAACACCGCAGCCCGGCAGTCACTCTAATTGCCTGCCCAAGCCAAGCCGAAAGCCTATCGCTGAAACCTGACTCTCCTGATTTTCCAGACCAGATGGAGGTCCCCCGAGACTCGGCCGATAAATCCCGACGTCGTGCCTGTGATCCATGTAGTGAGTCTTCACTCCCTCTGCCTCAACCCCGAGTCTCGCCCTGCGCATTGTTTCCGTCCCACCCTGCGATAACAACCGGCAGTCATTCAATTGTTTTTCTTGCTAATAATTGATGGCGCCACCTCATCATCAGGAAAACGTAAAGTGAAATGCTCTCGTAATGATCCGCTGTGTGGACGATGCACACAGCTTGGCCTGAGATGCGAGTACTCTCCCAACAAGCCCATGGGCCGGCCGAGGAGCACGCGCCCAGGCTTTCGCATTCTTCAAGAGAACGATGATGGCTTCAATCTCCCTGCTGCTGCTTCGGTTACAGAAATTGCCGTCTCTCCCCTAGCAGCAGACTTCATGGACATGGAGAGCTTTCCTGTATCAATACGAGATGATTTCAGCGGGTTCAATGCACCGCTTCCATTACCTGGGATCGATTTTGATCAGCACCAAGGCGGACCAGAGGCCGGCCCTTCGTCTTGCATCCCTTGTATGCTTCACCATGGCTTGAACATAGAAAGCGAGACAGGGCTGGCAAACGAACCAGCTACAACTCGGGCGGCGAAAAAGTGCAGTTGTGTTGAGCTGGTGAACCAGCACTTCTCTCTTCTGGAGGATTCAGCAGAGTCGTTCCAAACCATTAAAGCCCTCCAACAATCTACAAAGTCTGCAGAATCAATACTGGAATGCGACGTGTGTTTTGGACCCGTATGCCAGACCCTCGGCACATCGAGAAATATCAATCTACTTGGCTCTCTCATGTCCAGCATCATCTCCACGTACGGGGCATTTTTCCTGCACCAGAAACGACGTGCGGAGCAGTGCTCTCATGGCGGCGAGCCTCTCAAACTTCTCATCGGCCAGCCACCAGATCCAGCGAACACCGTCGAGCTTTCACTTGATGGACAGAGTTATAGCAACATGATCAGGGCCAGTATAGGAATAGAGCTCAAGAAGCTCCTGGAATTAATGCATGCGTTTGCAGAGAGGCAGACGCGCCTGCACAATAATGGGCACGAAGAATGCCAGAAGGAGGCTTCATGCCAGAACATGAGTGACCTCTTGGAGGGCAGACAATCAGAAGAGGAGGTGTGCCCCCAAAAAGTGGACATTACCAAGATGTTTGCCTGCTTCCGGACAGTCGATCAAGTCCGGGCAGTGATGGAGGAGACGCAGAAGATCCTCATGAGCTAGTCTTGGACCTTGGCGATAATCGAAAGAGTCACTCACTTATGACCTCCATTCTACGTAAAAAATATACCGGATTTTTCTCGAGGGCGGTCATTTCTCACTTGGCATACGATTAACGTCCATTTATTGAATTGATGATTCGGATTTTGGGAGGAAGGCTCTATTTCGAGACGAATATATGACTTCATGACTGACTCTATGGTGCCAATATACATCTCACTTGCCACGATCATATAGATATTCCGTTGAACCTGGGAATATCCTCAAAGTTTATCCTTGTCTGATGAATCCCCTGGCTCTGTCCCTTCCATCACTTGCTGACCCTGTGTTTGAGGTTCAAGAGGAACATGGACACTGCCGCCAAAATGACCGGAACAACACTCACCATCTCTCCCAGGCCAGCGTATCGGGGAGGGATACGGAACTTGACCCAGGCACCGCTTGCCATCGTGACGGCGAGGACGTTGTAAATAGCCGACCAAACAAAGTTGAAGTACATGCGGTGGAACGAAGCCTGGCTGACGTTGAGAAGGAAAGGGATGCCCTCAAGACCATTCAACAGAACCACGTCGGCTGCACCCTGGGTCACATCACTGCTTGTCAGACTGCCACCAATTTGAGCCCCAAGGTTGGCTTGTGCCACAGCGACAGCATCATTCGTTCCGTCTCCGCAGAACATGACATACCTTCCCTCATCTGCCATAAGAGCAGCAACATAGTCACGCTTCTCTGGAGGCGTGTACTCGCCAACTGCATTCTCCCGGGGGATGCCAACTGAGGCGGCCACATCCTGAACAGCCCGCTTCTGGTCTCCGGAGACAAGATGGACAGTGATCTTACGGGCCTTGAGCTCGGCAATAACACGCCGAGCCTCGGGTCGAATCTGGACACTCAATCCAAAAGCAATAAGCGGGGCAGAATTGTAGGTGACGACGAGGACAGTAAGACCAGCATCCTGAAGACGTGCCACTTCTGCCACATCACTGGTGCTGGTCCATCGGGTATTCCCTGCCCGCAGACGATTTCCATTGTACTCTGCCTCAATTCCGGCGCCGGGAACGACCCTGACGTTGAATACACCAGCCATGGCCTCAGCAACCTGCCCATCAAGGTATTTGTCAACTGCCGCAGATACGGGGTGTTTTCCTCCAGACACCAGGGCTCGAGCGAGAGAAATATTGAAGGACTGGTCGCCACTCAACACGACCTCTTCCACAACGGCAAGATCTCCTTCCGTGATGGTACCGGTCTTGTCGAAGACTACATCGGTGACCTTCCGTGCTCGCTCAGTTGTTTCCGCAGACTTGATGATGACGCCTCCCTTTGCGGCGATACCGCCCGCAACAACTAAGACCATGGGTACGGCCAGACCGAGGGCGCAAGGACAAGCAACAGCGAGGGTGGCTACGGCATATGCCACTGCGTTACCGACGGCTTTACCGCTGCTGTATCCCAGGATTCCTAATCCACAACCAATCCAAATCACGAAGGCGAGGAGGGCGACGATAGCCATTGCAGGAACGAACCAGCCAGCGACCTTGTCGGCCAGGTCTTGCAGCTTGGGCTTGGAGTTGGCGGCGTCTTCGACCAGCTGGGCAATGTCTGTGACTGTGTTCTTCCCTGGAAGGCGAGTAAGCTGGACAACAACAGATCCATCGCCGTTCATTGTACCTGCGATTATTGAATCGTTGACCTTCTTGGGGACTGGCAGCGGCTCTCCCGTCAGCATGGATTCATCCACCTCGGTCGTTCCTGAGACAACCACACCATCCGTAGGTACCCTGGTATGTGGCAGGACCCTGAACCGGTCGCCATAATGAAGTAGCCGGGCATCGATCTCCCGATCACTGCCCTCTTCAACAAGCACAGCAACATTCTGCTGCTTGGATCGCAGCGACACGGCAGTGACGGCTTGAACTCGCGCAAAGGCGGCAATGAGGCGGCCGAGAAGAATCAGTGTGATGAGCATTGTGCTGGTTTCGAAGAACTGGCCCTCGTCGAGCGGCTTGCCCGCCATCCCGAACCCAAACGCAATAACGGAGTAGACGTACGCAGCGGTGATGCTCATGACGACCAACATATCCATTTCAACCGCTCGGCTATACCAAAGCGCAGAGAGGGCTGGACGATAAAACTCGGGAATGGCAATACACTGGACGACAGTGCCGAGCGTCAAACCAATGATGGCCTCGGCCCTCTCAGAGACCAGATTCTCGCTCCAGGCAACGATAGCGACGGGGATGGTGAAGAGGGCAGCCAAAGCAGCCTTGATGAGCTGGTCCCAGAGTCTGCGTCGACTGTTTACGAGCTGGGGATCGTTTTGCTGCTGAGCCAGTCCACGGCATCGATTCTCGATTTGTGCGAATAGATCGCGAGCCCCGACGATGGCCGGGTCGTAGGCCAGACGGACTGTTGACTTGTCGAGCGACTGCACGTCGAGGACTCCTGGTAGTGACTCGGCCGCCATCTTCTTCGCCTCGGCCGGGGGAGCCAAGATATCCAAGAAATAGTTGCCGCCAATCACCTTGCTCAGGTTGAAGCCGCTGACGCTGCTGGCAAAAGCAATAACTTCGTCAGCGCTGGTGACGGACGTGTTAACGGTGAACTCGCCGCTGCCGACGACGAAGTTCACGCGGGCTTGGGAGACACCAGCCATGGTGTTGAATATCCGCATGAGTTTATCGGCACAGCTGGTGCAGTCCATTCCGCTGACCAGAAAGCTGACAGGCTCGGTATTTCCGGCCTCCTCAACGTCAACCTCCTTGACACCGGTGCCTGAGGGCTTGTAAGTAGGTACATCGATGGCCTTCTTCGGCTTGCCGCGGTGTTGGTTCTTCTTCGGCTTGGGCTTGTTGCAGCAGGTCTGGAACGAAGTCGCGCCATTACCGACGGCACTGCGGCAGATGCAGCGAAGCTGTTCGAGGTAGCTGCTGTACTGGTCGAAGGCGGCCTGGAGATGAACGCTGCAGGCTGTGTCGGAGTCGTGGCCGCTCGCGCCATGCTGGTGAGGGTGACCTGATGATGCTACGTTCAGAGGCTTAGCGACATAATTGCCAAACCAGGAAGAAGGGGCGTCAGAGAACGGAGTATTGGGCTCACCATCGTGGCCAGGGTCTTCTTCACAGGCCTTGACGCATTCAAGCGCTGCGACTGCCTCAACACACTTCTCTACATATTCATTCTGGAGTCAATCACCTATCAATGCTACCGAGGCTTGAAGATGGGATGACTCACCGTCGCAGCGCTCTTGGTCGCCGCAGCAGGTTGATGACGAAGAAATGCTTGCTGAGTCTGAACAGCAGTCACCGCCTTCTCCATGATGGTGGCTATCATGGTTATGACTCTCGTGGTCGTGGTCGTGATCGTGATCGCGATGGCCGTGATCTCCATGATTGCGGTCTGGAGCAGCAGATGGCTGCGAGTTACAACAAGATGCACCCATGATGAATGTCTGAGGAGTATTTTCAAGCAGCAAGTCAGCAAGAATGTAGAGAGGAGGCCACTGGTAATCGTTCCGGGTGGATTTGCAGATACTGTGTCAAACAAAACCCATCAAGAATAAGAGAACGTTCTATATCTATATATAATAGACCATTGCAGAAGATTACGCCCGGAGTTTCTATATTGTTCCACGATACAACCCATTTCCCAGGGGAAGCGGCCCGGTGCACTGGTGTTAAAAGTCTCCGCCCGCCCCGGCCAAAGTCTCCGCTCTCCGCATCTCAGTAACACGGAGCCGTGCACGGCCAACAGAAATGCGATGATCAAGCAAGTGGCCGGTCCATTACTAGCCCATTCACGTCTTGCATCATAGCCTCACTTGTCTGATCAAGTGTCATGATTGACCCCGGTCCTCAATTCGTTGTGGTACACTACAAGGGAGATCCTTGGAACTCAGATGTCATGGTTTGCCACCGGTCCGTTGCTGACCAGTGTCGGAATGGAAATGGGCCAATGTATAGAGACACCAATCAACGAAGAAAGCGGACTGCGTTCATGTAAGCGCTTTTGCGTGGGGGCGAAGGGCCGCTTCCGCGCCCTGACTGTCAAGGGACCTATCATGACTAGGAGGTAGAATTAGGGGCTATGGGGTTTAAGGTCCTCGCTCATATGCAGCGCTTTGTAATAGCTTGCAGGATAATAATCTATCCTGCCCTTGTTTATGCTATAGAGGCGACGCAATTATTTCAGCCAAATCTTCTAAGAACCAGGCGGAGGATGAGGCGGGAATGTTTATTGACTTTATCGTATGGGCATCGACAGCCCTCGGAGATGTGAACATCATTCTTCAAGCTGTCATGTCCCTCCAAAACCTACGATTCATGAAGATTAACTACACTTCCGTCATTTGTTCTTGCTTTGGCTAGGAATTCACAGTTAACGCGTCACCGACAACGCAGTATCTTTATAGGCAATATTACAACAACCGAGATTACAGGAACTGCCCTAGGAACCCACTCATTGGTTTTGGAAAAGGGTGGTATCTGTTCCAGGAAGCCCATACTGCGCTTTCCCGCCGAGGTAATTGATCAAATGCTCTTCAGTTTGGAGGAGATTCCGTTTAAAGCTCCCACGACCGACGTGCTCTGGGCAGAACATTGGCGGCCACTGATGAAGTCTCTTTTGATTTCATCCGCTTATTTGCAGGAGTCTTCAAAGAGTTGACACAATGCTTATCATCACCCAAAAAGCTCATGTTAAAATTGCCTTTTGTAATATTATGAGGGTGACAAGATTGTAGCATGTTAGTCACTCGACAAGAGGATTCTATATATACTTTGGGGGCTGCATCGGCCTAGGGTAGGGATGTTCATAAACAGCCGAGTTGATCTAGGCGCTTATTGTTCTATAATTAACTACCTATCAGGTTTCTAGGTAATCAATAGTTTAGAGGTTCAGCTCGGTGGAGGTGGTGGCCCGCCTCTTGCCAATAGTTTTAACTTATGTAAGCCATAAACACCTCTCGCCTCTCAAGGCGTTTTGGTCGTCTGATCCCAGTCTTACCCCTCCAAAAATCCCATCTCAATGTCCAGCTGGCGAAGGCGAACGGGGACGTGTATTCGCCGCCCACCAACCCTTGCTGTGTCCGATTGATTGCTCAAGCATTGCGTACCTGATGAGTTAGCTCTTGGCGAAATGGCCGTTTCGGGGGTTGCCTTGGACGATCTCCCGGAGCTTGTGCGAGACACGCAGCTGTCGGTTCGCTTCAAATCCGAAGGCTCGCGACATTACACTATCCATGTCCCGCCGGGTCGTCGTAGCCCGAAGCCGGAAACATGGGTCTCCAAAGAGAGGCTGGGCAGGGGAGGCCAGGGAGCTGTCGTCTTGCAGGAGAAGGTGGCCGATGGACAAGGCCAGTTTCAGCTCCGGGCCGTCAAGACCATCACAATGCCGGCAGTTAGCAGCCAAACCGATCGGGCTCTCTATAAGCGAGAACTTGAGGCTATGGCAAAGTTCTCTCAAACCAAGGTTTGGCAAGACCCTTTCCCGCATTATTCCTGAGCGGCATGCACACATCCTAGATCTTGGTGCATATTTTGGTGAACATAAGCTGAGTTTTCCTACATAGTATTCGGACCTCTTTGTCAAGTTTCATGGGTGGTTCACCAGCCCGGGATTAATACATATCGCCATGGAATACTGTGAACTGGGCGACTTGGATAGGTATCTTCTCAACAATTCGAACACTAGGCTGCCTGAATCAGAAGCGCAGGATATTACCTATCAGATTTTAAATGCTCTCACCAGCATGCACGAGGAGACATTCTGCCACGGGGACCTCAAACTTGCAGTAAAGTTATACTACCATGAATCGACCAATGAGCCACTTGCTGATCAAACTTTGTATCTTAGAACATCCTGATCATAACTGCCACTCCTTCGTGGTGGGTGAAGTTAGCCGATTTCGGCCTGAGCAAGCGGAATGGAGTAAGTGCTAATAATACGACGACTGCGAAAGGCACTCCGAATTATATGCCTCCGGAACTACTTGGATACAAAGGGAACCCGAGAGAAGCAGACCCATATCCGGTAGATATGTGGTGCCTTGGGCAAGTAGGGTTTAGACTTGCCACGGGCCGTGCCATGTTCGCCTCGCCGGCGGATCTCTCCCGCTATTTTTACGGCCAAACAACATTCCGGTCGCACCTCCCTGGAGAATATCAACTCGATGAAACATTTGTTGGCTATCTGGAGTCACTATTGGCTCAAGAACCCCGTACGAGACCCTCATCCAAGGACTCTTCAGACCACCCGTGGGTGCTTAGCATTCGAAGGGAGCATCCGGACATCCAAGACGCTCAAGATGAGGCGTCAGGCCATGACTGGTTTTCAGACGTCTTATTCTCAGATGTCTCCGGCGACGACACTCAACAGACCACCATATCGCTGCAAGGGGCTCATACTCCACGTCCTTTGAGTGCCAATGCTACAGCCATGTCGGGCAATGAGGATGAGGCCTCTGCAGCATGGCCCACCGATACGACGGATCTCACCATTCGCAAGAGCCAGACAGAGACCATAACGCATCCTCCAGGACCTACCACTGCCCACGCTACGGTCATATCATTAAAACAAGACGAAGCCTCTGCTGTGTGGCCAACTAACACAACGACTCTTGTCGTCCCACAGATTCAAACACAAATAACGACGACCAATTCTGGTCGAATTTCGCCAACAGAAACATCAACAGCCGCTTCCAGTCTCTCATCAACAGCGACATCTGGACAGCCATTGCAAACTGCCTTCAGTGGTGAAGCCGAGAAGCACATTGCCACCGGGGATGAGTATCTCGTCGCTAAGAAGTTCGATGAGGCTGTAGGTGAATATACCAAAGGTAAGCTTCTATTTCTATGTTTACTTATTGAATCATTTGCCTCTATCCCTGTTTCTTTTTATGGCTGATGCCTCAACTATTGACATAGGTTTCGAACTTGAGCCGCTTTCAACATCGCATCTGGAGAAGCGGGCTCGTGCCTATTGGTGTCTCTCTAACTGGAACGGAGTACTTGACGACTGCCTTAAGATTCGCAAGCTGGACCGGGAGAACCAGTATTCCCTCACTTCTCTTTCCACAATCCTTATTTATGCCATGGGGAGCCCCGAATTTCCCTTGTACTTGCTTGACCGCACTAGCCCCCCGCCAGCAGAGCAAGAGATCCAAGATGCGCGGATGATGAAGGCCAATGTCGACTCCGCTCGGGAACTTCTTGATAAGGGCGGTGATGTGAAACCGGTGTTTGACAAATTAGACAAGGCGGAAAGCAAGCTATGGAGAAGTGTCGGCCCCCCTTACGAATGGCAAAGCCTACGAGCAAGAGCCCACCTTGCTATGAGCACGCAGGATGGCCTACGTCAGGCCAAAGCCATCACCGAAAAGCTGGTAACAAGGCGACCAAATAATGTTGAATTCCTCATTCTTCACGCCCGCGTCCAATACCTGTGCGGGGATTTTCACCTGGGGACTCGGCACTTGCGCAAAGCACGTGAAACCGGAGTCGCAGACGAGGCCGGCTTGGATGATATCAAGAAATGGCTGGCTATCGGAGAGAAGCTGGGTAGTCTCATCAGCCAGGCGAAGCGTCTATATGAGGTACGAAACGCCCATCATGCGGCCAAGTTGTACACCGAGGCACTGCAGGTCGATTTGAAGAACTGGGCCATCAACGCGGTGCTTCTACACAACCGGGCTCTTTGCTACGTTGAGATGGGTAAATATCGTGATGCACTGGGTGACTGCGAAATGGCCCTCCACGCCGATCCCGACCTAACCGGGGTTCATGCGACCAAGGCGAAGATCACTTCCTTTCAAAACGAGCGGCCGGATAACCGTCGACGAAATGTGAAAGCTGGACGGGAGTTGGCCCAGTATCGCCAGTCCAAAAGCAAGGCCATAAATAGTGAAGTTGGGACCGGGGAAGAAAGCCTGTTTGAGAACTTTCGCAGCCTGCAACTGAACGAGTATGTATTCCATCTTGTCTACAGTCGGCTGGACTAGACTGATAAAATCTTCATCTTAGAGCGAAGTACTACCCAAGTACCTTGTATAGCGATGCAATGCAATCCACGTTACCCGCGGCTCCCACGGCTTCTCATGGGGCTGTAACATCCGGCGATGGCTTCATCAATTTGAGGATTGAGTACGAGGGGAGAGACTATGTAACCAAGATGTTGGTGGCTTACTTGGATGCTCAGGCTTTGGATACTCACGTAAGTATATTTTGTCACAGCTAATCACTTTCATAAATGCCACCTCCCTCCCACCATCCAAATCTTCCTGGGGACCATATTCCGGTTGCCAACATCTGTTTAACTTTGAATTTATTTCGAAACAGGTCCGAACTCTTCTCCAAATCAGCCATCTCCAGCAACTCAAAGTGGAGCGGTACTCCGACTCAGCGTCCACGTATATCCCGTTAGATCCCGAAGATGGATACGCCTACAGCGCCTTCCATAGAGCGGCAACGGTAAAGAAATGGTTCCAGCTCCGGGTGTCGAACTATATCCGGCGTATTCAATGTGACAGGTGCTTCAGCAATATAACAGGAGGCCGACACAATCATTGCTATATATGTAATGAGGGGGACTTTGATATCTGTTTCCTATGCATTCAGGCCGGGGTTGGGTGTTTCGGTGATCATCAAATGACTGAGCGTATCCTACGGGATGGCCAGCTTATAGTCATTGCATCAGACTGAAATGTGCTCAATGTCTCTTGAGATATTTGTCAGAAGAGGAAAGCGAAGGCAAGGATATAAGTAGACTAGCTAAATATAAATAAGCCTTAGGAAGGTCAACCACAATATTTATCACCCCACTTGCACCTTTATTACACCTCCTTTATCCCACTTGCTGACCGTATACTGCAATGTTCTCTTGTTAGATGGGGCTGTTGGCAGGGTCCCTTCTACCGTATAATCTCAACTTGTTGGCTGTAATGGTCCCACTGTTGTGAGATGTGGGCACAACTCGGGGGGCCATTAGGCCGCGCTTTATGTATATTGATGGTAAAATGGTAATGATGAGGTGCGATTTCATTCGTCACAGGTAATAACAATATACTTACATTCTGCGGGCAGCATGAATATCACAAAACCCGTTTATAAGGAAAGGCTGAGGCCCCGGAGCGCCTGCACCGAAGTTTATTCTTTCCCAATGATATTTTAGCTTAGTTTGATACTGACTATGAGAAGAAAATGGAAATTTGAACAGGAGAAGATCGATGTATCGAACGCGGTATGGTCAGCACTTCGGCAGCTGTAAAGGCAGCCCCGGATTGCGAATGCTGACTTCTGGTATCGCTGGGGTTTTTCAGGACCCAAGTCTCATACCTATTGGCAAACAGTCTCTCTTGTGCGATGGCAGGATAAGTGTCTCTGTCGCTTCTTCCGCTAGCCAAGCTTGCTTCTCTGCCCTGCCGACTGAACCAGATTGATCTGCTATGACATATCCTTTGCCCGTGTCCTCCTGCCGGAATTCCTGCACTCCTGGTCGGCAATGGTTCGATCCACGAGCACCATGGGTTGGTTGCTGTCTCCGTCGACTAGTACTCGTATTCATCGCCCTGTGAGTCCTCAACAGATGGACTCGGCGATTGCTCATCGCTTTGCTCGCTCTCCAGTCCTGAATCGGGCAATGATTCCAATCGTCGCCGCTGGCTTTCATCTTGGTCGAGTAGGCTATCAACTCGGTCTAAAAGGCTTAGAAATAGTTCTAGACAACTTTCAATTCGGTCTAGTAGACTTCCAACTTCCTCCCGCTGACTCTGAATCTTCTTTTCGTAGTCGGCTAGATCTTTCTCATGTGCCGATTCGCGCTGGGCTGCAAGATTGAACCTGTGTGCCTCCAATGCTCTCAGCACCGGTCTTTGTTGTCTTTTTTCTACATCACCCATTCGGTCGTAAGCCGCCCACCACTCCTCTATCTGGATGTCAATAGCACTCATCTGATCGACAAATTCCTGCTGAGGTGACTTGGGGGCGTTTAAGGCCATCCTGTGGTGCTGAAATGCGTCCTCGAAGTCCAAAAAGATCTGTTTGGCTTGTGCCTGTTCTTCGCTGCATAAAGCTATATAGTGAAGTTGAAGGGCGGCGAGAAGTTGAGAGAATGCAAGATTCGCAAGTGTGGGAGAGAAGGAACCAAGCGATTTATAATCGGGGAAACCCTTCCAGTACTTAAGGAACCGTAACATGACATCTTGTTTGTAGGTAAGAAGAGTGCTGTTGACTCCAAGCGAATCGCCATTCTTGATCGGCCTGATCTATCAGACTTGGAGGTTAGTGGAGAGCAGTTCTCAGGGACTAGGGTGGCCATAGAAGAAAGGGGTGTTACCAACACATCCTATGGTCAATACAATAATAGATGGTCCTGAAAGTGGACGGGGATTGGCTCCAATGGGCCTCTGGGGTTGGTTCTATTCTTGGCATTCATTGGCCAAGACAGACCCTTGCTTTCAGGGTTCAATCATTTGACAAGCCCCTGCTCTCATGGGTTCACACACATTCTTTTCTCATTGGTCCAGGTTGACCCTTGCTCTCATGGGTTCGACAACTCTTGCTCTCATTGGACAGGCCCTTGCTCTCATGGGTTGAACGATTCTTTGAGCTCATTGGACTAGATAGACCCTTGCCTTGGTTCGACAACCCTTGCTCTCATGGGTGCTACAACCCCTGAGCTCATTGGACTAGGAAGGCCCTTACCCTCGTGGGTTCAATAACCCTTGCCCTCATGGGTTTAATAACTCTTGAGCTCATTGGACTAGACAGGCCCTTACCCTCGTGGGTTTAATAACTCTTGAGCTCATTGAACTAGACAGGCCCTTACCCTCGTGGGTTTAATAACCCTTGCTCTCATGGGTTCAACAACTCTTGAGCTCATTGGACTAGACAGGCCCCTTCTCCCATGGGTTCAACAACCCTTGCTTTCATGGGTTCACACACATTCTTTTCCTATTGGTCCAGGATGACCCTTGCTCTCATGGGTTCACAAACAGTCTTTCTCATTGGTCCAGACACAGTGATCTGACCACCTCTTTTCTGTCTCTCCACCTCAACCCTTGCTCGATGAATGTGTACGAGACTTATTGTATAGTCGGGTTTGCTCCTCCATGCTGAGATGCACTTGAAGGGCTTATTCCATTAGGTATGGATACATGGTCGCGTCCACAGCCGTAACTGTAATATGCGAATAGTACATCATCTTTTCCTGGACATTCTATCCCCTCATCGTTTGAATGTTGGTGCCCTGCTTGGTCAGCAGCATTTTCGTTGCTTGTCCGGCTCTGTCACACTTCACTGTGAAGCTTCATTTCTCTCCCAACGCATCCAGTGGAAAGATGGCCCTTTTGTATCCTGATGGTGTTGCTTATGAATGATCGAGCAGGAAACAGCGGATATAGTGGATTCAGCGAGCAGAGGTTGATCATCAAATGATTTATCATCTTGTGACGATGTATAGGGTAAGCTGGCAAGCATTTCCTTTGCCTAGTGACTTAATCGTCACAATCTTGTACTACCCCGTCATTCTTTTAATTATGGCTCCTTTCGCTTATCGTAGCCTCCCGAAGTGAAATGCGGGGCCAACTGAGAAAATCAGGCTAATTTGGCCGTACGTAATAATGGATGATAACAGGCAACCCCTCCCTCTGTCAAGCTCAACTCGGCCAACCTCAGTTTCCCATCTCGCTCTTTCTAAGCACAGTGCAAGACCGTTGGATCTTTGGTGGATAGACTTGTTGATCCACAGTATGTACCCTGAACAGTCTTCATTGCCTAATCCCACACTGCCGGAGACTTCCATCAGTCCATGCCGCTCTAGAAATGGCTGTCAGCAGTGTCGTCAGCGCAAGAGAAAATGCGACGAGCAGCATCCACGGTGCTTGGCCTGTGTCGAGAGAGACCTGCCCTGTAGCTGGCAGCGTAATCCGAGTCGACGGCGCCAGCTCGCTCGCCGCTCTCACAACTTCAACAAGGACTTCACGCTTCCCCAGGAGATGCAGCCTTTGGTAACAGTGTTTGCTGTACCATCCACTCCCATCCAGGAGCGACTCTTGTCGTACTTTAATACCAATGGTCCTCTGTGGCTGACCTCTGGGGGCAATGTCGAAGCCTCCTCAGGCGTCATTATCCCAGTTGCCCTTCAAAGTCCCTTGGTCATGAACTGCGTCTTAACGGTAGCGGCAGGCGACTTGGGCAAATACCAACCGGCAAATACTGAAATGACCAGCTTGGCGTGCGGCTTTTACGGCCAGGCCATAGCAGGCATCCATTCAGCGCTCAAGAAGGAACTCTCGCCTACATTGCAACCGGCCTCACCCTCACCAGGAAACTCAACCCTAGATTCCGGCAGCAATGATGATCATTCTTCCAGTAATCCGGGTCTATCTCCATCCGTCCAGTTAGGAGATGAACTGCTTCTAGCTGTTATTCTCCTCTGCGTACACGAAGTAAGTTGATCAATAGAGCAGTACACAGGATTCCCAGAACTGAAATGACTATACAGGCAGTGAATTTCTCTACCATCAGTCGCATTTTCCCCCACCTCGTCGCTGCTGTCACTCTATGTAACGGCCATTCCTTCGCCAGCGACACACCAAATACCGAACTAAGGGGCCTGTTCTTCGAAGTCCTTTGTTATTTATTCACACTGACATCCTTCTCTCACGGCCATAGCCTTCCACTGCATCTAATAACCCCTCGAGTCTTTACTACACTGTTCTCCGCGCCCGACGGCTACAAAGGCGTTTTGCTTGGGAATCAATGCCGCGTGATATTCTCGCTTATTCTTCGAGTCTCCATGCTACAAAGACGTTTAGCCTCACCTTCCGATCTTGATGAGACGAGCGCTGCGGAGCTGAGAATCTTGAAATCTCAACTTGAGCGACGCGTCACTACCAATGTCCAAAATGAAGAAACAGCAGCTTGTAATGATATAGCAGTTTCGGAACTTTATCGAATTGCCTGCCTGATATATGTCGAGAAGATGCTTGACGCTGAAATTGAAGATGGCTCGGCAGCTATACAAAACACAATGGCGCTGTTTATATCAACTCTCGACTCTGTATCACCATCTTCACCAGCAAACAACATTCTTACCTGGCCCTTATTCGTGGCTGGCATGTCATCTGTGGTTCCCTCGCATCGCCGCCTAATCATAGGGAGATTGCGGAGAAACTATGAGTCTTGGTGGAGATCTGATATTCTGAGTAAGAGCGCGGATTTGTTATCGCAGAAATGGAAACAGGATGAGGGTATCGAGGATGGCGCAATATCGCGGCACACAGGAAATATTGCTACACAGTGGCCGGGAGTTGGGAAACATGTGGCTGACTTCCCACTGGCCTTGCTATAATCAATGATTATTAACGCCATATTATTTTGATGCAATTTATTTCACTGGGATATGGTAAATACGAATATGGCTTTTATACTCTAACATATTTGCCACGACAACGTGGAGCGCCTTTATATTTACCGGCGGAGGTATGTGAGCTCCTGGAAAATATGATTAACCTCGACCATCCCATCTTCACTACCTGCAAGGCTTGTGGCTGTTTAGCTCTTCATCAGTTCCACACTTCTGTGGCGGTAATGGACTGCGAGCTATGTGTGTGTAATCAACCGCCTAGATGTAGCCAAATGTATCTGTGTCTGCCGTTGTAGACTTTTAATGAGCCCCTGTATATTGCATCCTTGAAGGAGGTTATGCCTAATAGGCATGAAATAACATGATTCCTAACTCTCCTAGATGTAGGAGCAGTATAATGCTACACTGCCTTCTTAATATGTTTCCAACTTAGCCCTCGATTTCCTTCGCGGCCTTTGTGGCACTGACTGCAGCAGCCGCCGAGCCAAGCTCGTCGCCTTCAATGATCTGCATAATGTCCGTAACCGGAGGACCCTCAAAGCTCTTGCGGCCCCTCAAAGTATAATACACTACACTAATGACCGCAAACCCAACAAACACAACGCTCGTGTAGTTCATGCTGCTTGCCGTAACTGGAAGCTGGGCGGGGAAAGAGAAGAGAGCGAATGCCACGACAACCCAGCAGACTGACACGAGGTTGAGAAGATAACCGAATTTCCCGAGAGAGAAGGTGGAATGCTGCACCAGGCGCCGCCCACGAAGGAGAGAGATGAGGACGGGAGAGACAAAGGATGCGGATAGACAAATACACGTTGCTCCAGTAAAGGCGTTGAAAGCCGCCGCTGACCCGAAGTAAATACAGCCCATGGAAGCAATGACGAGTGAGCTGAGGCCCAGAGCGTACGCAGGGACCTGAAGGCCTTGGTGTATCTTTCTCCAATGCAAAGATCCAGGGATGGCCCCGTCACGGGCAAAGGCGTAAGTGCAGCGAGAGGAGGCGGTAAGGGCGGCGATCCCCGCAAAGACCATGGTGCCAATAACTCCAATTAAGAGACCTAGCCCAGCAGCAGGCGAGCCGGTTGCTCTGGCGAAGAGGAATCCAATTGGCATGCCGTTCGTTTCGTTGAGAAGGTAGTCGATGTCGGGGAGAACAAAGAGAATGGGGATGAGAAAGGCGATTCCGGTGATGCCAGCGGCTACTACGGACAGTACAATGGCCTTCGGGACTTCCTTTTGCGGGTTCTGCACCTCCTCACACATGGCGGCGATCATTCCATAGCCTGTCAGGGTGTATGTTGCCTGCAAAAGCCCAATGCCGAATGACCATCCGCTAGGCCTATGGTGGAGTATTAGGAAAGGGCTGTTCGTATATCTCCAGGAGGGAAGTAAAATACTTACATTCCACTTCTTGACGTGTCAAAATTGGTAAAGACAAACTCGGCGGACCGTTTCTCTTTGGACATGACTAGCAAAGTGATCATGATGACCACACAAGAGATTACCGTCCAGTAGACGCAAAGCTTGTTGACCAGGTCGAGGTACTTGACACCATAGAGGTTGACAAGCAGACAAAGCAATAAAACTCCCCAAAATGTCAGAACAGTTTGCCAGGGCGTGGGGATGAACCCGGCGTCGAACAGAGAGACTCCAGAGAGAATGAGCTGGGCTCCTCCAAAAGTGATGGCGCACGTCGACATCCAGTTTCCTACAAGCAGTAACCAACCAGTAACCCACGAAGTGATGGAAGCGTACTTGGGCTTAGACAAAATGTACGACCAGTAGTACAGACCACCGGCGGTCGGGTAGCACGCGCAAATCTCAGCAAGAGACGCGGCGATTGAGAGCGAGATGAAAGTAACGAGAAGCCAGCCATAGACAATGGTAACGGGTCCACCGTTTACGAGGGGGAGGGCCATGGTCGTACTCAAGCCAAATGGAGCTGCGATAATTGCGAATGACCTGAAGGTCAAAGAGGTTAGGAGACTTTTCCGCAGGTTCGACGTCCGACTGCCACTTACAACCCGAAAATACTTAGCAGGCTAAGGCGACGAGGTAGTTCCGCCTCATAGCCCATTCTGTTGAGCTGATCATCGGCCGCTTGGTGGGCCTTGCCTATGCCAACTTCAGGAGAAACTGTCATGATTGATTCAGGTATATCTCGCAGCAAGAATATGGAATTCGTGTTGTTTAACGATGTGGTTGTCTGTGTATCTAGTTGAGCAGCTTGTATGAATCAAAAGCACAACGTACTTACTCATGGTTGGTTTTATACTCAAAACGAGGCATTGCGTGAAGGAGGACCCCATGTCTTGGTCTATACCATGGGCGGAGAACATGGCTCAGAAGCTTGCCATATTAGGTTTTCCATTGCCGCCGTCTTTTGCCCTGATAACAACGGCACACACATGCGAGTAGTGCGAGAGCCCACGCCTCAGAGTTCACTAACTTAGTGGGCCGGTTAAAGGGAGCATGTCGTGAACCGGCCAATAGAGACTCATAGACGCCCACCCTTATCAGCAGCAGCCAAGTGAGCCAATTCAAGCCTTGTCTAGACAAACGCATCCCGCATTCTGGTATCTCCTAGACTTTGCGACCGGATAAAGTGAGACTGCGGGGTAACCTGCTAAGAATATGCCTAGTTAGGTGAAGTCTGCGCGGCTGGATGGTCTGGGTCTCGGACTTGCGATAGCTCTTGTGCCGTCAAGGCCGTGGTCCTAGTAACTTCCTCACTGCTCTCGTCCTTCAACCATGCCATATTGCCTTTTTTCTGCTTCAATTTCAATGCCATCGCTAACCTTTACGCAGGAGACGATGATACCAGCCCGTGACTTCTAATTGACGTCCCATAACGATGATGACGTTTCAAGTGGGGATCACAGCCTAGACATCCATGTCTTCCAAAAGTTGTAAAGGAGATAAGTGAAAAAGTGAGAGATTTCATTGATTGTACAGGGAATAATTCAGTAGCCTAAGCCATCTAAGCCTCTACATGAAACAGGTATCCTATAATATCCCGCAATCAGCTTATCCTCCCATATCAGGCATCACCTTAGTACGTGTAGCAATAAGCCTTGTCTTTCTCCAAAGGTTCCTGCCTGAGAAAGCCATACAGAAGCAACGATTGATATTATCCCCTAGGAGTCGTCTGGAGTACACTATGATCCTGAGCATCCACTTCACTCTGAGGCACTCGATTGTCCCTTGAATGGAATCAAACGGAAGAGCATAGCAATAGAAACAAATCATGTACTGTTCTTTCAGCAACTATGTTTAATAAGACAATCTATTTCACGATGCCATTTATGCGAACCTTGTCTCCAACCACACATCAAACTGGCTACAGATTCGCCGTAGGGCCGCAGCAAGAAGCTTTGCTCTCTTCATGAAGCGCCGACCTGTTAAAGTTCTGATTGCTAGCAGGGACATCAAGAGCAGGGTTCTTCGTGAAGAAACCATCAGGCTTCAGCATAACACTGATACGCTCGGCAGGCATGACAGGAAAGTCTTCAGGGCGCGGGTTATGAGTGAGACCGAATGTGTGCCAGAGCACGATGTCTGTGTCCTCGGTGTTGTCGCCACGAGCAGCCCAGACGGAGAGGCCAGTGTCGTTACGGCTCTGGTTGGTAAACTCGCCAGCGGCATATAGCTCGTCGTCCTTATAGCGGGTGACCCAGACGGCGTGCTCGCTGAACGCAGCTCGCTTACGGGCAAAGGAGTCAGCACTCATAAGCAACATCTGGCTAGGAGCAGCATGGAGCTTATAAGCAATAGGCTTAAGCGAGATAAGGTTGATTTTGCCATCATTACGAATTTTGAAGGTGCGGTTTCTCTCGACGCTAAGGTCAGCAAAACCTGCCTGTTTGACGATGTTCTGCTCAGTGGTGTAGCCCATGCCGTAAGGGTTAAGCTCATCGACAGGCATCGGAACACTGTCCTCGTAGAATACCGTGTTATTGTGCCCGTCAATGGCGGGGTCAATTCGGAGAGAAAACACGTGTTGGTGATAAGCAGCCATCACACCAGGGCCAACAATAGTTCCCCAAGGAACCTTGGTGCCGTCATTGTCTATAGGCATGGTGGAGAGAATACCAGTAGCACGGACCTCATGCTCAATGTTGCCAGCCTGATCAAAGATCCAGGCGAGAACATACTCATAGTTGGAGACTGTGCAGATCATTTGCAACACGAGCTCACGGTTGTGCACAACTGTGGCCTCGTTGTTACGGTAGTTACTGTGCTTATGCTGTAGTCCGTTATCCTGCTCATGCATGCAGATAACATTCTTCAGTAGAACAGGGTTGCCTTGGGAATCACACCTGTACCCGTCAAAGTACTTGATGTGGCCCAGGCAGTCGCATCCCAGGGCGAGCTGGTTAGCGGTAATTCCGAAACCCACATCACCTGCATCGAAAGCCTGTTTGCGGTGGTAGGGTTTTCGGGGGTCTAGCAGGATATCATCAGGTTAGCGTAAAGTGCATCTTAATTCGGTCCGAGGCGAGAGCGGTGGGTTCGGAAATAGATTCTTACCACCGTAGGGGACAGTCATCTCAGACATGGATAGACGGTAAAAGGTTTGACGGCCATCAAAGGTGGCATTGTAGATGACAAGACCATCACGGTTGTTGAATCCGACGCGGAACTTCCACTTTTGCCAGCTGACCTCCTGGCCCTCAACACCAAATGAGGGGCCCTCGGGCTGGCGCACGATATAAGGCTTCAGGTCGGTACGTGTTGGCTCATCCAGCAAGTCGTGAGCGTACTGCACGCACTTGACTGGCTTCCAAGGCTGGGTTGGCTGGGTCTTGGCGTCCTTGCCGGTAGGGAGATAGTCGATGCGTACAAGCTCCTTGGTGACCTGATCAAAGACAGGGGAGAAAGCGCAGGGAAGAGAATAGTGGTTAGACTGGGGATGATCGACTTCAATAATGTACATGTAGCACTGGGCGAGACGGCGAGTTTCGGTGGCACTGTCAGTACCGTAGATCCAAGGGTCGTTGCAAACAGTGTAGCCAGCCGGAAGCTCCATCTTCTCGATTTCAGCAAGCACGGCTGGGTGTTTCATGCATGCTTCTTCAATCTCGATCAGTTCATCGACATCGGCAGGACCCTATGTTCGAGTTAGTTTGGAATGATCCAACCAGCTGGCTTATTAGGGCACACGAAATATTACCTGGACATCTTTGGGAAGTTCCTTGATGTAAACGGGGCGCTTGGTCTCGACATTCACAACGGCTTTGAAGAAGCCCATTGTGTCTAGACGGTGGAAGTAGGAGAACAGCAGTCGAGCAGGCTTAGTAGGGAGGGGCTGGCCGAGGCGCTCGGCCTCAAGGTAAGGAACGACATCCTTCTTGATAGGCTCGAGAACGTCGATACGTTTGAATCGCAGAGCAGCACCAGGGAAGGCCTTCCTGAGAATGGCAGCTCCTAGCTGGATCTCTCCAGGCGTCAGAGTGTCGAAGGGGTGGAGCTGGGAGGCGCTCATTTTGCTGATAACTTAGACTAGTTACAGCTTGCTAAAATTCGAGATGGTTAAGAAGGTGGTTCTAAGATGAAAAGAGTTTTCCAGTAATAATAAGAAGATTGACTGAACGGAAGACGACGAGGATTTACTGGTATATATTGCAAGCCATCTAGCAGAGGAGGAACCCATCGTCTGGAGAAAATCCAATGTTTGCCTCTTGTCGTGAAGTTGTAGCAAAAGATCGCCAAGATCCAGCAACTCTTAGTACATCGGCCGCGCGAGTCCTGCCAGTTTGGGGCATGAAGGGGGGCGACCTGGATCTGGTAAATCTCATCCGTTTACGGGCCAATAGTCTCTCAGACTCCAAGACGATACGCACTGGCCGGGGTTTGAGCCATCCATATCTGTCAAGTGATCTAAATTGCCATAAGAGGTTAAGTCAGCTCTTGCTGGAGTTTCTCCACCCCTCTCTTGGGCCTGCTCCCTTTCCCTCCCAACCTCCGTCATCAGATCCCCCTCTTGACTCGGTAGAATAGCCCCTTGACTAGGCAGAATAGAGTTCAATGCTAGAATCAGCTACAGCATCCCCAGATCGAGAGATCTGCGACAAAACCATTCCAAGGGGAAACAGTCGCGCCTCTGATTCTGTAGATAGGCCCAGGCATTTGCCGCATCATCCATGCCAGATCATTGGCCAAAATTGGTCGAACTTGCGCCCATGGAATGAAAGAGGCATATGAAGCATTAATCAGGCGACAGAGATTCATGAAGCTCAGTCAACTATGAGAAAACTCACGCCCCCGTGTAGGGTAAACCAAGTGGCGTCTAGGGAGAGTTGGCTACAGAAGAGACAAGGATCAACACCGGGATACTTTCTCCTATTTGGCTATTTCTTATAGCTAAGGTAGTTAACATAAAATCAGTTCCCAGCCCGTATCCCTCATCGTATTCCACCAGACTTGCGGCCTCGCCCCTTTCTCTCGCTGCCAGATCATCATGAGCGCTTCTTTCGCACTAGCAATGTGACCGAGCCCGAAACTGCGCTGAATAAGAAAAAGCTTCTCTAGTACAAGATACTTTCTATGTTCGTCCTCAACCTCGCACCCGGCGAGGAAGAATGCAAGCGCTAGTCCGGCAAATTCACAGTGCTGGGCGATCGGGACCTCAGCAAGCATCTCAAGGCATCCTTCCAAAGCTTGTGACTTGGTATATGGTATCTGGAGTCGCAGAGCATCCCTCTCGGCGTTTCCGAATTTGCATAATTCGATTCCTCGTTCGACTACTGAGTGTAGGAAGACGAAGGCGGCGTATCGGGTGCGTTGCGCGACGTAGAGCAATCTGCTGATTTGCGATACGGTGGTGCCATCTGACCAACACTGTACGTCGGGTTCGATAACTGAAGTGCCCAAGGAAGAAATGCTGTTTGGTAGGATACACGTTAGCAAGACCTTTTCAATCCAAGGACAAGGTTGAGATGTAGAGGGAACGTCTTCCTGGACCTGAACGTACATCCTCGCCTCTGTTTCTGCGAAATCTGTATACGTGACGGCTTCTTGAGACTCTAGCCGACCGGCCAGTCGAGCAATATCATGGCAGGTCTTTAGAAGGTGGTGTGCGCATCCTGAGTATACGTCTAGGGAGAAGGTAGAGGTCGCCATAACATCCAAGCCGTTGTTCTCTTGGCCATTTGTAACCTTGTCGAGGTGACAGATGTCTGCAATCATGCGGTGGTATCGCAAACTAGAATAGAATTCCTAGGTTAGTATGGCTTTTGAGCTTGGAGTAAATCACAGCAGATGACGAGTGCTAGCACATACAAGCTCGCAACGTATTGAGCACACTCGACTTCTAAATAGTGAATGCCACCTTTTTTCTGTATCAACAACTCAAGGCCGCCAAGATGGTCTCTCCAGTGTGCCGAGCTTCCCTTGATGATCTCGTACTTGCAAAGCAACAAGGATGTAATGACTGAGGCATCATCCCATGACGAGGATTGAGGATCGAGCTGGGTTGCCTGTATACCAACTGTAGACTGAAGCCAGTTGACAGACTTAAGATAGAACCTAGTGGCTATGATGTTCTGATCGATGCGAGTCTCCGGGTCAGACCGTTGAGCTTGGTGACAGGCAGCAACTGCGCAAATACCGTACAGCACACCTGGACAATCCAAAGCTCTAGGTAGAATGAGTCGTCTAAGGGGGTTAAAGACTCCGGAATCTACATTCAGTAACTGCGTAGCTGCTTGCTCATCGAGATACTGTAGATAATAGAAGTCTTGATCTGTGACGTTGGGAAAGGCGCTTAGTGTTGGTAGTAAAGTCGTCGTGTCAATGGTAGCGCTGCTCATTTCCACATCTCTTGAGGATGGGCCTTCTGTACAGCAGAACAATGAGTCCAGGTACCCTCTTGAGTCTTCTTCTAGAGAACCGAGGTCTAGTGGCACCTCTTGTGGGGATGTACATTCGTCCTGTTCCTCAGGTGCAGACACGTCAGATATAGTATCATTCTTGCTGTAATTCTTGTCCGTTAGGCCTTCCCTGGCTACAAGCGCATTGGAAGAAATTGATTCAGCCGGCAGTGCCTCTGTTTCTGCTGTGGCAAGCTGATATGGACCATTTTCAGGGTGACCCTGAACTTTCTCCAATATCGGCGGGCCAGAAACGAGATGGACCCAAGCAAGTTCTTGCTGGGGAGTTACCTTGCCGGAGGAAGAGGGACGTGTTGGATCTGATGCAGTCTCTCTCGGGGTAGGATCTGAGGCAGTTGTGCCGGGTCTTCCTTTTGCCTTGGACCCAGGCTCTGTGACCCTGTAGCAACGCCACGGGGATTGAGTAATGAAGACCTGCTGGTAACCTTCGCATTGGATCCCACGCTTCTCACAGCTGTTGCAAGCCGGCTGTGCCCGATCACATTTCTTGCGCCTACGCTTGCAGGTGATGCATCCGGTACGACTCCAGTTGGGAGGAGCCATTGTTGAATCTGCGCTTGTCTGTGCCCAGTTGAGACGAGGATTGCGGAACGAAAAAAGGAAGAGTTGCGACAGAGCGGGCCTAAAGATATGCTGGGCCCATGTTATCACGAGTCCCAAGGGAGGGCAAAGAACATGACTCGAGTCATGGATAGATAGCGGCGGCTACTTAATCCCGAATGAGGATAAGTCTGTGTGTCCACAGATGAACCCGAAGGCTTGGATGTGGGGAAAGAGGAAACCTTGATACCTCCAAGGTTGCATCTCTCCATCTGGACTTCCGATTAGGCATGATAAAGCCCTCCTATACACTTGGCTCCTTGAGAATAACCTCCAACAAGGCAAGAGTTGCATCTAACTGTGCACGTGGGCTTCGACACCTGTTTCAAAGAAGGAGAGGCTGCTGACTCTAGCTTATCTACGCTTATGTGGCCCCTCGTTGACTCCATAAGTGATACCTGCAGGTTTTCTAGTTCCATAGCTGACTACTGCTCCATACAAGCGCGAGGAGGGATTTCTTGACGTGGATCGTAATCTTTCTTAGGTCCTTTACTATGATAGCTTACTACTCCTCGAGAATAGCCTCGGCACGGAGTTCAATGCGCATTCCCTCCATGCCCAAGTGGTTAACACCGAATGCCATGAAAACTGCCTGCTGGCCTGGGGCCACCTCCTGCCAAATCTTCATCAATATATTCTCCTCCTTCATGTCAATCATCAAAACGGTAAACTTGTGCACTGCCTTGATGCCCTTCTTCACGCCAGCGTTCTTCAACGCAGCGTCCACGGTGTTGAACGCGGCGCGGAACTGAGCCTCGACAGATGAGGTCACGACCTTGCCGGTATCCAGATCCAGGCCAGGCTCGCCGGATGTGATGACAATCTTGGAGTTCGGGGGGAGAACGACTGCGTGTGCGATGCCGTTGTTGCTGAACATGGTGCCGGCAGGGCCTGGAAGAGACGAGAATCGGGGCGTTGACATGGTTGCGGTCATAACTTAGTAGGTCAGCTTAGAATCAAAGGAAAGATAAGAACGATGTGGCAATTAGGTATCGGTAAATGGGCGAGCTTACATGGAATATCGGCTGATGTCTTAGACTTAGCTTGCTGTAACGGTCCCTCGAAGCGGGAGAGAGCGTTTATGTATGTTCATTGCAGTGCCCCTCAAAGAACATGCCTAGTTGGCATGCTCATCCTCGAGTTGGATCTCGATTCGCAGCAGGGGGGACACTTGTGGGTAAATTTCCAAGTAACAATATATTTAGGCAGAATGAGGCTACACATGCGGGCTTGGAATGAAACCATTGACTTTTTCTCCCCTGTTCGATGATGCATAGTAAACCCTAAGTGTCGAAACTAATGCTCCAAATAAATGATATTAAAACATCTCGTTCTGACACCCGTAATCATTCAACGGTAGCCCTAGCAGAAGCATGGCAAGGCCGAGGGCTTCACAACGGTGTAGAATTATACCAACTTAACTGGGTCTTAAACACGTCACCTTTAGCCCTTCTAAACAGCTAAAATCTAAACGGGTATTGCACTTGGAAATACTAGATGAGTATCATGCCATTTATATTTAATACAAGTCTAGGGAACCGTGTATCCACCATCTATCACAATGTGACCACCTGTCATGAAGCTTGATGCATCGGATGCGCAGAAAACGTAGGCCTAGGACGCAGGTGTTAGTACAATCCTCGTGTAGCCTTCTGGGATCCCCTCGCTGAACTCGTGCTGGCGACCTACCCCCTTTAACTCATAAGGCTGGCCGAATCTGCGGTTGGGCGTCTCCGCAAGCCATTGGCGCTTCCATTCCTCCGGATCGTACTGTACCATCTCTGTTTCGATGTAGCCAGGGCTGATGCAGTTGATTCTGCAGAAGTCAATCCACTCAATGGACAGACTCTTGGCCAGATGGAGAAGCCCGGCCTTGGAGGCATTGTACTGTGTTAATGGTAAGCAGCGGCTCACATCTCGCGCATAGTGCGCAGGGGGGTTCTTACAATCGACTGGTTTTGGGGGCGGTTCACGATCACAGCACTGATGGATGTTGTGAAGATGATGTTGCCAAAGCCTTGCTTCTTGAACTCTTTGGCGGCAGCCTGGGCACTGTAGAAAGCACCATCCAAGTTCACGGCCAACTGCTCGCGGTATTTGGCGGGAGTCGAGTCGATAGCATCAAAGCAATCAGAGATACCCGCGTTGATCACAATGACATCCAGGCGCCCAAAGTCCTCGACTACCTTAGCCACGAGGTCGTCGTTGGCAGCCGGGTCGGACACATCTGCTTGGTAGGCAATGGCCTTAACACCGTGCTTCTCCTCTAGTTCGGTCGCAGCCTCGTTCCCAGCCTTGTTGGATGATCGGTATGCGATGGCCACGTTAGCTCCAGCCTCAGCCATGCCTCGTGAGACTTCGAGACCAATTCCGCGAGAGCCTCCTACACAACATACAGACAAGTTGGTGATCTCGTTCTTCAGATGGCCATAGCAGGGGTGGGGTACTGACCTGTGACAAGGACAGTCTTGCCTTTCAGGCTTAAAGCTTCTAGCACTGGCTTGTTCTCGGGGGCTTTAAGAGACATGTTTGGATGTTTGGGTGAGGGCAGAGTCGAAAAAGAAGAAAATGACTTTATGGATAATGATGACACCGGAGTAAGTGGTGTTTTCGAGATCTTGCAGTGGAAACGGGATGAGGCGATTTCATAAGACAACCAGCTTCCAAGAGTATTAACCATCCCTGATGAAGAGACAGAACGCAGCCAAGACAAAACAGAACGTAGAGGATGGTCGGAGATGGGGCCCATCGGAACCTTGCGGGCCAGCTGAAGACACTTACTCGATGCGGTTTTTAATAGCCGCCAGTGGAGACACTCCGATCGATCTGGATCCACACTACTACTTGTGGACTTCACCATTCTTCCTCGTCTTCGCTTCCCCAAGTCAGTAGTAGATCGCGCTCGTTTCTCCTCACCTCTCTCTTAAAATACCTAGCTTCTTATTAACCGCGATATTTACCCAATTCTACCGGATGCCACGAATGTTATAATATCACGCCACTTCTCCACCCAACGAGATCTAACCCCCGTGGCTCACGAGACAGGGGGTTGGAGCTTCGGATCGATGGTTAAGGCGGACGGTGTTTCACCGACAAAGAGCTGTCGACATAAATATCTAGATCCTTCGTGGAAGGTAGGCAGCGCAGTCTTCAGCCAAGTTTGGGAAAGGTAACCCTAAATCAAACGGGACGGTCCAACTTTAGAGAAAGTCACCAAAATTGCTTGCCCACCCATTGGAACGCATCATGTCCGGCATCACCTCCGAGTCCCACATCTGGACGTCCGAGAAAGGCCTGCAGAGCGGCGGCTACGTTTCAGAGGGAGTTATTTCGCCACCTCGCCAGGTTAAGGCAGCCCAAGACCATGTCTACGATGTTGTTGTCATAGGAGCTGGATACGCCGGCCTAATTGCTGCTCGTGACCTTGTCAATGCTGGTAAGTGGAATATTTTCAAACATTTTCCTCAAATAATGCTATTTCTGGGAAGTCTACTGACAATTGATGTACGCAGGCCGCTCTGTTCTCATCGTGGAGGGTCGCGACCGTGTTGGTGGCCGAACGTATACTATCAAGCACGAGGGCTTCAACTACGAGATGGGTGGTACCTGGGTTCACCACACCCAGCCGTATACTTACCGAGAGCTCATGCGTTACGATCTTCATACCAAGTTGATTAAGACGCGCGATGACAAGCAAGCCAACAACTACTTCAGCATCAACGTCCCAGGTAAACACAGAGCTATCGTGCAGAATTGGCCAAGAGGGCGGTGGCTAACGCGAATGATTCATAGGCTCCAAGCGCGATATCTCTAACGAGCTCTCTGGCGAGATTATTGGAAAAGTCTGGAGGTTGTTCGTGGACATTGATGGCCAGGAGGGCCGCACCGTCTGCCCTCTCCCCCATGCTCAGCTTGATAACCCTTTTATCGACCGCAAGGATGTCGAGAAGTGGGAATCCATTTCTTGCTGGGACCGATTCGAGGCTATCAAAGGCCAGCTCAATATTGAGGAGCAGGGCGTCCTCAAGGCCCTCCTACTTTCCATCACCGGTGGCAAGCCCGACCTCAAGAACTCGGGCTTCTGGGACATGATCCGCAGCCACGCCATCAACGGCCACACCTATGACATGATGGACCCCATTTGGCTTTTGTACAAGCTCCGCGACGGCCAGTCCCACTTCGCCCGCCTCATGTTCGAGGAGGCTGCTGAGCTTGGCCTTGAGTACATCTTTCGCACCCACATCGAGGCCATCAAGCAGGTCAACGAGGGCCTAAACCTTGTTCACACCCGTGATGGACGTGTCTTCCGCGGTCGCAAGATCATTTGCACTGCTCCCCTCAACACCCTGAACTCCATCCAGTTCGACCCTCCTCTGTCTCGCCTGCGACAGGAGGCTGCCAACCAGGGCCACATTAACTTCATGACCAAAGCCCACGCCGTCGTCAAGGGTTCTGGCTACGCCTCGTGGAACGGACTCGCCTACCCCAATGAACTGTCAGCCGCTTACGGTGATGGACTCCTGCCAAACGGGGACACTCACCTGGTCTCCTTTGGTGCCGACTACCGCCACGAATTCGTTCTTGAAGAGCAGCCCGAACGCCTCGTCGCCGCTTTCAAGAAATTCGCCCCCTTCGATGTCAAATCAGTGGTGAGTAGACCTACATGACCAACCAAATAACAGATAAAGCAGGGATAGTTGACTTCTTCCAATTCTTCGTTTAGGTCTTCCACAACTGGAACACTGACCCTTACACGCAGGGCGGCCCCAACTTCATGCCGCCCAACTTCATGCCGCCCAACTTCACTACCAAATACATGGACGCGCTGCAGAAGCGTCAGGGCAACATCTTCTTCGCCAACGCTGACTGGGCCAATGCCTGGCGCAACTTCATCGATGGTGCGCTGGAGCAGGGCGCACTGAACGCCCATCATGTCATTGCTGAGCTTCGCAAGGAGGACAAAGAGGCCCAGCCTAACCGTGCTTCGTTGTAAATCAAACTTGAATATGAATACCACGTAAAATGACCCTCTATAGCTAGCAATTATGTCCTTTCTATTGGTACAATATAAGCAGGTTCAAAGATGAAGTTGCTAAAGTTCAGCAACGTGAAACTTATTTTCAGTGTCGCTCAAGGACAGAGAGTTGTTATAACTAGCTAGTCCGCATCACCGTGATATGTAGGTCTTAATTTATTTTATTCTTAAGAGATAGGCTAAAGCTCGAAATGCTCGCCTTTGCTCTATATAGTAAAACGCTTAAGTATTAAAGTACGATTCAAATATATATAAAGAAACTATTTAATTTCATTATTTGTTTGTATATCTTAATCTTGAGATAGATCTTGCTTATAATAATTAAAGAATATCAACAAAAAAAACAAATATAAGTAAGCATGAATAAATCAAACTTGAATTTGATTCAATATTTTAGAAGTGGGATTTAACAGCTTAAGCTCGCACTTTTCCGATGTATATCTCTTTCGATATTGAGCACTAACTTATCAGCAACCGATGTCGATCTCCGCTGTTCCGACCGTAGAAGTGGTTTTCTTTGCAACCATGGCGGTAAAGATGCTCTCCCCTTCCGGAACTTGGTTGACCACTAAAAACAAGGTCTTCCCATTTTCGCCTCCTATATAACAAGCTGTGGCATGTCCAGTCACTTTGATTCGAGCGTTGATGTTGCCCTGCCGATCGATGCGGACGAACTCTTCATAGCCCAGCATGGAGAGCCAGATGTTGCCTTCTACATCCAGGCATCCACCGTCGATCTTGACCATTTTGCCTGCAGCTTCCTTCGCGACAAAGTCTGGGAGAGAACGGGGGGACCAGAAGAGCCGCCTGTTGGACAGCTCGCCTGCGGGCCCAACATCGAACTTCAAGAGCCCTTCTCCAAACGTCTCCGCCACAAACAGGCTTTTCCCGTCCCTGGCAATCACCAGCGCGTTGGGGAAGACGATGTTCTCTGCGGCGACCTTGGCAGTACGGTCTGTATCTATCACGATAAGGCGGCCTGGCGAAGGGTCCTCTCCATGGAGAACTCGGGCCCCTGTATCGTCTAGGTAGACTCTGCCCGCCGCGTCGATGTACATGTCGCCGCAATATCCCGTCATGATATTAGAGAGATCGCTATAAAGCGTCGTATTTCCATCTTTGAGCCGATAGAGCTTAGTGTCGAACATGGACGAGTAAATGAGTGACCCATCCGGATGGAAAAACATGCCATTGGGTTGTTGGTCAACTTTGAGCAGGACTTTCTTCTCTCCGGACTTTGGGTCTATGGTGTAGATGGTGCAGCCAATCATGTCACTGAGATATAAGAGACCATTGGAGTATCGAGGGGATTCCCCGAACAGCATGCCATCGGCAAGGGGTCGATACTCAAATTCTTTGATGGCTGGCATTGTGCACGAACTCGAGAGCGTGGTGGCTTCAATTGGGAGTAAATTGGATTGAATGAGGACGAGGAATTGGATGAGAAATAAGTACAGTCTTAAGTCGCGAAGGATAGTTCATCTTTATACTAAATTCTCTTAGCTTCTTGCCCAGGTTTGTCATTTTACTCTTTTAGTTAGATCATTCCCCGCGTGGAGATCGAGATGCCACGCGAACTGAACTGACTTGCGGGGATACGGGGTAGAGTCCAGGGCATATCTAAGCTAGCGGATGCATAGCCGCACAATGCAGCAATCGAGTAAGTCTGTGTCTAACCAGGTACCCATCTATGCCCGTCCCCGGAACAGACAAGTTTTGTGGTTGCTACAGAGTTACCGTGCTCTCAGTCCCTCATCCGGAGCCGGACTCTGAGCAACTGCTAGTCAGACAGACGTCACTGTTTCTCGCACAGCAAGAGCAAATGTCTACGTTCATGACGCTGAAAGAAATTCTCTTGAGCCGCGCTGAGCGTCTTCGCGTATTACCATGGCGGCTCGCATAACTCATAGCACAGCTCTACCTCGTGAAGCTAGCATTGAGGGTCCCGTAGTATTGCATACGCGAATAATCGGTGCAACGACTTGGGATGATTACAAAGTTGTTATAACATCTTTTTGAGCGCTCACTAACACCAGGCGGTCATAGGAGGATAGATGCGCATGATAGTACGCTATTTGTTCTTTGTGGATAACGCCGAGGGAGCTGGATGTGTTGACCTGACTGAATAGCGTTCCCACCCGGTTGTCCAACTCTTGATCTTCAAGAACAATGGCAAATATTAGTAGAAGAGAAACGTACCGAGGGAGATTTAAAATAAGCTGCGACACCATAGAATGCGCATAATACTATGTTGTGAGGTATGCTCACGCCTGCTTGTGGCAGCCGACACGGCCTATCCAAGCTCAGCTGAAGATAGTTAGCTACATTTCGACACAGCAAAGAGACGGTGCTGTCTATTGCACGATTCTCATACCGAAGATGAAAACTCAAAACCGACACAAACGGACAGTCTTTCCATAGGAGCCTCTCTAAATCGATTGTGTAAAAGCCTGTGGAAATACCCGTCTACCCCTCGTGTTCATTCATGTGGAGCAAGCTCCGACATCAACATAGACAGGCAAATGCTCCGATGCAAGTTTCTCAGAGCACCCGACCTTATGACGGAACCAACAGACTCGGAAGGACCTTCTTGACCGAGCTGTATTACGTTCGGAACGTCATTCATCAGTTGGTGGAGTAATGCGGAGGGATGATTCCGAAAATGCTGTGATCCGGTTGAGCATCCGAGAGCTCCGAGCAAAGATCCTAACCGAACAACTATGTTCAAGTAGGTCAACAAAGTTATCACTCTCCAATTCGTGCCAATTTTTACCTATTGTAAGATAAAATGTCGGCGATTTTACCAATTCTCACATTCTAAAAAATCGAGCCGCTCTAAAACACACTCAACATCGTATTCGAAATGACCGAGCCAGGACACACACTAAAAGTCATCATCAATGGTGGAGGCCTTGGAGGTCTCGGAGCCGCCATTGCTCTCAAGAAAAAGGGCTACGATGTCACAGTCCTAGAGGGGGCGCCATCACTTTCTGAGGTAAGGACATCCCCTAGCCCATGAGGGCACTCAGGCGCCTCTAGTCTTCTGCTGAGCCCGATCTGACTCTTCTCCCTCAGGTTGGTGCCGGTATCCAGATCCCTCCCAACCCAAGTAAAATATTGTCCAGTTATGGCCTCAAGGACAAATTGTTGGAGAAGGTTGTTTGGCCGCAGCATTTCGCTTTCAAAAGATATGAAACAGGAGAACTGTTAGGAACGACGCCTTTGCACCCTCACCTCTCTGAGAAATACGGATCCCCTTACTGGCTTATCCACAGAGCCGACTTCCAGGGGATTCTTTTTGACGCCGCAAAGGAACTGGGTGTCGATGTCCGCCTGGGATGCTACGTGGAGGCGGTTGACGTTAGCGTTCCGAGCGTCAGGCTAGTCAATGGCGACATCTTGACAGCCGATTTAGTCGTTGGAGCAGACGGTATTCGCTCGAAGACACGGGAAGCGCTACTTGGCGACAGAAACGTAGAGCCAAACCCAGCTGCGAACTGCTCCTATCGCGCAACTGTCCCTGTCGAGGTCATGTCTGCTGACCCGGATATTGCTCATCTTATGACTGATATCAATGCGAACTGCTGGATCGGCCCCGGGCACCACATAATGGCTTATCCCATTCGTAAGGGCAGTATGTACAACCTCGTACTTTCTCACCCTAGTGGTCTTGCTTCACCTGGAAAGTGGAATGAGCCAGGCAACTTGGAGGAGATGCGGGAACACTACAAAGACTTCGACCCCACCATTCGGAAAGTCCTGAGCAAGGTGCAGAGCTGCCTCAACTGGAAGATCGCCGATCTGCCCAATCTGCCGACCTGGGTCAGTGAAAATGGCAAGGTCGTACTGCTGGGAGACGCAGCCCATGCCATGGTGCCATTCCTTGCCCAAGGCGCTGCACAAGCTATTGAGGATGGCGCATGTCTTGCAGAATGTCTATCTCGCGCCCAAAGTCAATCCGATATCCCGTCTCTTGTGCGTGCTTACGAGGCCATCCGTAAGCCTCGAGCCGAGCGAGTACAGAAAGGCACACGGGACTCTAGTCACGTCTGGCACTTGGATGATGGGCCTGAGCAGGAGGCCCGAGACCGAGCATTCGCGGCCATGGCAGCCGAGGTTCGCGACGAGGAGATAGACGATGCATTGGATAAGGCGAACCCCAACAGTCTGAGCAGCAAGAACTTTCAGCCGTGGTTGTTTGGACATGATGAGATCGCGTCGACAAATGCGAGGCTTGATGAAATTTTCAAACCCCAAAAGGGATCAACCGGGTTATGAAGGTTTTTTGAATATACAGCGGCAATAGGGATACTATATAAGATATTGAAGAGATCCAGGAGATATGCAAGATAAGTGATAGTGAAGTAGCCACATGGTGAAAATCATGTTGACGGAACGGCATATCGATTTTCTAGTACTCGCTCCAACATTGATTATCCTTAACTTCTTCCCTCTATAGAAAAAAATCAGTCTTGATCGCAGGTACTCCGTTGTTGGCATGAGAATGATATCGTATATTTTGTCAGGTGACGTTAACTTCTATGGTATGCCTTGATATTTTTTTGCCAAAGCTCGTTTGCTTGTTATTATTTAACCAATCTAGATAATCTTTCTTAGACTAGAGAATATCTATTGCCCCTACCAGTTAATGATACCAATATTCATTATTAATAGGCTGTATCTCGTGATAACTATACTGGAACAATTCGAATCTGGTTAGAGGTTTAGGGTATCCTGTTCAACATGGAGTCGCAGGTTGCAGATTGGACTCGGATTAGATGTGGGGAAGGTGGGACGGACTTGGATATCACCAATCGGAATGCGTTATTTTCGGAACCAAGTCTCAGTTGCTTGCCGAGGTCCGAAGACACGTGACCAAAGATCTCCTCACACGTCCATTTGCTTCCGTGAATGTTGCCATTCCGGCCAGCTCTGGCAGCAACACTTGAAAATAGAATGTCGGACTCAGACACGAGCAATCCCATGAGCTACGGCCTGAGTGGGTCATGATCGACGTCGCATGCGATGCGTGTCGCGCCAGGAAAGTGAGGGGAAAAAATACAAAACTAACTGGAACATCTAGGCTAGCTCCCTAGACGCATCAGCCCTCAATAATTTATCTTAATTATACGGGAGAGAGTTTGAGCATAAAGTTAAAAAAACAGCAATGAGAGATGCCAGACCCGATATCTCAACACAATGAATAATTTATCTTAATTATAATATATCTAGGGCATACTGATTACTGCCTCCGGAATAATAAATAATACTTATAGAATATTTCGAGGTGTTGAATGACATGATTCACGGCCAACTAGAGGGCTAATTGATTGGATTGAATTACGCAGCGATGTGTGTTCCGTTGCTATGAGTTAAGGCAATGTTTTTTCTTAAAGCCCGCTCCTCGCAAAAGGGAACTTAGTTTGGGAAGAAACTAGAGTGAGTTTGTGGAGAATGTTAACTTGTTTTAAGCTATCTACAGCGTATTCTGCCCTACCATTTCACTAAAATACATCCGCCGATAACTAATGCTCATTCTAGCTAACCACTACGAACTGCTGCCTAAATGCTCATCTCTGACCGTAATAGTCTTTAACTGCGTAAATTCCGGGAAGCCTATTCTTGATTAGCCGTCAAATCATGTGGTAGGTCGTCAAACATAAAATACTTGCCCCACGGGACTCCGAACCGTCCCCAGCCACTGTCCTTAGATCCGCCATGCGGCAAATGCGCCTCATCGTGAACAGTCATGGAGTTAATATGAACTGCCCCTGTATCAAGACGGCGAGCTAGCTCGATGCCTCTACCAATACTGGCAGTGAAGATGCTTGACGATAGTCCGTAGTCGGAATCATTCGCCAACTCCACAGCCTCGTCCAGCGTCGTGAACGGCACCAAAATCACCACAGGCGCAAAGGTCTCTTGGCGCCAGATTGGCATATCTTGCGTGACTTCGGTGAGTACGCGAGGACTCATATGCGACTTTTGAGTTTCGATGCTCTCTCCAAAGAGGAGCTTAGCACCTCTATCCAATGAGTCAGTAACAAGCTTTTTCACCTTGATGACGTGCTCCTCAGAAGCTCCAGGCTGAACTTCCAGCTTTTTTGCAGTCTCGGTCAGTTTCTCTGAGAATCGTTCAAGGACCGAAGCGTGGACAATTATCCTTTCGGTGGACATGCAGATCTGCCCATGCTATATATTGAAATTCGATTAGCTTATAGAGGTGGCATGATGTTCTCACCATGGACTTACATGAGAAAATGCTCCCATGGCCGCAGCCTCAGCCGCCTTGTCTAAATCCGCGTCTTCAAGCACGATCTGCGGTGACTTCCCCCCCAGTTCCAATAGCACAGGCTTGCAATGCTCGGCCGCTTTACCAGCAATGATCTTGCCCACAGGGGCGCTCCCAGTGAAATTAACCTTTCTGACGCGATTGTCGCTGATAAGGGCGTTGAGCACTTTTGGTGCATCTTCTCTCCGATGCTGCACGATATTAAGGACACCGGGAGGGAATCCGGCATCTTTGAACAGGATCCCGATGAAGTTATGCACCAGTGGAGTCATTTCAGAAGCCTTCAGTATGGCCGTATTTCCACAGGCGATCGGGGTTGCCACAGCTCTGATGCCAAGGTAGAGGGACGCATTCCACGGCGCGATGCCGAGCTGGACACCCACGGGCTCCCTGATGACCATGGCGAAGGAATCCGGTCCTTGCCTGCTGGGAAGGAGGGTTCCGCTCTCGGTATCCTTCACGTGGAAGGCCAATTCCCGGAGGAGGTCAATGGAACTTTGAATGTTGATCTGCTGTATGATAAAATCGTCGATGGGCATTTCGACCTATTCAGTAAGCTCACAAGACTCGGCTTAAAAGGCAGCATCTGGTATTTGCTTACCCGCAGTATGTTCTCAGCGACATCCTTCCGCTCCTCAAGAAGATTGGCTGCCTTGAGCAAAAGGTCTTGGCGCTGCCATGTCGTAGTCTTCCGCCAGCCGGCGAATGCTTGATGCGAACTTTCGACAACACGGTCGACAAGTTGTAGTGAAATACCATAAGCTAAAATAGACTTGCCAGTAGCATGGTTCGTGACTGAAAATTTAATGTCTGTATGAACAGGTTTGTTGTCAATCCATAGAGGGACTTCCGGCTCGCTGGGTACACTCATGATGAAGATGTACGGGCTGTTTGTTTGGATGGCTCAATGATACGCCTCAAGTCCCTCGATATACAAGTCAAATTCTGCGGGGTAATCAAAGTCTCACATACGCGGGTAAGGTTTAATGCTTTTTGGGCGATCAACTGGCGGTTAAGGATCCGCAAGACTTGTGGCGCTCTGAGCGACCGCGCGGGAGCACATCCGCCAGTGGTAACTGGTGTGCCTGGGAAGATTCCCGCTTGCACCTTTTCTTTGACTTAATACAGGTGTTGTCTGCCACACAAAAGCTTTCTCCATAGCAGTGTTCCATAGTCACAGCCCCTGTAAAGCTACTTTTGCTCAACTTCAGTACTCATCAACATGCTAGGCGACTTCCCCTTGGCGGGCAAGATTGTGGTCATCACTGGCGGGGCATCAGGTAAGTATCTGCAACAAGTGCTGAGATGAGACAGCAGCAACGGGTCCTTCCACGTTGGTGACTCGAGCGTCAGAAAAAGCTAATGGCTTGTTCTTACAATGTAAATAGGCATCGGCCTCGCCTTCACTAAGTTAGCACTGACCAGTGAGGCCAAGGTGATCATCGCCGACCTTGTTCTTCCCCCTCCAGCCGAAGTTCTCGTGCGCGACGATCCCAATGCCCGCTTCATCCGATGCGATGTTGGAAAGTGGGATGATCTTGAAAGTCTGATTCCCTTCTCTCAGAAAGAGTTTGGTGATGTGCCGGATGTTTATGCTGCCAACGCTGGTGTTGGAGAGCCTGTATTTGCCATCCTCTTCCCTAACGTGCATCTCAGGAATCCAGCTGAGTTCTAACTTGCAAATAGGCATGGTCAAGTTTCTGGGCTGACCGTGAGACCGAGAGATATGCTCAGCTCGACATCAACCTCGGTCACCCTATCAAACTCACCCGCATAGCAATCCGCGCATGTCTCGGAAGGAACAAGAAGGGTGTCGTTATTATTACATCATCCATCGCGGGAGTACATGGCCATTTTGCTACGGCGCTTTATGTGGCAAGCAAGCATGGAACAATCGGATTAATCAAGAGTCTAGCTAAAGCTGAAACCGAGGCCCAAGTAAAAGTGGTCGGAATCTGTCCTGGGTAAGTGAGCGTACACGGGAAACTAGTGCGAGCAACTCTAACGTCATATCAGGCTCGTCGAGACGCCGCTTCTCAAAAATATCATGGAGAGTCAGAACAAAGACGAGCCTGGTGTTGTCCTTATCAAGCCGAGTGAGATTGCGGATAGGATGAAGGACCTGATTGAAAAGGGGACATACCGTGGAGGAACAGCTTTGGCAGTGAGCACGCCGGGAGATGCAACCATTGTAGCTGATGGATCGACTAGTGCGCTCGAGGATCTGCTACCCTCTGATCTCAATGTAATGAGGGAAATCATCGCGGCAGAGAGGGGGAAATGACTCCCAGAGTTCATCGCGAGAAGACAAGAATGATAGCAAATAGTATTGTGTTTGTCGCCTATCAAACCTATCCGAGCTCCTGAGTATCGCAGCTGCTAGGATTAGAGATGCTTCCATCTTCCAAGTGTTATTTCAACTCATTTGTTCGTGAAAGGCCACTCATTAGTTTTGCTGCTACGATAACAGCCTAGTGATGTAAATGAGTGCTCAAGGCGGCGTCAACAAATTCTACACTCAAAGTAGGAATCTCTCAATTTTCGTACTACGTTAGGAATAATCGCCGTGATGCAATTGCCTTCAATGAGGTATGATAAGATCCAATGACATTTTAACTGTTACGCTACTATCACACCCATCGTAAGATCTTCCAATAACGAACCAGCATCAAACTTTCACCTAGTGTCTTTAAGTGATATGTGGGCATATGATATATTTCGTGCTTGGCTGGCTTTGGGCCTTTTACTGCTGCCAAATCTCCTGCAAAAACCCCCCATCAGAATTTGTCGTTTTCACCAGCTGAGAACTCCAGCCCAGCCGTTATGTTTCCATTCTTTGCACACCAAAGATCATAAAAGTAGTTTGTGCGACCTTTCCAAGGGCCAGAATCGCCACACTTTGGCATAGTCTTCTGGGCTTTCTTGGCATATGTCGCATCGAGGTCCCACATCGGCCGCTGCTGGATGTAGTTGGGCGACCGTGGGACTGCGCTCGTCTTTCCCTTCTTCTGCATGTGCTGCAGAAGGCGGCAGATGAGGTGGGCGGCGGTGTCGGCACCAAGCGTCCACGAGGCATTGACGTATCCGATCATGAAAGCCAGGTTGGGCACGTCACTGAGCATGGCAGTTCGCCATGCTATCTTGTCGGAAAGCTCGACGGGTTCTCCATCCACTTTGAAGTGTATGCGCCCACCGACCTTGAGCTTCAGACCGGTGGCGGTAACAATGATGTCCGCCTTCAGCTGGTTGCCGGAAGAAAGGACAATGGCGTTCTCATTCATTGTGCTGACGTGGTCTGTCACCAGGCGAGCATTGTCCTCCCGTATGGCCTTGAAGAAATCGCCATTGGGGCTGAAACAGACTCGTTGATCCCAAGGCCGATAGAGAGGAGTGAAGTGAGGATCCACGGGGACATGTGCTGGGAGCTGCTCAGCAACCCATCGTTGTAGCCTCGATCTAGCAGCGTTTGGAAAGGCACGACAGAGCCAGAAGATGATGGCAGTCGTCCAAATAAACCCCCAACGGCTAAGCTTGAAAGACCACAGCTGCGGTAGAATTCGGTGAAACCAGGAATTGCCCGTATTATTATCAATGGAGAGAATATACGTCGGGCTTCGCTGGAGCATTGTGACCTGCTTCGCTTTGTTGGCCAGATTCGGCAGCAGCGTGATGGCTGTTGCTCCGCTACCAATAATAACAACCTCTTTGTCGGCGTAGTCAAGTTGTTCTGGCCATTGTTGAGGATGAATGACTTGTCCTCTGAAATTACCGAGACCGGGAATCTGAGGCTCAAGCGGCTCTTTGTAGTCGTAGTAGCCACTGCCTAGGATCAAGAAACGTGCCTGATACTCGACGCTCTCGCCAGAGTCCGTTTCGACCATCAGGCTCCAAGACTGCTCTGCCGATATCCAGTTGGCTGAGAGTACACTGCGCTTAAACTGGACATGGCGATCAATGCCCTCTTTTTCTGCCGCACTGCGTAGATATCGCACAATGGATGCTCCATCAGCAATGGCACGCTTTTCTACCCAGGGGAACCAGCTGAAGCCAAAGCTATGCAGGTCGGTGTCAGATCTTATTCCAGGGTAGCGAAAGAGATCCCAGGTTCCTCCGAAGCGCTCACGGCCTTCGAGGATCGCATAAGTTAGATTTGGAAGTTTTTCTTGGATGCGGTAGGCGGCGTTGATGCCAGATATTCCAGCACCCACGATGACAACATCGTACACGCTGTCAACTTGACGAATTGACTTGCTGTCCATCTTAGATGAGGTCGCTATCTATAGAGATTTCTGGGATAAAGTTGAAGGGATAAAGCGATGGTGGGTCGATAGTTGGTCGAGAAGTTTAGTAGAACAGGACATTATAGTAGCCAGATAACCATCTCCCTCGAGCTTGTTCGAGAAGCCCCGAAGCAAGTTTGCGGATGTTGGTCCGGATGCCGTCCAAGAGACATTGGGTAATTCCACTTAGGTGGTATCGCGGTCAAAAGGAAAAGATTTGCTGCCGTCTATCAAACATGCGGATACGCATCCGGAGGTAGACACCTGACATCTGGGCCCCATCGCTAGTTTCCCATATTCCGAACATCCCAGCCCCGGCTTCCGAAGTCTGGGGGAATGAACCTGGGAAAACATCCGGGGAAATCTGGAGAAGCGGTGGAATAAGTTTCGGCTTCTTAGGCTCAGTGCAAATAAGCGAGGGTACAAATTCCCCCGTTCAAGACCCTATTTCATCTAACAGAGCAACATACAATAGCTTGACTCCTCATCGAAACCAAAATCGAAATATTAGCACTTTTTTCATCACATACCAAGATCTCGAGCAACAAGATGGCTCCTAACAGAATCGACGTTCACCACCACTTTGTGCCGGACTTTTATCGTGAAGGTCAGTCCCCCCCTTGCACGCAACTCCATATGTCAGAGTTGAATTTTAACATGCTCCCCAGCCGTTGTCTCTTCTGGTGGAGACCCTTCGGGATGGTTCATACCTGATTGGACCCCAGAGTCCGATGCCGCGCTGAATGAGAAATTTGGCATCGACATCACCATCTTGTCGCTGACTGCACCGGGTGCCTGCATTCTCAAGGACCCGAAGGCATCGGCGGAATTGGCCCGCAAGACCAACTTGTACGCTGCCAAGCTGCGAGATGAGAAGCCCAAGAAATATGGCTTCTTTGCGGCCCTGCCGAACCTACTTGACAAGGAGCTGGCTCTTGCCGAGATTGCCTTCGCGCTTGACACTCTCAAAGCGGACGGCGTTACCTTGTTCACTCGATATGGTACCGGCAATCACTACTTGGGTCACCCTGATTTCAAGGACATCTGGGCCGAGCTCAACCGTCGATCTGCCATCGTTTTTGTCCACCCTACCCATCCCGTGGACACCAGCCAAGTGAGCGGCCTACCTCAGCCGGTTATCCGCTACCCCTTCGAGACTACTACAGCCGCCCTGGACATGATTCACAACAAGACTGTCCGCAACAACCCAAACTGCAAGATCATCCTCTCCCACGGAGGCGGCGTGTTGCCCTACCTGATTGGGAGGCCTGCGAGCATCCTCCCCAAGTCCAAGGAAGAGCTGGACGAGTTCCTGGACGATGCTCGGAATTTCTATTATGATTTAGCTGTGGCGGGCTCGGAGAACGCGCTGCGGGTGCTCGAGAAGTTTGCCAAGCCGGGCCATCTCCTCTACGGCAGCGACACCCCTTATGCAAATGAAAGCATTATCGAATACCACACAAGTGGCCTTGATTCGTACAAATTTGAGGATCAAAACTTGATTAAGCAGATCAACTACGAGAATGCTCGGGCTTTGTTCCACAAGTTTAAGAACTAAGACGGAGGAAGTTGATCTAGGGGGCCTGGAAAGTTGGCTACAGTCTGTAAATAGGACCAGATAGGTTGATTATTACTGCTACTGTTTGCCAAGTATCGTGAGATGAAGCCGATGCTTTGATATGGAGAGGTCTTTGTTAGTTCACAATGAGTACTTCGCGTCCCCTGAATAATAACCTGGTCACCTAAGACTACCTATAGCTTTACACCATGAAGTGCGGATCTGATTTGAAGCCCCATGTCCTCTGCAGTAGAGGGCCTTCCAGCTTGCGCGGCGGCTGTGTTTCCGCCGACGGTACGGATTAGTCTTGCTTGTATTTTAAATGCTCTAGGAGCCCCAGATCATATTCAATGTGCCATCTAGACCTTCTCTGCTCTACCCTCTACCCTCCGCCTAACCTCCGCTATCCTTTTTTCCACTACTTACTATCCTGCAACAATGTCTAATACAGAACAAATCACCACCAAAGCCTACGTCGTCGCTGAGCGAGGCGGGCCTTTTGAACTCAGAGATGTTGTGCTTGACAAACTGCATCCGACTGAAGTCTTGGTGGAAATCCTATACACTGGAATATGCCACACGGTCTGTTGCCTAGATCAAACAGGGACGGCGTGAATGAAGACTGACTTGCACTACAGGACCTCGTTGTGCAGCAGGGCGGCATGCCAATCGGGGGATATCCAGCGGTCCTCGGCCATGAGGGACTTGGTATTGTGCGGCGCGTTGGATCCAACCTGTCTGACCAGTCTCTGAAGCAAGGAGACACGGTTGTGCTCTCATTTCACACCTGCAGGCAGTGTCGAGGGTGCCTCGAGGAGCGATACGGTAGTTGTTCCCAAATGACGGAAACCAATTTCATCAACACCGGGCGCAAAGGTCCCGGGGCGTCTTCGCCCATCTCGTTGCCCGATGGTACACCAGTGCATGGTCAGTTCTTTGGCCAATCGTCCCTCAGCAAGCTGGCGGTTGTCAGCGAGAATTCGGTGGTCAAGATATCAGCAGAGCCCCAGGATCTGAATTACCTCCCTCCCCTGGCATGTGGCTACCTGACCGGGGCAGGGACGGTTCTGAATGTCCTCCGGCCCCGTAGGGACAGCAAACTCGTCGTGCTGGGCATGGGCGCTGTTGGACTCGCTGCCATGCTGGCGGCCAAGGCGCTCGGGGTAGAGCATCTTGTGGCTGTCGATCTTGTTGACCAAAAGCTCCAACTCGCGTCGTCGCTGGGAGCTACGCATACCATCAACACAAGCACGGCCCAGGACCTCAATTCTGCAGTCAGAGACAAGTTCCCAGACGGTGTTGATTACATTATCGACACGACAGGAGCGGTGAAACTTTTGCAGGCGTCTATCGAGGCTCTATCTCACGAAGGAACCCTCGCTCTGGTAGGTGTCCCCCCACCATCCGCGACTTTCCAGGTCAATGCCCTGGACCTCTTATTGTCGTGCAAGCGCATTGTAGGAGTCATTGAGGGTTTCTCCAACCCCCAGAAAGTAAGTCAGCCGAATCAAGGCCGCTATGAAACAAATCAGGCCCGAATGTGCTCTAACGGCTTGCGCAACTCAGTTGATCCCGGAACTCATCGAGCTATACTACAGCGGCAAATTCCCTATCAACAAAATTTCCAAGTGCTACCCCGCGGAGGATTTGCACCGGGCCATAGAAGATCTCAAGGCAGGACGGGTAAGTCACCTACCGCCAATTACTCTGGTTGTACAATCGCTAATATATCTGAATTGAAGGTTATCAAGCCGGTGGTATCATGGCACAACATTCATTAAGCACAACCTTTTAAATCTCCACAGACCCCAAGGCTTGGCTAGCTGCAGCTATGTCTTCTCTCTATTATATATTCCAGTACTACTTGGTATATAATATCGAGGGCGGAAAATCACAGGAATACTAGTCATCTAGGTCAACTGCTACTCTGAACTAATATAAATCCAAAAGATTCGCCCGTCTAACAACATCCTTCTCACGTTCTTTTGATATTCTAACCAAGCAGATTAATGTATCTACCATTCTTGGCAAGCCCTATCCATCAGAGTTGTGCCTTTCAGGGAACGGTGATGATGACATCGGGAAGACAGAGTCCAACCCCAACCATGATGAGGTTTCCGGCAATCGGCTCGAAATGTTGATCTGGGGCGAGACACTAACAACGCACCAACGCTGAGCCTGGGGATCCAGTTAACCCTGCCTCTGTCCGGCGGGTCTAGTTGCGGAAGCATATCCGCTCGCGCTGAATTGGTAATCACAGGCCCCCGGGCGGTGACACAACCTAGGTGCCACCACTTCTCATCTACAACTTTGAGTCTCATTACCCCATGTTATTTGCCACAATAATCCCAAGCCGGGTGCCGTGAGGGGGGACGGTGGTGTCCAGCAGGATCTTGCTGCGGTACACTAGGGAGTAGGGACACACCAACGCTGAGCCCGGAATCATTCTTACTCGTGTTCTATGTACTTTCATACAATCATGCAAATTCCAAAAGCATGATCCAAACCTCAGTATATCCAACGAGTTGAAAGAACAGATTTCTGGCACCCATAAGGAATCTCAGGCAAACATCAATTTCTCCGCTGAAGAAACACTCTTCCACTACAATTTCTCGTAGATCTTAAGGACCGACTTGGAATTTCAGATTCCCAATTCCAGAAGCGCAAATGGGGTAGTAAGAACAGCTTTGTCGGGCCATAGACGGCTATATTGATGGCTAGATCTGGGGATGACCCTTCACTATTCAGTGGCTCTTCACCGAAGTCTCCTGACATGATGACTTCTACTGCCGCTAAACCAAGAACAGGTCCGAATGCGGGGTATGGAGTAGACTAGTTACACAGGCCAGTATAAAATGACAATCCTACTTGCTGGCTTCCTCTGAGCTTCCTCAAACGAGCCTCCTCCATCTCGTTGATCCACCGTTTTGCACATGAACCTCGGGGCTGAGATACCCGCAGCACAGACACCCTCCGGGCACCGATTCTGAAGCAGGGCAATCTCTTTTTTCTGTCGACTCCTTCTTGATGGCTCCACCCACAGCCGACTACCCCGACCCGGTGCCGCCGAGGAAACGGCGCCGCACTGCCCTGGCCTGTGAGGAGTGTCGCGACAGGAAGCGCAAGTGTGATGGGGTCAAACCGATATGCGGAGCATGCAAAGGCCGTTCAACGGCACAGTGCATATGGAAACAGGAGAGAAACAGCAAAGGCTGGTGGAGCAACAGGTACAGATACTGAGCACGTCCAATCTCACCGACCCAAGTCCAAAAGTCTTACCGGTGTTGCAGTTATGTTCAGGAGCTCAAGAACCGCATCAGGGAACTGGAGGATACGCAGAGCATGGTGAATATCACAGATGACCTTGCTAACTCTGCCATCCCTCCAGCTGATCGAGAATTCGGCACCCCTATCCCCTTGGACCCCCGCCTAGAAGGCCCTCCTGCTTCTCAGGACGTGGGCGGCCATCATGAGGACGCCCTCATTGATCAGGACACTCCTGTGCGCAGTGATAGCGTCTCCCACGGAACGAATACACTAGATGTACGCCAATCAGAAATCACGTCGCCAATGGCATCCGCGGAAACAGCCCCTATCGAAAATGCTTCAGACCAAGCCTCTGCGCTGTGGGCTAGCATGGACTTTGGCTCAGCCTCCGGGTTTATTCCTCCTACCAGAGATTCTCTCAAAGAAAACGGCAGGCTGGATATTATAACCGACCTGGAAGCGGGACAACCCGCAATGGATGCCATGGGAGTTGTTATATCTCCACACGGTACGGCTACTCGATCAACAAGACGGCCCGCGGATTACTTTGGCCCCTCAAGCACGATCAGCCTCCTCAGTGAGGTGCGAAGTGCCATGGGGCGACGAAAGTGCGGACATGGACCCTCTCTTCCTGGCAACCCGGATCACTGCTCGGCGTGTGAGCACAACGCCCTCTTGGTTACAAGCGAACCATCACCGCCCTCATCGACGTGGCTCAATCGGGGCTACGAGAGCGTTAACCCTATCTTTGGAATGAGTTTACCACCCAGGCCGGCAGCAGATCGTCTTGTCGACCTGTTCTGGACAAACATGCACTCTCTATACCCATTCCTACATTGGCCGTCCTTCCACGACCGCTATCTCACACTCTGGAGTCCTCAGGCAAACTTGCAAGCCCACGGAGCCACAGATTCTCTGAATGGACCGGTGAATGGATACTACGGTGCCATTGACGATGCTTTATTTCATTGTATGCTCAATGTCGTCCTCGCTCTTGGTGTCCTTCACGACACCAAGATCAGGCAGCAGGAACGTCATGACATCAGCGAGACTTTCTTCAAGCGCGCAAAAGCTCTCCTCGACCTCGACTCGTTAGAAAGTGGAAGTGTAGCCCTAGTGCAAGTACTTCTTCTCATGGGCCAATACCTTCAGACCAGAGATATAACAAGCTCGTGTTGGAATATCGTCGGCATGGCTATTCGTGTCGCTCAAGGTATGGGGCTGCACCGCGAGCCTGAAGAATGGGATCAAGGCGGCTCTGGAAACTATCGAGCGCCTGATCAACTTGAGGAGGAAATGCGCAGGCGCGCTTGGGCTGGGTGTGCTTTGCTCGACCGGTTAGTGCTCGCATACTGTTTAGAGCCCACGGCTGAACTAACGTTGCCGCAGAATTCTCTCCCTGACTTACGGACGGCCCCCTATGATACACGGCAGCATCGCGCAGGGCACAATCGTCCTTCCATCGGCAATAGATGACGAGTTACTAAGTCGTTCCCCCGATGCTCCAGGATGCCAGCCAAGCGACACGCCAAGCCTTGTGGAATGTTACGTTCACGCACTTAAACTACAGGACATCCTGGGTCAAGTTCTCACTTCCTTCTACCACCAAGGCTCGGATAACGAACCTGCTAAATCACGAAGGAACTGGATCAGTGACGCCGGACTTCAAAAGCTGCTTGATGTAGATCGCCAGCTCGATACATGGAACAAGGATCTGCCGACGCACCTGCAAGTGCACCACTACTCGGAGGAAAACCTTTTTCTGGGCAGCCCACGCTCCACAAGGTCAATCATCTTTTGCCGGCAAGCCACGGTGCTCAAAGCGAGGTATGCTACTCTGGTTCACTTTGAGAAAGCAAACGTCTTGCGCTCGAAACCTCACGCAGTTGCTAACCCTCGCAGGTCTCTGTATGTGCGTATGAGTTTGCTTAGACCTTCATTATCGGAACTGTGCAACTCGGCGAGCAATAATAGCCTGCCGTCAGGTCAGCCTGATTCACTAAATACCAGTGTGCGCGAAATCATGCTGATGAAATCCGGAAATCTGTGTGTGTCTGTTGCACAAGACCTTGTTTCTCTGATAACGGAAAACTCCCACTCCCGAGCCCATTTCCTACCACCGCCGTGGTATAACGTACTATGTGAGTAACATGCCAACGCTTCTTTCCTGCCGAGACGTATCCCCGGCTCTAACTTCTTGTTTCGCCGTAGATATACACGGCTGTGCCCTCGTTCTTCTTTTAGGCTCTCTGTGTCTACACAAGTTCAGCGACGTTGAGCAACACAGTCTGATGGCTGACTGGGACCGCTGTCTGGCCTTCCTTCGTGAGTATCAATCACAAAGTCGGTCTGCACCGCGCTGCATTAGACTTTTGGAACTCCTGGAACAAGAGGCCTCGAGCTACAGTAATGGTACGTCGTTGAAAGTTTAACCCATACCTACATACTAACGGAGTGAAATAAGGAAGTATAAGCATGAATGAATCCCCTCTATTACAATCAGGAGGATACCACCCTGGGGTCACCCTTGATGCGAGATACATGGCACTTGATCTGATTGCAGGACATAAGGAGTTCCCCACGAACCTCGAGCTTGACCACCGAGAGCTCAACGAGCCGGATAGCAATTTGACAAACAACTCAGTAGGGATGAACTGGCTTTCACTAGCTCCGTTCTTCGAGGGGGCAGCAGACATTCCCCCTTAAAGACTATCGCCTTAGCCATCCCGGGGGGCTCTCTGTTCAGCCGAACGTCCGCCTCAATCTTTCGCAAGACCATTGTAGGTAGCTGTTTCAACGTCTGCCCAGAGCTGCACCGCCTTCAGATCAGCCAAAGGAAGCACCTGAGACGCGACTATACCCGCCACTCCTTTTTCTCGATCACACCACCAGAAACAGTTGGACAGACCGGACCAATGGACTGTCTGTTTCGAACGACCAGTCACGCCGCCCGAGATCATGAAACCGAGCCCCCACCCCTGCGGCTCGCTTCCCGGGCAAAGCGGATAAAGCTCTTTGGCCGGGTGGACCAGCTCAGGCTTTACGGCTGGGAGCTCAGCGCGAGCGAAGTTTGGATCGTTGGGCAGCTGGTTCTCAAACATCATGTCGACCGTTTCGGGGCGTAGAATTGCTTCGCCTGTCAGGGGAGAGGTTCCATTATTTAGCAGGACCCTCAGAAGCTCTGTTGACACGTTAGGGTATGCTCGATCAAATCGGACGGGCGGCACATACTGCTATACTCACGCGCTGTCCCCCACACGCCAGCGCCGCCGCTATGGAAGGTGTCAGACGCCTGATCCGGGGCCAATGGTCGGTCAAGAGGATATGGTCGTGGACTCAGGCGGCCATTTGCATCCCGCTGCCAGATACCGGCCAGTCGATCTCTCATGTCCTTTGATGGAAAAAGAGACAGCTCCTTGATACCTGATGGCGTAAAGATGTGCTTTTGCATATAGTCGCCGAGCCTGGTCTGTGTAACACGCTCTACGGCAATGCCCGCCCAGTCTATGCTAATCTAGTAGCCTTAGTTAGCTAGGGAAATGGCATCCAGGGAGCGGCTCCCGAAGAACGTGAAAAGAAGAACAAATAATCAGGGTGTCACCATACCCCGTATTCAAATCGCTCTCCCGGCTGATTTACCAGTGGTTGATGGAAGTCTTGGGCCAGTCCAGAGAATTCGTTATAACTGTACTTCTCGAGCTTGTTGTTGAGAAATGAGTATCCGAAACCAGCTTCAATCAAGGTCAAAAAAACTGGGACTCGTGAAGAGGATGCAAGATGTGGAATATGCGCATTTAATGCTAATTGAAAGTAATATACATACCAGTATGCGTCAACAGCATCCTCAGAGTGATCTTTTTGTTCTTCTCTGACGTCGATCCGTCACTCTGGAGGACCTTGATGTCTCGTAGCTCCGGACAAAGTCCCTCAAGTTCATCTCCGTCATCAAGTGTGAGCTTTCCCTGCTCAACTAGTTGCATACAGGCAATGGTCGTGATGAGTTTCGTGCAAGAAGCTAACCACAAGACCTGATCGTTGGTGGACGCATCTTGGAGATTAAGTGACCCCTGTCCCGGCTTCGGTATCGTAATATCATCTTTCTGACCAATGCTCGACACCGTCTCATGGTGAAACAGCTCCGAAGTTGCGCTCACTACTGTGGCACTGGCACACGGTAGATCAGCCTGGCGCGCATTGTCGAGAATTGCACGAAGACTATCTAGGGTCTTGGGAGGAAGAGAACGAGGGGCCATGATATGAAGGGCACTTGATGTGACAGACCAGATCAAGAACCCGATGAACTACGACCAAAGCCTGTAAAATAATACATTGTCACTGGGGTGTTGGCCTATTTTAATATTCACCGATCAAGCATTTTGCGGAAGGCTTTCCGCCGCGTTGGGCGCGTGCGGGTGATGATCCATCCGGACATGCTTCCGCCCAAACCAGCAAACGCACCTAGACACATCTCCCTCAATTATCCCAAATCATGATTAATTCGATAAGAAACGATTTCCTATCCTAAGAAGCTCATCCTTTGAAATTCCACCGTCAGCACATCATACAAGTAGCCTTGCCCGTTATTTGTAAGACGAGGGATCACTTCAGGAAATAGGAAAGATAAGGGTAGGAATAAACTCCCGTTTCTACACTGTTGACTACACTATTAATAGCTTCCGAACCCATGAGAGCTTTTGTAGAAACCACCATAGTTCATCATCGCTCGGGAACTGACTAGTTTGATGCACCGCTGAGAGATGGGGGAGCATATGCTCCGGGTTCCCCAAAGACACAGTAGTTAATGGATAGAATCGCATTCAATCGAGCCTTTGCTATTGCCGCGGTATGGGGCATCAGTTTTTCATATGAGATTTTTCCAGAGACGGAAACCCTAAAGTTTGCCCGTTCGCTGTTCGAAGAGCGCAACGGAGCCAAAGGGCAGATGAGAATCGGAGTAGAAATCTATGTGACGAGGGCGAACAAAAAGAATAAACAGATCTTACGTCTGTTTGAAGACAAATTTCTTTCTGCTTAAAGATAGTTCAAGGACCTGGCCGCAGTTCACACATTTCTTTTCCTTCTTTTGAGTTTGCATTTTACAAGAACGTGCTTCTGAGAGTTGATCCTTAGACCATTTGGGGTTGTCAACCCCGTTTTATTGAACGTCAATCCACCTAAAATCTCATACTGGCGCAATGCCGTCGCATTTGATACCGCCGGTTACAATCAGCCCAGAGACTGTTATAAATTACTAGAGCATGGCTCGTCAATAGCTGGTGCAGAGTGAGTGTGATTGTGTTGATGATTTTGATTGGCTTCCCAGAGGGGAGCTAGAACAAGGCAACGAGAGGTACGTCTTTCATTAAATGACGCTCGGCGTAAGACCAGATGAAGCCAAAGTTAGAGCTATTACCATCACAAAGGCTCTCCTAAAACGACTATTGTGGGAAACGGCGAACAGGGTAGGTTGGTTGGGCTCATCTCCTCCCGCCATGATTTACTAGGAACGGAAATCTTGTCAGCAATCGAACCCCACCGGCTGATATCTACAGGGGGAACTCGTTGGTTGTTGGCAGCAGAGCCTATTGGGCGTCAGCACTAATTGAGAATCAGGGGCATGTTGTTGTTGTTGGTTGTATAACGCCGGGGGATCCCTGGTGAGGGCAAAGGGCGTCTAGCTACTTCTATCTAGTAGTACATACAAACTGTCTTGCCCTTTATAAGTATTCCATAGTCCTAGGTAGCTAGCTAGAGTAGTTTAGTTTTCTAATTTCAATTCTTTATCCTTAGCAGACGCCAGACGTCAGTAAGATGCCTTCCGTGTTGTGCATGTATTAGGTCGTTTTAGATAGTCTCTATGCCCTGTAGGTGTATCCTACCGGGTGCAGATACTGTTGAAGAAGCCTTTCTTAGTCCTTGCGATGAAGCTGCCCCACTTAGTCCCAGTCTCCTCCTCCCTCCCTGCCCATAGCTAGGATCAGGGGGATGTAACGTTGTGAGACAATAAAAACAATGTGAAAAACGTGGACTCTTCCCATTCTGCCGTGACACGTACTTGTCGTCCCAGTGTCTACACAGAACGTCAACTGAAGAATGTTCCTGCGACTGTTGCTCGTGGCCGGCGCCATCATCGCCGCGCTGGTCGCGCTCTTCATCCCCGGCTCCCCTGAGCGAGAGCCATATGTCCAGGGTCGGAACAAGACGGCCCTCTTCATCTCCAACATCGAGCATGGCCTCAGTAATGTTCACGTGGCTACCGCGTCGGCACTTCTTGAAGGCTACCCCGACATCGAGGTTCACTTCGCATCTTTCGCGAAGCTCCGTAGTAAGCTGGCTCGAGTCTCGGCGTTTGCACAGGCCAAGACACCAGCCGCCAAAGACATCATCTTCTACGAGCTCAATGGGCTGTCATTCTACGAGGCCGTTCTATTGCTGGGCGGCGATCTGGAGAAGACCATTTGCCCTCCCGGAATCGCCGGCATTGACCAATTCACAAACAGCCTGCAGGACTGGATCTCTCCATGGAGCGCGGATGAACACATGGTCATCTACGACCAGATTGGCGCCCTCATTGACGAGATTGATCCCGCGGTGGTCGTCTTGGAGACGTTTCTACGTCCTGCCCTCGACAGCACCCGCGACAAGAATCGCATGCACGCCATCATCTCGCCCAACACCCTCGTTGATAACTTCCTTGGTGACCAACCTTACGGCAGCATGTTCTGGAAATACCCCGCGTGAGTCTGTCCCTACATTGTTTCCACGGCAGTTGAGCTACCTGTACTGACAAACTTAGCTTGTCCTCTGGCTTTGACTTCCCGGTGCCATACCGCAACATGCTGGAGAATATCTATCTCAACTTCCGCTTCATCTATGCCGCCATGCTGACACCAAACCTATCAGCTAAGAAGGCTGAACTGAGGACCAGAGGCGTCAAGGACCCCATCAATTTCCTCAAGATGCACCGCCCTGACGTTCCATGGATCACGATGAATACCGAAGGCGCGTCTATTCCTGTCGATGTGGTGCCTACCAATGTCACCTGCGCTGGACCAATCTTGCTCTCGGTTGCGCCGGCCAGCGAGCAAGATCCTGAATTGGCCGGGTGGGTCAGTCGGGGCCCTACGGTTTTGATCAATCTCGGCAGCGGTTTCTCGGTAAGCTGACCCCCGAGCATCTCCATTGGTACCTCCTACCTTTACTTGGAGAGATACACGACTAACCAGTTGCGCCAATAGTACCCGATCAATTACGTCCGCCCCATGGTTGAAGCGGTCGTTGATGTGCTCACCAAGACCCACGTCCAAGTCCTTTGGAAGTTCAACAAATACGGCGAATACTCAGACGACGAACTGGCACCCTTGAAACCGTTCCTCGAGAGTGGACGACTTCGATTATCCAACTGGCTTCCTATCGATGTCCTGTCTTTGCTTGAGACAGGTCACATCGTCGCCTCTGTGCATCACGGCGGTTCCAACTGCTTTCACGAGGCTGTCAGGTGCGTCGCATTTCCCTGATGATGAAGAATTCCATCTAACAGTGTCTAGCGCTGGTGTGCCTCACGTCATTCTCCCCCTCTGGGTTGACCTGTACAACTTCGCCGCTCTCTCGGAAACCGCCGGCATCGGAGTCTGGGGTTGCAGGGACACAAGCCCAACCTGGACGGCTGACGGAATCAGTAGCGCGATCATCAAAGTTGTCGATGGTGGAGAGGCAAGCATTTCCCTCCGCGAGAAGTCCAGATCTCTGGGTGACAAGCTGAGGGCAGGCGAGAAGGGACGTGATATATCCGCGAGGGAGATTGCGAAACTTGCCTACGTGAAGTAAAAGCAGGGAAGTCGGCAGGTTCATTGACGGGCTTTAAGGCGTACTGCAGAACTAGAGGAAGATTTAGAATTGATAGACGGACTGGATTAGACATCAGATTATTTTACATGGATAAATAAACACACCCTAAGTTAGGCAATGACCAGACACGAGGCTGCGGTTCGCTATTAGCCCTCGCGGCCATTCTTTCTTTCAGTTTTTTTTTCAAGCAAACAGCCAGATTCCGTGGAAAACTATGGCTTAGTTCCAACCTGGTTCATAGCTGGAATTCCATCTACTCCCATTTGTCGTATGTACCGACCTTGGTATCTTGATTGGCTGCTGGGTTTACCTACGAATGCAGACCCAGCTTATGTACATATTACCCTAAACCCTTGCCACTTTCGCTTGTTCGTCAGCGTATTGAAACAAGCTAAAAAATTGGAGAGACACAGATGTGATTATAACACGGATGAAATGGTCAAAAATGAATGTCCGCAGTGAGGTTCGAACTCACGACCTTCGGATGGCTAACTCTGGGAGTTAATCACACAGATGAATGTATGAGACCGACGCTTTAACCTACTAAGCCATGCAGACTAAGGAAGTTGTTAGTAATCGGCCGAGAGTTTGATTATATGTACGCTTGGCAAGCTAACGAGGTCTCCCAAGCGCAGGATCGCCTCTAAACCTCGTTGTAGGAGTATCTACTGAAGCAAGATTTCTTGTAGATTACGACCCTAACTAGAAGGTTCACTATTAAATAGCTGCAGAAGTAAGTAGATTGCACGTTGCATGCATAACGAGGTGTGTGGTTGTGTATACGGAGTCTGGGATATGTGAGAACGGATCATGGCCATTCTGAAGCGTGATTGCCGATACTCGAAAACTGAACTTTGATATGACCAAAGAAAAGGAAATACTGTAATGCTAGGGCCTCAAATGCAGTACTCGGAAACCTGCTTTATATCGAGGCCGTCTGGTCTCCCCAGCCACTGAAGTAGTATTAGTGACATGACCGCAAGGTAACGTCTACCAATCGATGCTCAACCTCCGGAAACTATCTAGTTTTAAAACAGAGTCCGTACATGGCTTAAATATCCACCCCTTCGTAGCTATTTGGTGCATGTTTGGCATTTAAGCCCACTTCGTCCATCTCGTCCAGTACAGTCTCCTCCGTTGCCGGCCGTCGATTTCGTCTCAAGGAAAAATTGACCAAATGATTGCCCAGGATGCAGCACGGACCGTACAGCGAGTAAAGTAGGACAAACGAAAAAGAAACCGTATACAAAATGGACAACATGTATACGGTGTTCTTCAAATACGCAAGCGTGTCTCCCAAAGATCCTGTAATATAAACGATCGTTTTCGACTCGGTTGCTTCCCCGATATGCCACAAAATAGATGCATGATAAATAATGGCGACAATGCTGTAGAACAAGTCTTTCACCTATGGGAAAACGGAATTTAGTTTATTTGGATTGTTCGCCTGGTTTAAAACTCACCTTCTGGGAAATGCCTTTTTCGCTTTTGAAGCAGCAAAAAATCATCAGGACAGTCGAGGCAACAAAGAGACCGACAATGCAAATCTTGACCGGAGTATCTATCAGTTCAAAAAGAGGCATC